GTCCACTTATATCCCTTTAGTTTGATGGTTAAAATCCCTATTAAATGACTACCATATACGACAATCATCAACCAACAGGGGTTGAACGCAGCCACCTTTTCCCGTCTCCGAACTGGCGCCGAAAATCGACTGGTGAAGTCACCCAGTTGATCATCGCCGAAGCCTGTGACGTTTTTGAAGCGGACGCGCTCTGAAACACTGCTGGCAAGGCAAAACTGGATTGAACAGAGATATGTATATATATAATTAAATATTTATATCATGTAAATAATTTATAGTAGTTGTATTGTATATTACGCAGAATAAGAACATGTATTGATGATTATACATGCATGTGCACGAATATGATTGTATTGTACACACATACAGTACATTATATTACTATATATCACACAACATTTGACTAGGATCGTGTATGACATATTCGTATCCCGATCGGCAAACCAACTGGTTCAAATTATCTTGTTTTCTGAAGGTCTCGAGTGGTCAGGGATGTGGCATGGTGTGGCTGCGTCTGAAAATGAAAATAAAGCGACATTTCTTTCAATTGGGAAAAACGATTTTCTGAACCAGTGGATTGTGGTGTAACATGGTGTAACCTATTTTTGGACAACACCATTCAAAACGTATCAAACCTGGGGATATTCCAACCAGCCAGCTTTGAGTACTCAAGGGTATTCTTGGTGATCTCCTGAAACACAAAACTGCCGCTTTTTGACTCTTTGCCGCGAAAGCCCCAACCCCTTGCCGATGGCGACTTTCTTAAGCACTGCTGCAATACCCAACTCCTGCTTTACAGTGAGAGGGCGAATGGATTTGAGAAGAAATTGTTGCCGGTGGCGTTTCCAGCCGTCCACCTCCGGGTTTACAACCCAGTCAGATTGGCACATCAGCATCCACACTTTAGGGCCTGGCGGGAAACTCAGTGCACCAAGAAACATACATTGAACATTCAATCTCAACCTCGACCTCAAAACCTAAAATCAAATCATCAAAATTGATCGAGAGAAGGCAAGGCGGCTGAGCTATGACACATCATGATGCTTGCGAGCTTGTGGTGCACGTAAACTGTCATGATAACTTACTATGTACATTCAGGTGCAAATCACACTGAAACAGCAAGAGGGAACTCCCAAGGGATCTCTCTCTCTCTTAAGGGACCCCCTTCTAGTGCTGCCCGCCTCAACCTCTTCTTCTTAACAGCGAACAGCAACAAGGGCTGAAACTTACCACGCCTGTGCTGTGTCCATCTGAAGCCATGTTTGCCCCGAAAAAGCAAATGTAAAGAAAAAAACGTTCGGAAATTATGAACAAATGACCTCAACCTGACAAGATGTGCATACAACTGCATACATGTGCAGCAGTGAAACAACTCAAGTCTGCTGTGACATCAAGTTCTGGCAATATTTCAATAATTTTCGATACATGTTCGAAGATAGGGTAGCCCCAAATCCATCCAAATCCAGTGAACCTACGTCATATGAAACTTATCACTTGCCCGTCTGTGATCAAACGTGGCTGGCTGGAAAATCCCTGCGCCAAATGGAAGTTTTTAGTTGTGAGCAACTTCGAACTAAATGGTGAATTCTCCAGCCCCTCTTCCACGTGGCCCCCATGGAATGTCTGGCCTGGTGCAGCAACAAGCCCTGGCCATGGCATGCCATGGCTAAAGTTGGCACTTGGCATCATCTCCACCTGGAAAAGCGAGAAACCGTGGAGTTGGATGAAGTTAGGGGTGCCACCCCCCCCCCAAAAAAAATCTCCAGTGCTTCTAAATTTATCCATCATGTTCCATTTGAACAATTTTGAACATGGTTTATCAAACTGGCGGGGCTCACGGCTCACGGGCAAGACTTTTCTCGCTACCGCACTAGACTCAAGGGCCCTGTGATGAACAACGGCCCGGTGAACACAGAATGTACAAGAGTTTCATGACCTGGTATCGCCTATAGAAAAAGTCTTGGCACACACGCAGATTCACACACATCCTGCTTTACAGGTGTGAAACTGTGAGAATTGAATTCAGCCTGATTCCTGCGCTTTCTTCTCCTTCCGAGTAAGTTCTGCGCAGTGTCGGTTTGTGTACAGAACCTTCAGGAAGAGGTCAAGCTTCATGCGTTTGGTCAGGCAATTGTCCAGCATGATAGAGGTATGTATCCGCAGAATCTTGTCACCACCATCGGGAAACTGTTCAAATGTTTCCATTTCCACGTTCTCATCCTCGTCACGCAGTGATTGTCGCATCGATCTCATCTCGATCTCCAAGTTTATCGGAATTCAAACGATTCACCGGCGACATGCGACCACTCAGATGTAATTGGGGACAAGCGGCTTCTTCCCAGTTCCTTCCACTCACGGATATGAATTCTTTCATCTCCACAATCAAGGCGCGGATGCGATCTCCAGCTTCCATGCTTGATTGCAGGCTGTAAGCTTCACAGTGTAAAGTTGCTCTGCAAACTCGTTTAATTGTCGTTGAGAAGAGAAAGCAGTTGGATACACCTTGAACATGGATTGTTGCCTAGAAAGTGGCAGCGTCCTTGCTGGGATTTCACACCGCCCTCATTTGCACATGATGTGCCTGAAACAGAAAGAACCCCATGAGCCCATCATGTCATCAACCCAAAAGGAAAATTCAGCTTGGTGTCGTTTACACGTGCAACTGCAAGATCAACGGCGCGATTCGCCTCTTTGAGCGTTGCGATAGAAGCTTTTGAAACTGCCGACTGCGGCTTGGACACAGCATATAGGAGATCTGGACGGCCCTGTCGCGCAATCCACGAAAGTGATCCAACTACGGAACGTAGCTGACTGATCTCATGTGGTTGCAAGGCATCAGAATTGGGTCTTCTGGGCTCGCTTCACCTTCAAGGTATGTCGCTGACGTCACTGGTGATTCCATCCACAGTGCCAAAAGTTGTCGGACTCCTGAATTCCGATGTCAAACTTTCCTAGAAGCTTGTCCAGGTACTGCTTTCCTTACGGCAGAAAGGAATAAAGCAAAAACAATATGGGTGGTCATGACAGCTGCTACTGTCTGAACGTTCAAGGCTTTGGTCTTTGGATCTTCTCCCTCTGAGATTAAAAAATGGTTCCGGTGGTTTTCGCTTCCCCATCAAGGCGTGTCCAAAATCCGCGACCGGAGTCGCACAATCCATAGATTGGCACTCTCACCAGCATCAGCTGATTGGCTAGCAGGCATCATCGTCTTCCCCTTGCCATTTGGAAAGCGACAGGTGGGGTCACCAGCCCAATGGCCAGTGCCTCCACAGCGTAGGCATTTGGACTTGGTCTTGATTTCGGCTAGTTTGGTGAGTTCCAGCTGAATTGCTTCTCCAAGTGACGTATGGTCTATCTCTGGGTGGTTTTCAGCAAGATCCCAATGCATTAAGTGCTGTGGCTTCCCCTTCGACGTCCTCATCGGCAAGCTCTTGGGAAACATCTTCCTCTGGCTGTTCATCATTGGCAAATAATCCAACATATGGAGGACCATATGCGTCATCTTGATAGGGGTCAAAGTTGTAGGAGTCATCTTCTTCGTTCAGTATCCTTCATCGGCATAGTGCCCAGTTCTCCATTGGGGTTTACCTTTGCCTTTGCCCTTGCGGGGGGTCAATCTGATGAGGAGAATTCAATCATGAGTTCGGCATGCATTGGTTCGCTCAGCTGAATCGAGTTGGCAAGCACTGTGATCATTCTCCACCAGCGGCGTCTTCGGTCAACGTATGACACCATTGATTTGGGAGGTTGGCGGGTCAAGCTTCCAGTCCTCGTTGTCCATGCGAAACAACTCCCTGGCCTCTTCACTTGCTCGAGGGAACATGTTCTCCTTCACCTTCTGGACGAGATTGCGAAGACCTTTGTCGGCGAGCGCCGAGATTCCCATGTCTCTGGCGGTCAAGAAGGCATCACCTCTGTCCTTCCATGATTTTGGAAACCAAGGTGTAGCGGTCACGGCTTGCGTCCCGGTCGGGATCGTAGGGGGAAATTCTTCTTCTTCTCCTCCACACTGACCGTTAGTCATTCCAGATCCTTCAATTAGGTCGACGGCCGCTGTCCTTACGGCAGCTTCTTGGGCTTCCAGCAGTTCTACTCTGAGTAACGTGCAGAGTTCTCATATAGGATGCAGCATCACCGTGGTAGACAAAAGGCTCCGGGTCTCCATCGGCGCACGGTTGCTTCCATGGTCTGGCCCACATTTGAGCCCAGCCACACTCATGGTGCAGGTTCAGATCAACTGAATTCTGCGATTTCAACGATTCTTGTGGAGTTCGAAATCGGGCAATGCCCTGTAAGATCCCCAGAGTCAGGCAAGGACCTGCTCCGCTACCAGTAACAAACTGGCGGGACTCACGGGCAAGACTTTTCTCGCTAGCGCACTGGACTCAAGCGCCCTGTGATCCATAACGGCCCGGTGAATACACAACCTGGTATCTCCTATAGAAAACACACACAGATTCACATCGTTTTAACATGTTGTGTCTTGTTGAAATAAGAAACGGAACTGCTTCACCGAAGTGTTGAATGAACATACATGAATGCAGGATGACAGAGGTCGCAGCATCGCACACACCCACTAAACACAAAACAGTAAACCAAAGAGCATTCCGTTTTGCACAGAGTGTAGACTTCTTGGGACCCCCTGGCAGTTGGCCGAGCTGCAATGGTTGCATTGGCCAGCCCACCAGCCGCCGGAACCGCCAACAGTCCGTAGCGCTTCTGGGCTCACAGAAAGTGGAACCGTGGACCTGACCTTTGGGATGCCTTGATATCCTTTGGGTGGGAAGCGACATCACAAATTTGGAGCAGAACGCTGTCCCGATCTGCAAGAAGCCAAAAAAAATGTCTGGAACTGAAGGAAGACCCACCTTCCTCTTGACTTATGTCCGGTTTCCATACAGTATACTCCGGTTTTCCTTCCCCAAAGTGACATCAAACAGCCACATCTCACTGGGTTGCACGGCGGGAAAAATGACCACGGATTTACAGGTGGAGATGGTGTCCTACAAACCAGGGGATTTCATCACTCCGCATACTCCGGCCTTCTGCCTCTTGAGTTCATGCACAAGTGTGGTCAAAAGTTTTGCCCCAGTACCTGGCGGCCGCGGCTCCCAACTCATCGTTACGCCTCTTGGAGCTCCAACTTGACGGTGAAATTTCAATGGCCATTGAAAGGGCTAAGGCTAAGGCATATGAAAGGGCTATGCAAGGAGATATGCCCCCAAGATATGGCTTTGTGGTACAGTTCCTCCCTTTTAGGTACCTGAAATAACCCTAGATACTTCTATGTGCTGACAACGTGTCCTGTTTGGAGATCTGGAGCTTAGCTAATGACTTTCCGCATGATGGATCCTCCAAAATCACAAGTTTGCTCCGGAACCAGAATACCAGCTACGCCACTGTGGGGAAGACCTTCACAACCCCCAGTCAACGACCGGCCACAAAAGATCCCAGTGACTCAAATCGATGTGGATAGCAGTATGAATCAATATTGCCAGGTCCACTTCAGGTCCACTGAATTTAGGAATCTAAGGGGTCATTTGGGTATGGATCAATACCTATTAATACCATTTTTAGGGGAATGAACATCCATTTACCAGCTATTTTGATGTTCACCAGGGGTACAAGGTTTTGACCCATCCCCATTTAATGTTTTAAACATGTCATGGTGAAACAACCGCAGTTCCGCAGGTCACAGCCCAGAGGGTGCCCCAAAGCCATGGCTCCACCGTTCACCTTGCAATGGTGAAATCCTGTGACCCGTGGAAACTGTTTCGGATTGCTAATTATATATAGTAAATATAGTATACATAGTAAATATAGTATATAACGTCTATATTAAATAGTACATATATATAGTATATGTAGTAGTATGCATATAGTGTATATATATATATATAGAGCGTAACTAAAGTAGAGAGAGTGTAAACAGCGTATATATTTGTATATATACATAGTACACATATAGTACACATATAGTACGCGTATAGTACATATAAAAACTTATATAATGCATATATTATACATATATAGTACCTATAGACTAAATATCATAAATATATAGCACATAAATAAAACATATATAGTTCATATATAGCATATGAATAGTACGTAAATAATACATATATAGTTCATATAGTACATATAATGTACATGTATAGTACATATAGTCAAAAGCGTTCGCATACATACATGTATATATATATATATATATAGTGACATATAGTGTATATATACATATATATAGCAAATACACAGCGTATATCTAAAAATAAAAAGAACATACAATATATAATATATATATATACATAATATATATATATATATGTATATATAATGTGTAAAAAATATTACATACAGTATAAATATAATGTCTACAAAAACCTATGTATATATATACATATACAGTATATATAGATATATACAGTATACATATATATATATATGTGTGAAAGACCTTTAGGTACTATTTTGTTCTGTTCTTACTTCCTCAAATCATCCTTCATACTTCACTCTGGAGGCCTTTTAATTGAAACCATCTAAAAACAATAAAAACAACATGTCTTTTTCAGAGAATTGTTTATAATGTTTGAAATTCCTAAGAGCATTAAAAGCAATTAAAAACAATAAGTCCTTTTCATGGAATTATTTTTAGTGTTCTTAACTGTATAAAGAACAACAGGCATTTCAAAACCAAGGGTCTGTTTCACGGAATTGCTTTTATGGTTTGATAATTGAAAACAATGAAAACTAATTAAACATCAAAAACAATAAAAACAAAAAATGCCTCCAGATTTGAGATTTTTGGATCCTTTTGGGGTCATAAAATAATTCACCCTGAAAAGTTCGGCCTCCTGAATGTGGCAGTGAGGTGCTTATAATGGATGGGAGTTGGAAAAAAAACCTGCTGGTTTCATGGGGATACTGAGTTCATGGGGGCTAATTCCCAATACTGTAATTCTGTGGATATATAATGATATATATATAATATTAGTGTAAAGATATACATATATAATCATATATATATATAGTAGTGTAAAGGGTACCATAGTAAAACCCCTACAGGCATCAACCACCAGTGTCCCACCGAGACTGCAAAAACATCAAGATGACTTGCTGCTCGAGCTGAGCTGGCAAATAGCTGGTAGGATGTTCACCCCCGACACTCATGTGGAAAATCTGATGGAAATCTGATGTAACATCACTCAAAGAAATGACCTATCTGCATCTCGGCGCTATAGAATAGTGTGTATATATTTATGTATCATGTATATATACACAGGTATTTTTAGTTGATAGACATGTGGCAGTTTGTTTCTGATGCAATGTGACTACAACAGAAACAAAATGAAACAAATACTTTGCCTTGTGCTGTCTTGCACACCCAAAACCGACCACGTCGAGAGGCGTTCAGTTTCTCAAAGTCTGCTCCCAAGGCCTTCGAGCGAGCATGACCCATCCCCAAAGGTTGGAAGTAGATGGCGAACTGAGTCAACCCCCCCCCGTGTGGTACCCTAGATATCCCTAGATGATATAGATGGGATATAGATGGTTAATGGAGTGTATTCCCCCAGTGTATTCCCTGGTAGGATGTAATAGGTCTTGACCCATCGATGGATCCCATGACCCCACGGAGGTGTCCAAAATCTTTGGGACAACTCCATGGAAAAATATGGAAAACAAAATTCCGTTCCATGGTCTATCATCATACAGTAAACCAAAACCAACTATCTAACTATCAGTAACTATCATCATCTTTTTCTTTTAAAAAGGCCATAAAGAGGCCATGACATGAACTGGGGGACCAATCGAACCAATCGAACCAATCAGCCGCGGCTGACATGGCTGACATGGACCACGCCTCGTAAAGGTCCATGTCTTGGATCTTCAGCTTCGCCTTCGCGGGGGGTTCCAATGGGCAACTGGGCAACTGGGTGGTAGTTACTGATCTCATCCACCTATAGTCAGGGCGAATGGGGGTTAATTAATCACCATGAAATATGGATATATACATATATATATAGCCTACAGTACGTATATAGTAAGTTATAATACCACATACCCACCATGTTAATGCCCCACAGAATAAGTCCCGACGCGAAAGCTGGCTGGGATAGGCATTTATTCATCCGCACACAGCGTGGAGGGTCCTCTGGGAGAAAGGTGAAGCATAGCTCCGGAAGGAACATAAATAGTTGACGAGAGACACGAACATGGTTAGAAACTTGCCCCAAAAACAGAAGCCTGTAATCCTATATTGCAGGTCAAGGGGGATCCAACGTCCTAGCCCCTCTCTATTCATCTAGCACTTAGCTTGCGTGAATGGATCCAGGACTGTACTAAACCAGAATCTTTAGGGATTTGCAAAGAAAATACCCGTTCACATACCAAACAATCAGAGTTGATTCCCACGAGTGTAAAGATACAGAGCAAAAATAGCGAATGTACAAAGTATAAACCAATTCATACTTTAGGCAATCCAATTCATTTGAGTCTTTCTCCACCCCCTTTGACAAGCATTTGCCTGCAATTGATTGGGGAACACTCCATCCCAGTTCCAGACTGCCCTGGCCACAGCTGCCCTTCCGACAATTGGCTTGAGGGATAAGCTGCAGGAACTCCCTATATATTTTGGGGAGGCAAAAATGCTGGTTTCCTGCCAACTTTCAAGACATGTTTCATCAATAGTATCCCATGTCCAAATTCACTTCCTTCAATCCCATGCTTCCCAAGGGGGTTCACACCTTCTCCAAAGCTCGTTGAGAGGCAGAGATGGGCCTCAAACTCTGCGCATGCGGCTGGGTTTGTCTCAAATTTATGGAACATTCCCAAAATCTCACGTTGATTAACGGCATGTCCACAGTAAAGCAATTAAAACCAATCCCATAAATCCGGCTCTATGCCCTATATTTGAACACCCCTCCTTTTACCAGTCTCATGTGATTTTATCATTTTGATATCGCGAGTTTCGCAGGATCATCCGGAGGGATTTCATCACATATGGTGTAAATACAATATATATATATATCATTCTTCTTCTTATTATTAAAAAGTATCATTATTGTTATTGTGATCATCATTATTATTATTGCTATTACATTATTATTATTAATTATAGTTATAGTTATTGTTGTTATTATTATTATTACTTGTTATTATTAATTATTGTTATTATTATTATTATGATGATGATGATATTATTATTATTATATATTATAAATGATACAAAGATAGCCCATTTTCCCAGGGAATTCTGGGTGTGTTCTCATAATTATATATATATAATTATATACATATATATGAAACCAGAGAAAACCCAAGTTCTTCGTAACTTGGAAGGCCATCAATCCATCCGAACCAAGGAACCCTTCGAAAATCATCACGGGGTCAGTCGCGACCTGCCAGCTGAGAAGGCGTTTCTTCTCTTATTCTTCTTTGAAAAAGCATGAGGAAATCATCTTCCCGCTGATAACATGGCTTCAACGTGGCCATAAATTGATATAAATTGGTGGTTCATTATGATTTTCCCTCTTAAAACGTGGCTGCATGCATTATCATGACTTGGGATAAGTTCCAATGTGTTCCCTATCAAAATATATTAAACAGGCATCAACAGGCAATATATTGGAAAAACATGGTCCTCTGATGACTCACTGCTACACACCGCAACACTGCCGGTCGTTGTACTGTAGTTGTTGTTTGCATGTCAAGTGCCTGCTCCGGAAAACAATGCATTCTCAAATCCCCCTGGCATAGCTAAGTGCACGACAAGGGCCGTAGAAACAATCCTGCGACACGTGTCACCCAAGTCGGCCATGGCAAAGTCGGATGCGAAGACTGCCATGTACCCTGAATATCCCTGAAGACTTTCACAGCAAATACCCTCTGGTAAACTAACATAGCTATTGAAAATGGCCATTTATAGTGGATTTTCCCATTAAAAATGGTGATTTTCCATAGCTATGTTAAATTACCAGAGGGTACCTGAATCATTGGCATTTGGCAATGCAACTTTGACACAACATGGCACATGGATGCACATGGAAAATCCCATGGAAAATCCCATGACGTCTCCTGGCTAAGGGCTTCAGCTTTAGCTTCTGCAATCCTCGCCTGGTCACAATGCCGGCAGCTTGAATGCTCTTTCGACTGTCATAATTCTTGGTGATTTATATAATTGTTATGGCCATGGATAACACTCTGGGGATTTAATGGTGTTTTGCCCATAATTTCACGAACTTTATTTTTCCGAAAAACTGCCATAGTACTTGATACTTAACTACCATAACAACCACTTTCTGTTTTACAAACTGCATGCTTTAAAAAACACACGCGCCAAGGTGCTCATTGCAAATCAACACTGCTGCTGCTCCGTCGCCTAGCGGCCAAGCTGGGCCATTGATGGTGACATCTGACTGCTTTTTATACACTGTGATTATCTGATGACCTGAAAATGATGGGACATGTTCACGAAAGTTGCTAAGTTTCACCAAGTTTACCTTGCTCAGTGACGGGAAAATCGCGGCGATGGTGCAGCTTTGGGCTCATGATTGTCATCAAGCCTGTTTTCAGCTTCCCAAAGTGCTTATCATAGAATATTGTAAGTGGTGTTACAACAGGTTCCAACATGTTGGCTCCGCCGGGGGGGTTTGCCCGGCTTGGAACAAGGTCGACTGTGACTACATGTGATGAGTATCCGCAGCCGTTTGTTGTTCTTGTAGTCATGGTGTTGATGTTACTGTGTTTTTTCATATAAAATGTGGTTGTTCACAAGTAGACTTCATATCATGTTTTCAGATGCAATTGATCATTGAATGTTTTGACAATGTCCAAACTTGAGTTTTTTCGCCAAATCTGGCGGAAAAATCAACAATCACCTGTAATTTACAGCGTTTCCATTTGACACGATTTGCATACACATATAGACAGACATGAAGTATACATATATATATAATATATATATCACATACACCAGAAGTAAACAGAAAGAGTCAGACAGAAAGGAGACACATGGCAAGAAGAAATACATTGAACCCAATCAAGATGAGGAAACGATGGACAATCAAACATGACACTGCGATTGCGTGACACATGACACACCTGTACACATCAACACACCAGCAGCGCACCATGTGTACACATGAACACACCAGCAGCGTACCATGTGTACACATCAACACACCAGCAGCGTACCATGTGTACACATCAACACACTAGCAGCGTACCATGTGTACACATGAACACCAACGTTGACACACCCCACCCCACCCCACGTACCATGTGTACACATCAACACACCAGCAGCGTACCATGTGTACACATGAACACCAACGTTGACACACCCCACCCCACCCCACGTACCATGTGTACACATCAACACACCAGCAGCGCACCATGTGTACACATAGCACCATGTGTACACATCAACACACCAGCAGCGCACCATGTGTACACATGCAGCAGCGTACCATGTGTACACATCAACACACCAGCAGCGTACCATGTGTACACATCAACACACCAGCAGCGTACCATGTGTACACATGAACACCAACGTTGACACACCCCACCCCACCCCACGTACCATGTGTACACATCAACACACCAGCAGCGTACCATGTGTACACATGAACACACCAGCAGCGTACCATGTGTACACATCAACACACCAGCAGCGTACCATGTGTACACATGAACACCAACGTTGACACACACCCCACCCCACCCCACGTACCATGTGTACACATCAACACACCAGCAGCGTACCATGTGTACACATGAACACCAACGTTGACACACCCCACCCCACCCCACGTACCATGTGTACACATCAACACACCAGCAGCGTACCATGTGTACACATGAACACACCAGCAGCGCACCATGTGTACACATGAACACACCAGCAGCGTACCATGTGTACACATCAACACACCAGCAGCGTACCATTTGTACACATGAACACCAACGTTGACACACCCCACCCCACCCCACGTACCATGTGTACACATCAACACACCAGCAGCGTACCATGTGTACACATGAAAACACCAGCAGCGCACCATGTGTACACATCAACACACCAGCAGCGTACCATGTGTACACATCAACACACCAGCAGCGTACCATGTGTACACATGAACACACCAGCAGCGCACCATGTGTACACATCAACACCCCAGCAGCGTACCATGTGTACACATCAACACACCAGCAGCGTACCATGTGTACACATGAACACCAACGTTGACACACCCCACCCCACCCCACCCCACCCCACCCCACCCCACATCTTAAAATTCCGGGCAAACCCCCCCGGTAGACCCAACATGTTGCAATTGGTACCAGTTATAGCAGTTTGCTGTAAGATAGAACGCTAAAATCCCATTCCAAAATGTAGCTGTAAATTTAACCTTTCTGTCTTTTTTGGGATTACTATACAGCAAAAAATGGGATAACATAGGGGCTTTAACCCCACACTTCTGGAGAAATTACAATACTTCACTCCACTGAAAAGTAAGGCCAGTTTGGGATAGTTACCCAACCTAACGGCCCGAGGGCCCGACAGATCTGGGAGGAGCTGGCCGCGGTGAGAACCCCATTGCGGAACAAGGCCTGGAGAAGACATTTCATGGTAGCGTTTAGTAACCCCCCCAAAAAAGAATGTAACATCTTATCAAAATAGTGATAAATCAATTGTATTCAATTGTCTATATATGATCTATATATGCTACTAATTTGGAATAGTTTGGGGATATCTGATGACAAACGGCCGCTATCTCGGTATGACCGGAATCCCCAATGACAATTGGCAGACTGAAACATGATTGATATCATGATAAGCCATTGTATATCATGGCCATTCTTCTGAATGCCAATTACCAAATTTCAGCAGGATAATAACAAATTTATGGGTTGGTCATACATCTCAATATTCCAGTATATTTCATATGTGTTCATATATACTCATTGAATCCCATTAAACCATCACAAAGTCCCGTTAAGTCCCACTAAATCCTATTAAAAATCATGATGGCGTGAATGACATCCCCATCCAAGCGATCCAAGCGATCCAAGAGATCCAAGCCCATGGCCGCCTTCATCTTACCCAGGCGTTCAAGAGTGACATTGGGCCGAATTCCCTCGTCCTGACGAGGGGACCATTTTTCATGGAAAGGCACCATTTCATGATGCTGAAAGATGCTGAAAGGACATCTGAAGACAACCAAAACTGAAAAGGCACAGGTTATGGAAGATTCTAATTTCTCGCAAACTTTGAAGAAATAGAAGAATTAATAGACATCTGGCAACTCTTCTCCTCTGAATGCACGCCCTCGGACGCACCCTCCTTGCCTTAGCGGACAGTGCTGCAAAAACGTCAAGAGTTTCTGTTGTAAGATGCCACTTTACGGATGCCAGGGGGAGAAAGTTGAACATCAAGGGTTGCTCCCAACACCCCACGGACAAGGGGTATAGTCGGTCTAGTGGCTATATATATATTATATATATAAAGGATTATAAAGGTACATGCACTGCACTACCTTTCCCCCCGTTGTAGTAATGGTTTACTGTACCTATTGGAGCAAGCCTGCTTCATATCATAACATATCATAACTAAGTCCCATTCAATCCACATTATTGTTGATTAAATTTAATGAAATCCCATTCAATCCACAGGTTTGTTCGTAAAACCATGTTAAATCCATTTTGCCGTCCCTTGGTTCAACGCAGTGCTGCTGTGGCGGCCAGCTAGGCTTCCCATCGCTTCACCGGCAATGGCACGATCTCATCCTTGAACTTCCCTGCCTAACAGGTGTATCGTGGTGCATTAAAATCAGATTAACGCATATTAAAATTGCTACTGTACACTGGAACTCTTTTTACTCTAAACAACTCCAAAGATCTCAAATCTAGCAAATGAAAGACAATGATTTGAGATTGTTTTGTGAACTCCACCACCAAATATCCACATTTTCTCCAATGAAGGCTAGCAGTCTAGAAGAATTGCGCCCTGACCTTGGTGGACTCCGCAGCTCTAGATTGGGAGATGGCAGCAACGCGGTCAGCATCCTGGCAGCTTCGGATCCCCAGGTGGTCCATGGTGGCCCCATGGTGGCCCCGGCAATCGGTTTCCGGTCAACTTTCATCAGAACATCGGGATCCAAAATCGCTGTGTAGTTCGTTCGTCACCTGGCGACTGAGCTTGTACTTCTGCGCCAGCAGTTCTGCTCCTCCAAACTGATTGAAGACCTCAGGTGCATCACGTGCATCACATCCCGGGATCCACATGGATCCACGGTATCGGTATCACACGCTATCGCATGCCGCGTCACGGAGCTGGAGAGGCCAAAGTGCTCAAAGGCCTCGAAAAAACGAGCCGAGAATTTGAACAAAACTGGGACTGTTTGGCCAGTGGGGTTTGCCCAAAAAATCAGAGATGCTCCCAAAGTGATCATTAATTCATATTAATTCTAAGTGGAAAATGCTGATGAATCATGGGACGTTGGTGCAATTACCACATGCGACTTCAAACTAGGACTAGGAAGAAAAAGTCGAACCAACTGGCCAAAGGAGATTCCCTAAGCGAACAGTTGCAGACTCTTCTGTACTTTTCCTGAATCTGTCGTCACACCATGCTGGAAAGCTCCTACACTCTCGACGCAAACCCTTGCAGGTTTATCCCCAAAAAAACAGAGCAGGGGACCACCAGAGTGTGCAAACACTGTGGATCTGTGAGTAGAAAATTACAGAAAACCACAGAAAACGGCACAACTAAGAGAAGAAGTAGACATGCTTTCTTTTTTGCATCCACTTGATATTAATGCCACCATCTCTTCGTAGTCAATACTGTGTGGGCTTCATTGTCTTCAGTTTTATTTGCTTAGTAGACCTGCAACACGTTGCCAATAAAACAGCGAAAACCACAAAAGACAAAAACCTGTCAAGACCCAATTCTCTTCAGCATCTCACCTGAACCATTTGATCATTTGCCACCTCACCTCTGCAATGAATGTCCTCTTTGAGCATGCACAATCAATCAACAAACCAGGGAAAAAAGGATAGACGCTGTAGAGATGAACATGGGGAAATTGCCAGGTATGGTTCAAACTATGCCCTGGAGTCAAACAAAGCACTTGATGTGCAGCAAGCAGTCCCTGTACATAGGCTCAAGAGATCTCAAGAGTGCAGTACTACTACAAAAAAGGTAGCATGATTTTCAAGAAGTGCTGCAATTTTAATTTGCAAAATGCACTATTTTTCTCAGTGTAGTATTCTGTTCAAAGGGCATCAACTACTTCTACAAAAGGTACAGTATTTCTTGAAGACACGCAGTATTCTTTCAAAACATGCAGTATTACTGCAGAAAATGCAGCATTCTTTGAACCGAGCAGTAATCTTGAAAATGTTTAGTAACCTTTCTATGTCTAGTATTGCCACAAAAGATATGGCATGTTTCAAAGAACTGCATAGTTTAATTGGCAATGTTTCATGTACAAAATGCATGTGTCTATCATAGTGTAGCCTTCCTTTAAAAGCAGCAGCACTACATCTTTCAGAAAAAGAGTGCTCTACATATATAGTGATGCAGCATTCGTTTTTGCAAAAAACATCAAATCTTCTGCAGAATGCAGTTTTGCTTCAAGCAATCTTTGCATTCCAAAGACGGGGACTTTCTTGAAAGGGCGGCAGTTTTCTTTTTGTTAAACAGGTCTCTAGCTGCAAAATGCAAATTCTTATTGCACAATGCATTATGCATTGAAAGAAGCACTCTAACATGTTTGTAAATGAACAATGCATTTTGAAGAATTTAGTTTAATAATGTAGATGTCTTTTCAAGAAGTGCTTGTCTAAGTACATACGTGAAATAACGCAATTCTCATCCACGCTGTCATAGAAAGGCCCTTGGGATGAACATTTTTGGATACACAAAGGGGCATCTTGGAAATCTCAAACTCCTTACATTGATCTAATTACATCTAATTACAATTATTTTATGTCGGATAAATTCCCATTTCATGGTGGATAAATCCCATTTTAAGCGCGCTTTTATTTTATCCATCCATTTCCATATTTTTGTGGTCAGTGATGGTCGACATTCCAACTTTATCCAACTCTGCTCAGCAACGAGCCTTCAACTTGTCTTTGTACTTGTCAGCAATGGCGGCATTCATCGGACGCCCATGGCCGGACTTGAAGCCAGCCCTGATGGCGCTATCGATGGGAAGAGTGGACCTTAGAGGACATATCTTGGGGCCGAGGATCAAATTGTATCCCCTTGGGAAGGAACCACTGAGGTTCCAACTGCCACGTCTCAAATCAGGAGTATTTTCAACATTCAAATCCAATTTTAGTAAAAGTTTGTCATGGTTTGTCCAACTAGATAGAACACCCTAAATGCACTGGCAAAACATCACTTTGTTATACTTTGTTCCTGTTGAAAGGGTAATTTTATCATGTTTTCAACACATCAGTACCAATACGGTCAAACGTCCCTCATGATTGGCTGGCCTTAGCTAGGTTCCCCAACATTGCTTCAACACCTCCGGCAATGCCTCACATGGTCCCAGACAGGCTGCAAACTCTACTGGTATCTTTCGATGAATGATAAACAATGATAAACATATGGGGATCGAAATGATCTGGCCCCAAATGGGAAATGGGATGGTTTGACAGCAAACAAGACGAAACTTGTGGGTCAATTGGTACGCCGAGCCGCAGCCACACAACTCAACGAATCGATGCCACAGCGTCCAAGCTTTACTGCCAGGCTGCAGCAGTCGTGCACGCCACTCATCACTGCTTGCACTGCAGTATGGACAGCCTCGAAGCTCGGAGTAGTGCTGAGAACGGAATTCCCCGAACCAATGGGTTGTGATCATCCCCAATTAATCTCGGTTAGTGCAATCCTAACTCACTCATCATCAAGCATCATCTATCAGCTCCACTTACATCCCAAAAAAGTTTGATGATGTTTGATGGTCAGAACCCAGATTGAATGACTATAGTGACTATACACTAACTGGTTGGCGGTTTCAACCCCTCTGAAAAATATGAGTTCGTCAGTTGGGATGATGACATTCCCAATATATGGAAAATATGGAAAATCCTAAAATTCCATGGTTCCAGTCACCACCAACCAGATATATTGTTATTCCAATTATTAACCATTATTAACCATAGATTAACCATAGATTAACCATAGATTAACCATAGATTAACCATAGATTAACCATCACCAACCAGCTAATCATCAACCAGGGCCCCAATTCATCTTGCTTCGCGCCTGCTGGGAGGCACTGCACACCTGGTCCACAGAGGTCCCTGGAACCTGGGCCGCTAGTGCTAGGCAGGGATGGCCGCTATGTGCCACAACCAAGAAACACCAAGATTTGGGCGCAAAAATCCTAGAACCCCCTATCATTCCATCACTAAAATGGTACGTTGCACATGTCACAAAAAGAAAACTTTAACGTCCATCTGACATCATATGACTAATGATTGACTAATGATGTTGATTGATTTTGAGGATTGTTGAGGTGTTTTCACCAATTTGAGCACAGTGAGGTTTCCTGCAGATTTAAAAACTTCGACCACTTCTGGGATTCTGGGTGCGTTTGTCCAATGGGGATGCAGGATGCCCGAAAAAACATGGCAAGTTTAATCAGGAAAATCGTGATTTTTACCATGGGCCGGAATGGGGTACCCTATTTTCAGAGAAACCCCCTATAGCTATCCTATAGCTATCCACGGCACTGGATCCAAGTAATGGAACCAACGCCTTGGCAACAATCTAGAACACTTTTGGGTCAGTCAAGGTGGCTTTCTCATTTCCTAGCCATCCAGGATTTTCCCATTCAAACCTGGATTTTCTCATTATATAAATCTTTGATTTCTCCATTAAAACCTCTATGTTTCTTGGGGATTTTTTATTCAAAGCTGCCATTCAGTACCAAAAACATCCAAGAACACCGTCCAGGTCCAAGTGCTCCGACCGTTTCCGGGAGAAGACGGGAGGACAACACCACAGTGCGGGCCACATTGGCGGCCTTGGCGCCACGACTCACAAAATGCCAAACTCCATGGAGTGGTCGTGGCATGCTGTGGGAAGCGAGCTCTAGGACTCAAGCTTGTGCCCCTGTTTGCGCCACGCAACCAAAGATCACATCTTCTACCTGGCGAACGCAACATGTATACACACATCACATATCATATATCATATATGGATATATATATGATTATATAGGGGTTTGATCCAAATTATTTCATCTGCACATGGTTATTTTTGGTGGATAATAAACTATTTGCGCGAAACTTTCGGGGCTCCCACGTTTTTCTTTCGCGGGGTTGTCGTTATCGCTTTTGTGCTGCTGAGACGCGCTCAAATTACATGCATGTAAACGGCAATTGTGTGAGTGATCTGGGAGGCAGCCAAGGGTAGATGCAAGGCCATGTTGGGATAATTCCAGCAGGAAAGAGCAGAGTATTATTGTTTCCAGGCTCCCTTGACGCTGCAAAGGTATGCAAAGGTGCTATGTGGGCTATGGCTTCCATAGACACCTGCTCTTTCGTCACTGCTTTCGCGCAACTTTCGCGACAATTCCTTTGCAAATCAGCCAACAAATCCAGACCCTGAATCGCGCTTGCTGGTACACAATTCAATTGAAAAGGTTCTCATTGCACCTAGACAATATTTGCCGTAGCTTTCGCCAAATAAAACGTATTACTATATAGTAAGTGTTTACTTGCGCGAACTCGGAATAAACAACTCTCGCGCGGTCTCATAACACTGGCGGCCTTTATAGTAAACAGTCCTTACAAGGACCTTTAGATCAACTCCCATACGTATTTTCATATACACACATTCGTACATGTTATACAGCTCATATACATACTTGAATGATATAGGTACACACATTAGCTCTGACTCATGCCTCAATACCACGGCAGGGTTGCAACAAGGATTTCAGCATTGCAGCAGGGCGTTTCCGGAGTACACTTCGAAACTAGTTCACCTACTCTATACCCTCGGGTGTCATCAACGTGGCTAGCTTGAAAATCCCCTTCAAATGAGATTTATAGCTGGGAACATCATCTATAAATGGGAAATTTGCCAGCAAGCCATGTTTGATCCCCGGAGGGTAATGACATCAACTTGACGTTTGAGTTAGTCAAAAATTTGTGCCGGAGTCAAAGTAAACTAATCCCCATCCAATGGTCAAGCCAAGTGTAAAACACGCCCATTCATGGAGCCTGTGTACCAACAATGAGTGTTTCCCATCATTTTGGAACCTCTGTCAACAATATGGGTTTGTTCAAAAATCGGTATGCTATGTATTCCAGGTATGCTCTAAGTCAGACCCATTTATCAACTAAATTCCCATATTTCTGATGGTTAAACCATCTAAAAAATATGGCAACATCCTCATTTTCCATGTTAAATGATGGTTTAATGATGATTACCATGCTTCAATGATGGTTAAATCCCCCAAAATCAATAAAAACACCTCCAGAAATGATGCTTCAATCTCCTAAACATAACGCTTACCATTTCCAGTCGAACCAGAGGAACTCCGCTCTGTTGCGGTGGCCTCTGCACCGTTCAGCGACTGTCGCTCGATCAGGGCATCGCAGACGGCTGCACCCAGGTCAGCTGGATGGTAGCCTGATGGGGGCTGCGCGGCTGGGGGGTTCAAGGGTATTTAAAAAACAAATAATGATTATGGTACTATAAGAACTATAGCAACTATAGCAACTAAAATTATAGTGGTCATAATAACAATAGTAAAGTTGGGATAATTACAACAGTAATTATAGTATCTATATAGGCTAATAGATGCTAATAGGATTATAACGGGGATGGTTGGTAATCCCGTTGATGTGGGAAATCCTGGCTGCCACAAACCTACCATGACTGGAGATGGTTGGAATCTCACCCATAGAAATGGTGATGACTTGGGGATGGCTTACGAAATTGGGGTTTACCACATTACTCCCATCCCCCTGAAAAACACACAGAGACACAGTGTTCATCTTTGGGGATTTACACATCTTTGGGACCATAGAACTGGGTGTTTGAGATTAGGATTTATTAAATCATATGGGTATTATAATATGTGTAAATGGTATTATACCCATGGCAATAGCCCCAGAATGGCCAGAAAGGTGATAGTTTTCACCCCTGGAAAAAGCATCAGAATCTGATGGCTTTGAGCCTCATTTCCCACGTTTTCAGACACAACTGGAACACCAAACACCATAACACAAAGAATACTGACACAACTGGAACACTTGAACATGTGGAGCAAAGATCTTGAAAACTGAAATGTTATCATATTATCATATAACTCATGCAATAGCCTATATGTACCCATACGTACCATCATCCTGCATCAATTGTTCATGTCATCAACATTTTGAAAACTCTGAAAGTCCAGCTTGAACCGTGCACAGAGTGTGCCTGAAAGTTTGCCATTCCTCTTCCCACCTGCAGTCCTGGCATTGCGGTGAATTCAACAGTCTTGGTCTCTTTCAGCCTCAAAATCTCAAATAACATGGCTACTTTGTGCCATTTTGTACCATCTTCTTCCCAATGGACAGTCAGGTGACATTTTTTTGTCGTGTGTTAAACACACAGCCATTGGTCCTGCAAGCGTCCACGATGTACGCACTCAACGGTTTAAAATCCATGGCTGCGATCTTTCATCTCCCAAGGCTGGACCAAGTGAACGATATCAGGCGGCTCGTAGCTGGTTTCTCTGCGTTCTGTTGATAGTTTGGATCCGCATGTTTGCGTTGGTGTTTTCTCCTTTTTGGGATGTTTCATGCAAACATCTGCCATCAACTTAACTTATCAGAATGTAGAGTGGTTGGGTCGAACTGATGTCTCAGGCGTTGATGGCATTTCTGTATCTTTTCTTAATGATAATACACTGATGTGAGAGAAGTTCGCGCTGCAAACCGGTGGCATTCTGAAAGTTATCAAGTCATGATGTTGTTTTTGGAATATAGTGTCGACAAGCCTATGAAGTTTTGTTCCAAACAAACATTGATGAACAAGCTGTCGGCATCTCGGTTTTCAAGATTACAATCGATTAAAGATATGTGAGCCTAAATGACCTTCCTTCAAATTGCAAACGCTAAAGCGCAGTGTTGCATTGAAATTATTGTTACTATGTGTTGGTTGGTTGTGATTGCCATGCAGTTGTGGTGTTGCATAACATTCATTTTCGAACTATCCAATTGCCTGTGATATAGGACTGCGGTGCCAAGCTTTTCAGCATCTTATCTAAGTTGAATAGTCCAAGAAGGGTTTTCATTTTTGTTTTCCCTTAGCTTTATTTCTTCTCGCCGTCTCGCTGTTTGTCTGTACGTGACAGAGAAATGTTGAACAGTCTTCATCATGGGTCGTCTTGGACGTTAGTGTTGATATGTGTTTATTGTACGAAATTCAGGTCCAGTTTGTGTGTCTATGAACAGGTTTTTCCCTCGCTGACCTGTGGTTTGCTCTTTTAAATCCTGAAATGGCAGCAATCGTGTCATGGTATCAGCACACTCAATAGCTTTGTTTCAAACATTTGGCAGCCAACTGGGTTAAATGCAACCTGCAGTGACACCTACGATTTGACAGAAAACACATGAACATACCTTGCCCAAGGTTGTGATTCCGCTTGCCAAATGGATCACCGCTAACCATTTTTGTATTTTTGGGATGAACACGCATTTGGGCACAACAAAAGGACATGACACATGTAGCATGCAGATCCAGGGGAGAAACAATCCAAACGGTTGTGTCCATCTTGTCCGGCTACAAGCTTGCAATGGGCTGTTCCCGGGACACAAAACAGCCGCTTTTGGACTCCTTGCCGCGAAAGCCCCAACACGTTAGCGATGGCGACTTTCTTAAAGGCCTTAAGCAATGCAATACCCAACTCCGGCTTTACAGTGAGAGGGTGCGACCAGTGGGTTTGAGAATAATTTGCCACCAGTGGCGAATCTCTTGAACTTTGTCTGCAACATTCTACACAAAAATCTAACTTTACAAGTATCAAGTGAGACGGGGCTACCAGCAGATCTGAGAATAGTCCAAATAGTCCACTACCTGTGGCATTTTTAAGCACATGGAATTTTCCAAAGCGACTCAGCATCTGCTTTCCTGAACCGGCCAGGAAAATGATGAATGGTTGCTCAGAATAGAAACATGAGGCACAATTTGTGCACCTCTTCTCAAACTAGACCATCCATAGACCATTCAACCATATGCAACTTACGAGTACTGACTGGAAGGAGAATCGATATAATGTTAGTAAAGCAATCATATTCCAGCCACATGTTGATGGTTCATGCCAACCAAGAAAACATGGTCAAAACTTGGTATGGTGGATGATGGTGGATCCTATTGCTTTACTAACCTTAATGTCTCAATATTGTTGGCTCGGCTGCAGCGGCTGCAGGTGATCCATCTCTCTCTCTGCGCCTCGGCGCTTGGAAGTCGTTGCGCCAGGCGTCTTTGTACCAGCTCCAACAGGATCAGGAAGACAGTGCTGAAACTCACCAAGGCGCCTGTGAATGATGCCCAGTGCCCTGGGGATTTCAAGATTTTCCCCAGGGCTTATCGAAAAGGGTGGGTACACTGGGAGTAAATGAATTATGACATCATCATCACTGAATCAAGTTTCAGCCGTGGGAGCCAAGGCCTGTCGTCCCCCAGAAGAGATGCACACAAATACCATTGGCATCCCTTGGCCTGACAAAACTAGCGCAATAGTGAAGCCCTGCTTCTCTGCCAGCAGACCTTACGGTCAAAGTGAAGTCTGTACTGGCAACATTTCAACGTACACTCATATAATGTAATTTGGGATAATTTGGGCGTGTCTGAAAATGGTGCATATATATCCATCAAATAGCCAAATAACCATTTCAATAGGAAAAAACATGTACCATCAACTTTGCTGGTACTAATTTTCAGACGAACTAATATAGACACTAGGAGCACTCGGGGCCGCGCTTAACAGTGGAATGCCTATCAGGTTTCTAGCTCCCTCGGCAGTGCGTGAGACGCCATGGTAGAGCGCCAAATCCTGGTGACTGACGCGCAACGGTGGCAGCAACTCTGAAACCGCAGGTATCCGCAGGTTGTAGGAGAAGCAAATGCCAAAACGATCCAAAAGGATCCAAAATTCATCAAAATTCAATAGATACTGATGCTCTTGAGATGCACTTTGCAAATCGCAACCTGAATCCCAGGGCTTTCTTGCGTCAAGCGTAGCAAGAACAACCGCCAAAGACCCAAAACATCCCAAGACTTATTCAATGACTGCCTTCGTTCCAAAGAGGTCGCTCAGCACAACGCTGATCATTGCAATGACTGGACCAATGCCACAGCCTGAGCAGCTCAGCTGTAAAATTGGCGAGAGAACGACGCATGCCTGCTCACAAGGGAGGTTACACGCGGACAGATTTCCAGATTTTCCAGGTCAATGACGTGACTTTCAATAAAAATCATCAGAAATCCATGAAATCATTGAACATAAATTGCTTGAAATCGAGGTTTCGACGCTGCCAAGTCCTGCTTTTGCAGCACTTCGACTCAAAGGACTCACTTTTTTTCAAATTTGAGCGCCGCCGGGCTGCCATAGACTGCGCTCCAAACAAGCAATGATGCCGCATTCCTTGGATGTAAAGGCAGTGGCATCGGCTTCCGGCTTCAATGCGAGGATGCTGAACAGAAATCAAAGACATGTTCTGGATGTTTGTGGCACATTTGGCCCAGCCATTCATTTCTTGACTTCACTTGTAGCAGCCCTTGGTAGCAGCCCTTGGATCCTGGAAGCTCAAGCATCCAGCAAAAAGGCAAACAGCATCCAACTGCACCGACCAGAACTTGGGAGGCGAAAAACAGGCGTCCTTGGATGGGACGGGATGTGGCACTTGTACAACCACAGCAACCAAGGAAGAAGTCAAGAAACTACAGGAATTATCAAGAATTCATCTACATGAGACGCCCTTTCCCAAGGTATTTTTTAGGTGCTGCAAAACACATGCAAATACCATGGCAAATACCATGCAAATGGAGGAAATTTGGTCCGTGGTGTACTAGCACAATGCAAGTGCTTAACTGCGTTAGCTGTATAGCTTAAAAATGATGAACAGCGCGGCCAGCGTTCTGCAAACACTACATTCCGGCTTCAACATGTCTGTGGCGCCAAAATAAGAGATGATAGCGAAGTGTTCACGCTTGTTTCTGTGTTTTTTTTGCCCGAAGGAAGCGTTTTCCACCTGTGGGAAGCAGGTGCTTCTGGATTGAGATTTGCATTTTTTTCTGTGGCAAAAAGTCATTTGAACCCTCTTTGTTACAGTCTGGATTACAATGCTCGGTGTCTCGACAAACGCTGCTGCTGATTCTGAAGTTGTTGCTATCATGGCCGCTGCGACTTTTGCAGTGGTTGGTGTGCTGGTGCTTGCTGGTGCTTGCTGGTGCTTGCTGGTGCTTGCTGGTGCTTGCTGGATCCCCATCTAGTACCGGTACCGTGCTGAGTTGCAAGTTGAGCCAGCTTCAGCGTTCCGAACCAACCACAAGCAGGATAGGTGTTGCTTCATGCTTGTTGGGTACGATCGCCAAGTCTTGGACTTGAATTGAGATTCTGAGTTCATTGATTTATCGTGGCTGTCTCTCTCAATATCAAACAGTTGTGCAGCCAAAGAGCGGGGACCTCCAAAAAAGTGAGTCAGACATCCCGAGGAAAGCTTGCCAATGAGCGCGCTCACTCCTCCAAAGCATGTCCCCTCAAACTGCTATCTGGGCATCTAAGGGCCTAGACCGTTTGCTTTTGGAAGAACCGCCTGGGGTGATCAAAGCATCTCAAAACCATCCATATCATCTTCTCAGATACTTTTCATGTCGCTGCGTTTTTTTTGAGCTGTGCATCTCAAAAATGATTCACCACAACGTGGAGGGGTTGGTATGGACAGAAAGCCTGTCTTGTCTGGCCATCTAACAAGCAAGAACTGAAACCGATGGTTGTACCGAGTTGTCGACTGCCAAGGTGCCAACTAAAGAGTAGCAAAGGGCTGCCAGATTCGGGGACAGCTGTAGTTCTTTCTTTGCAAACTCAGCCAGCAATGTCGCAGGAATAAAGTAGCCGAAGAAACCTGAACTGCTGTGCTACAGCCTACAGATTTGAGACACTTTGCATAGTACGGCTGTGCTTTGACAGAAGCAACAACCATGCCCCTTCAAGCGCTGAAACATTTCTCTCACCATTTCTGAACTGTAGATTGTATCAAGTCCCTGCAGCCATCATTTGTTTCTCGAGATGAAAAACCAGAACGAAAGGAACTGGGGGAACCCGAAACCCTGGAACTCCGGTTGCTGCCGTTGGGTTGTAAAGCTGGCATGCACATCTCTCCGCAATCAAGATCCATCTGGATGTGCTCAATGAACAGGGTCGCTTGAGAGTTACAAAATAAATTGGAGGATCTGGCTACCTACGGGCCCAAACGCATTTTGCAGTCATGAATTATGAGATGAACACAATTCACAACGCTTCATTACGCTTCATGATGGAAAGTAACTGCACGCTTGAAAAACATACAGTTCCTAACTCTTACAAAATCATGTTACCTGGTAAAGTTTTGTGTTTCTTGTCAGGCCGTCTCAACTCCATCCAAGGGTGGTGGTGATATATTACGTCATGGGCCTGTTTGAACAGCAACTACAGAACGCTCAACACATGTTGTTTTAATTGGAATGTGTCTCCAATCGTGCCGGAGTCAACATGATCAACATGTCCGATTTCCACGATGTAGATCCTCCACGACCCAGGATCCAGCCGCATGGCGAATCTCTCGGTTAAGGAGTCAAGGAGCATACAAGCATGTCCAGCCACCAGCAAAGAAATCGCGGATCTTGCACCACGTCCTGGGGGATGAGATGCAGACAAACGGGGACGACCACACCAACCTCAGCACAATTCATGGATATTCATGGCATATCTATCCCGAAGCTGACTGGACCTTTTGCTAGTGGCCCTAACCAGCTAGACTTTAGCGGACTCTGACCCTGCAACCACCTTTTCATGGTATACTTCTCGATTTCCGCGTGTCATTCTGGCACACGGAACATGCGATCATCTGAATTTTATCTGCATGTTTCCAAATTCATTGGAGAGTTTCCCAAAGGGGACCCACAAAAATCTGCAACACAAGTCAAGAATCAGGGTTCCCAACAATATCGAGACCGTCCACTGGTGTGGATAAGGGCAAAAACAAGAATATGAGCTTGACTGAAATGCCTGAAACATTTTCCATTGCCCTTTATTTGATGGCCATAAATTGGATGCAAATATTGCCATGTGGACAATCACATATAATTATTCCATTCACATACACTAAGGGGCCGATCCGAGCATGATCCGCCCCTAGCCGCGCATGTCTCGCAGCCGCCGCGCGGCAGACCTTCCCCATCCATCATCCGAGGCACGTTTTGTGCTACAAAACACCGCATTTCGCGCATCCGCTTTCTCTCAAAAGCGCATTTCGTGCGAGATTTCCCTCAAAAACTGAAAACTCTGAGATCATTTCGCCCACATCTCAACTCACTCTAGTCTCAACTCACTCTGAAATCATCTCAACCTCATCTCAACTCACTCTGAGATCATCGCGACCCCATCTCACCTCAATCCCAGATCATCTCACTCTCATATCAACTCACTCTGAGATCATTTCACTCTCATCTCAGCTCACTCTCAGATCCACTCACACTGAGATCATTCCACCCGCATCTCAACTCACTCTGAGATCAACTCACTCTCATCTTCGCTCAATCTCAAATATCTCACTCTCATCTCAACTCTTACTTCAATGCCTGTAACTCGGAAGTATCCTTCTAAACGTCCTTTGATAACACATGATAATATTCATCCTTTATTGAATATCAGCGCCACAAATTCTCCCCACAGCGCTCCTGAATGCCCAGCTCTGTTGGCTCTACTGGCTCTGCTCCCCGGTTTCCCGAAGTAGGACCTAGCAGACGGCTCGGCCCGGCTCGGCCGAACCACGCTACTAAGTTTCTTGCTTGGGAATAAAACGGGAAGGTAATGGGATAGATGATGGGTATATAATCAACAAGAACAACCAATGGATAATTAAGGCATACTGTAACGATTGGATTATTGGTTTACCCTCCGGTAATCAAACCTGGCTAGCTGGGACGTTCTCTACAAGCGCAGGTTGATAGCTGGGCAAATCATCGGTGATTGCCCATCGCCATGTTTGATTATCGGAAGGTAGCTCCCCTCTGGAAATCGAAGATAGGTAAAGTAACCATTTTGAAGAGGTAAATATGGTAAATTCTCTGCTTCAATGGGCAGTTTTCCATAGCCATGCTAGCTTATCAGAGGGCAATCCCATCCTCCTTTAGTATTGTACTCATGAATGGGGGCCCAGTCCTGATACTAAGGGGATGGGATTGATAAGATATATTCCGCTACTAACTGCTACACTGGTAGGACCAAAGTTGCGCTTGTTGAGCTTCAGACTGTGAACATGTTTGGTTTCTTCTTCTGCACACCCTTTCGCCTTAATCCTAGCATGGAGCTTTGTCGTACCCCCGTGGCATTTCCACCCTCCAAAAGCTTTAAAATCTTACAGATTTAAAGGTGGGTGACAATTGACCGTCCCACGCCTACCCCACAAACGGACTTGGAAATGTGATCCGTGGTTGACCGACATGGATGTTTTGTAAAGCTTTCAAGAAGCACAATCTTTGCTCTTTCTGAACAATTATAGCCAATAATCAACATTTCATCAAAAGTCATCTAAGAATAACACTTAATGGTAGTCAATAACCATTTGACTAGTCATTTCATGGGAAACCATTTCCATTGTACATATTGTACTAGATGGCTAATATAAATCGCAGAAAGTACATGACCATCCTGTATATTGCTAATAAATAAATAATCTAAATATTCAGCAGCACATCATGCTATAAGCCATTTATGATTCCCCATTTGGCTATGGGCCAGGCATGCGGCAAACCAATCAACCCACAAAATGGCTTCTTCGCCATTTTTTTTTAACACTGTTGTCTTTATTAATTTTGGGCAAATAACATATTGACATACTTAACACATTTAATTAGCTTAAGAAAACACTGATAAAGCCACAGGCAAATCATTTCAATCCCTACACATCCCCGCAGAAAGCCGTCGGCCCTTGCAGCTGCCATTTGAGCGGCGTCGAAACCCGGGTAGCGATTTGGTTCTAATCCTTATAAGCTTTCGCGGCGGCTTTCGCGGTTCTTTCGCGCGCACAGTTTTGGCTTTCGCGGCGACATGTGTTTCGTAATATCTTTCGCGGTTGCTTTCGCGGAAAATTGCCCATAAATGATGGTGCACATGAATATTTAAATGTGCTTCTACTATCTACCTGCTTTCGCCGCTGCTTTCGCGGCTCAACCTTGACGCACTCCTTTGGCCGAGCTGCGATCGGAAAGCAGACTCCTAGGAGATGCACCCTGGGCGCGGGAAAACTCTGCAATTTGAACATGGGAATTTGACCCCAAAAAAGGAAATTGACATGAGCGTATCATGAAGTATCATTCAAGACACATGGGGAAAATTGGGGAAAACACATCCGAATTGGCAAATCGTCTCCGTCTGGGACGTTGACGCCCTATTCACATTGTGAGAACATACCTTTTTTTCGTCTCACTTGATCAGTTTCTGCTCAATGGATTCCAACATGGTTTGTGCTCAGCTATCGCAATACGTATCAACTCATCAACCAAATGGTGTTGGCTCTGGCGCTGCATGGCGCTGCACAGCCTCTACGGTAAAAAAGGGTGCAGCAGCCGCCAGGAAAACGCAAGAGACGGCAGCAGTGATCCGCATGACCCATCGCCAGCCGATGGATTCTCAGCAGGCCGTGAGCATGAAAAAAGGAGTCACATGGAAGATATTGCCCAAAAAACATCCTGAAAGTTCAAAGCCCTTGCAACTTTGTTCACTTTTTTACAGGTATTCATGGCATAATACCAAATAATTCCAAATAAACTAGCGATAGGAGAAGTAAACACGGTTGCTGCGTCAGCTCGTCATGAGCAATGGGCTATCAACTCCTGAATATACAGAGAGGAGAAAGCCATACGTGGTTGAAACGACTTTCATTTGTGTGCTCTGATGGCTTTAGTACAATGTCACAATCTTCGGACGACAACTTGTAATCATGACAACCTGCTGCAATATGATCCTCGCACCCAAGTCAATATTTTAGTGGGAAGCTCAAGTCGCAAGCTCTAGGATTCCAAGATGTCCACGTGCACAAATGCAAAGCCCTGCAGAAACCCTCTTTGTGCGGCTTTAGTGAAGCGGCCTGTAAGCAAAGTATAGAACTGTGGCAGGAGAATGGTGCCCACGCTTGTGCCGCCTCGGTTGGCGCAACACATCCAACTTGAATGCATGACCTTGGGCAACAGTATTGAGCTTGTATGAATTGGTCACTGCTCGAATGATTTAGATATATTTAGATGATGAGATCAAAATTGTAGAAATGACCAAACCATACCAAACAACGGTATGTAGACATCTTGATCTTGATCCCTAGTTTTTATAAGGTTTCAAACTGTTTTAAAGATCTTTGGAGCCTGTCACAGAACCATGGACACATAGACAGACTGTAGACATAATAAACGCACATATATACATGTACATAAACATATTCATATCTATATGACAATATATTACACATAAAGTATGTATGTATCAGATCAGATCATTTTAGATTTCAAGACATCTCAGAAATAACATGTTGGAAGTTCCACCAGGTAGCAGGTTGCAAAGCCCACGAAAGTGGCTCGTTTCTTCGCAGGGACTGCAGCATTCAGAGCAACAATGCCAGCCAAATTGGAGGAGCCCAAGCATAAACCTGCAACAAGACTTGAATACATCTGAAAACCATAGATAGCGAACTGCTAGATGTGTTTGCTGGTCCTGTTTATTGATGCTTCCCTTGAACATTCTACTACATCAATATTGTCGATTCTTATCAAGGTATGCCAAGGTTATCTTGCCTTGCCAGGTTGAATTTGGCCACCTAACAATTCGACTATCAGCTGTTGAGACAGTTTTAAGTTCAAGCAGGTTGTCTAACAACGACTTCTCCATGTTGAATCAATCGCAGTAAGCACGCCACAGGCAACATCTCGCCATCCAAAAAACCCTTTGCCTGCCAAGATCGCTGCTGGATAGGCCGCAAAAGGATTTTTGATCTCAGCCAAAGGTCAAATGAAACGTTTTTTTCGTCGAATCAATCGCTCCATCCAGCATATATTAATGTATACAGTGTATATATTATATAATACATAACATGAAGCCTCGCAGATCAAAAAATTGAAATGGTTAACTAAAACTAAACCTACTCATGCATGCGTATAAGTCTATACATATACACGCAAGAAATCACTGAAACCACCAAGCGATATCCGCTGAACTAGTCACTAAAGATCACTAAAGGCATACAAACGATATCAAGACCCCCATCACTCTGCATGTGTAAACATACCACATACATGTGAACTCAATAATCTCGCTCGCATGTATTCTGCACAGCAAACTTCCACTGGCCCTAATCACCACTCAACATGGTTCCTTGTTTGCAGGAATCACATCGGACCTCACGATCTGAGCAGTGGCTGTGCGATTCCTGCCTCAAAGCCTATCGGTCCTGTCCTATCCTTCACATCTGGGCATTTGCTGCAAAGCAACCATGGACAGCGAGGCAAGACCGATTAACACTCCCACTGCACCAAAGATGGCCACCGAAGCATGGCCAGCTCTCTGCGGAATAATGAGGCCTTGTCAGGCAGGACCCCAATGTGACGCAGGGTGGACGTTGGGCACAACTACAAACAACTTCTGTTTATTCGGTTTGCACTGGCTTGCAGGAATCTACCTGTTCAGTAAGGAGTAAATATAGTCGAATGTACATATATATATATATATATTGAGTAATGTGCACATGTGTATATATATAATATTATATAATATATGTAAACATATATATATATATATTATATTATATATTATATATTATACATGAATATAGATACAACATATAAAATAAAATATTATAATATAATGCTATACATCCAAAACCGAGCGAGTGGCCCGCAAGAAATGCACCGGCAAACTGGGCCGTGTTCATGCTGCTGCCAATGGCCGATACCTGAGGGGTTACGGGGTTCCCCCGGACTGGATAGGACGAAAAATGAGAGGTTTTATCAACAAAAAAAGGGATAAGATATGGGGGTTTCCTAAGTCATGGGACCACCCCAATAGCTGGATAGTTTAAACTTGAAAATCAACCAAAAAAAGGATGATTGGAAGTACCACCACTTTTGGATAAGATATAGATGTTGTTCAATCGGTTTTTTTTGCATTGCGTCATTGTAGATATCATGACATTGCAGTGGATGGTGAATAGACTGCAGTATTCCCAGTGAAAATGGATGATGCATGATGATAATTGATCTAAAATCCGCCCGCGCCGAAGGTGGTGCCGATGCGTTTTAAAGTTTTAGGAGCCGATCCAACGGATGGCCAGTCTTTAGCTGGGGCATTTCAGGATCGACCCCCCGCGACCAAAGTCACCGTTTTGACCCCACATGCCCGCAACATGGGCTCAACTTGGGGCCAACTTGGGCCAACAAGGCCCCAACTTGGGCCCGAAATGGACCCACTTGGCTCCAACTTCGGCCCAACTTGGCTCCAAGATGGCGCAACTTGGCCCCAACTTGGACCCGTTTGGGAGCAACTTCGGCCCAAGTTGAGCTCCACATGGGCACAACACTGGGGACATTGCCGGCCCAATACGAAATCGTCAAGACCCCATTTTCACTGATGCTTTTTGGCATCGATGACGCTTCGTGCTGAGCTTGTGTTCGGCCCAACTTAGGCCAAGGACAGCCAAATTTGACCCCAGCCCGGGCGGTACTTGTCGCGAAGCGACTCGAATCAATCATATCCCCAATATATCAAGGGTAGTATAAGTCCCCGAACTAATCAACTCACCTTGATCCTACCAGGCATAGGATGACAGCTTGGAAAGGCTGGAGATGGAGAAGTGGACATCGAAATAGAATGACGAACCATGAACCAATAGAATAGATATTTTGACGACAATGTTTGACAATATGTTAAACATAGACCCAACTAATTCTTGTCAAACTATTCTCCCTGCATAACTGGATAGAACTGGACATACCAACACAGAAATGACCTGTAGGTGTCGCTTGTCGATCCAGCCTCCGGTAGAGAAACGCCCAAATCGGCCTGCAATGTCCGCAAGGTATCTGTATATCTTTACTCTGTGATTCTCGACCTGTAGGTGTGAAGATAGTGGTACTGGATTAAATATACAGGATAGTTACTGTATAGCACATGCTTAAAACCAAATGGTGCAAAGTAACCAAGCCACCAGCGAACCCGACAGAGAGCTGCCAGCTGCCTATCAAGCCCAAAGGGAAACATCCTGAACTGCTGCCTGTATGAACGGTAGAAACACTCCAAAGCTATAAATCGGACCCGAGGTGAAGAACTGACTCCTAGGCACGGCATCCGGAGGCTTCAAAATCATCAGCTGGTTCACTCGTATCTCAAAAATGAATTGATGGTAGCTTCACAGTTTGAACGCCTTGAACATGGAACAACTGGAACAGTTGCGTTCAGCAGAACTGTACAACCAACGGTTTGCTTCCGATACTCTTTTGGGATCAATACTTGTTGGTGCACCAGTGCAAAGAACAAGTATCACAAAGCAGGCAGCAACTTTCTTGGCCAAGTGAGGCTGACATCCAACTTCTGTGGAAGCAGCACAAGCAGCATCCTCCATTTGCATTGTAAATGGCGGAAATGTAGAGGTCTTGCTGTAGCTAGCCTGCTTGGGATTTCCAGTTAAGTGGTTGCCCGTGTGAAACCAGCTCTGAATGGTTCTGAAGTTGACCACCACTATCGCTTTTCTCTTGCCGAGTTCCATTCCTTTTGTCTACGGCCTTTAAGTGTTCAAGACTCAAGACTTTCTCTTCAAACAAAAGTTCTTCATTCCATGACATTCATTGACATTCCATGACCTTCCTTGACGCGTTGGTTTGATCCGTAATGGCCTTGGTGTGAAACCCCATTGAAACTGACCAGTGGCAAGACTAAGGCATCTTTATTCCGAAACAAACAAACCGGAAAAGAAGCAAAACAGTGCAAAGCTAGTATAGCTCTTGAGTACAGACTAGTTAATATACACTATATACATAAGCCATGAAAAAATATCTCGCCCTATCCCATCCCATGCCGGTTGGTATCCGGTTGGTAAATAAGTATCCTGTCAATTATATAATGGGTTACGAGATGTTACGAGTATTATCATCCCCCTTAGAACCAGTTTGTACAACAGCATGATTGAGATCTTTTGGAAGACCAGGAACAGCATCAGGCCTCAAGTGCCTCACATGTTAACAGAATCTCGTCATTTTATGTGATGTAATATCAATAATGTATATATATATACACGCATATATATATATACATTTTAAGAGAAAAACAATTCAATTCACATATAATATACATATACATATATACATATTATAGAAATACATATATAATATATAATATGATATAATATAATATGATATAACATAATATATGACAATATAATATAACATAATAGCATAATATAATATAATACAATATCATATAGTTGTATATTGTATTATATTATCTATACGCATGTTTATGTACATACATCATGTACATCCGTCTCCGGTTTCGAACAGCCGAATTCACGTCCCTCATACACAAGCGCCTCACATCATGACGATGTTGCTGAAGTGGATGGAGGCAAACCTGTTCCAATCCATGCGCAGAGATGGCAATCATTAAGGGATTGGAAGGGGTTGTAGCAACATATTGACGATAATGATTGTACCAACGGTCGATGTTAAGGGATTGTACCCATCAACAAAGTGGAGCGGTTTAAAGATCTGTTCAGCGATTCTGATTGGGATAGTCGGATTTTATCTGTGGTGGGAATTTAATCAATTAGTTTATCAAAGTCGAAATCATGCACGCATACTTCACTGGGCTGCTGCTTAGAAGGGAATGGGGGGAATGATCCAAAAAAATCACATCTATTACCCTCTGGTAATTTAACATAGCTATTGAACATGGCCATTTATAGTGAGTTTTCCCATTAAAAATGGTGATTTTTCCATAGTTATGTTCAATAACCAGAGGGTAAATCCACCATCATCCCACTAGCTCATCCCCTACCAGCACCAGCACCAGGTCCAACGGTCCAACCTGGCACATTCCTCTTGGCAGCGCGATAAGGACGTACTTGTCCCGTCCAGGAGGAGATAAAACTCTCGATCACACCACCTGTGGAGATGTGATTTTTGTCGAAGATCAGAGGTATTTGTCGAAAAAAATAAAAACATCATGTAAACACATTTAAGGCAGTGTGTCAAAACCTTGTACTGTACCCCTGTAGTTCACATCAAAATAGCTGGTAAATGGATGTTCATTCCCCTAAAAATGATATTAATAGGTATTGATCCATACCCATATAGCAACGGTGTCTTGCAATTATTGGTTGATTGTTCTTAACAACAGCTTGACCCGGTGCCACCTCTTGGCACAAATCCAGCCGCGATCGGCTGACTTCCAAGAGACCTCAACAGAGGAGGCGCAAGGCTTCGGTGGAGCGTCTTCGGGTTTGTTGATAGTATTGATATGGTCATTATATTGTGTATATATATATACATATACACACACTGTATACATGGTATATTGTACAATACATATGATCATGATATATCATAATTTAATATACCATTATATTAACTAGTTTCTGCTATGTTCTTAAATTACTCTTATGATCGTTCAGTATTTCTCAATGCAACGCCCACCTTTTGGCCAGCCCCATTTAGAAGAGATGTTTTGAATGTTGATGGGCTCCTGGCGGAGAACAGTACCTCTTAAAGATTTGGAATCTGTGGGTACCCTATTTGGGTATTCCCAAAACCCATAGATTCCATAGATGGTTTATGCTAAAAAATAGACTAAGATCTGTGGTCCCCGAAGTCTAAATGTTGATGACCGGCCTCTCGACACTTGAGCTTCGGATCCTGCGCCACCCCGCGTTGCGCGCCGCGTCCATGTAAGGAAGCTCTTTTTGGGTCATTTATGATCCATCAACTGATTTAGTTGGATGTTGCAGCATGCAAATCATGAGTTCCTGGTGGTTTTTGCTGTTGAAAAAACACGCCAGGGTGACTGCCAACGTGGCATGCAGAGGCGTGAGCAAAGGCTTTTCAGCAGCTTTGGGGCCCAAGGAAGTCACTCCAGTCGTTCTAAGCAAAGACCTGCCACACGGATTCAAATCGAATGAACAAGTAAAAGGATTGATTCTTTTGGTAAAAATGATGCAGAATGTTCAATGGGTGTTTCCGGAACCATTTCGGAGTTACAGTATCTCCAACGAACATTTTCTTCTTGTTATGTCTAGAATCCGTCGCGGGATACATTTACCAACCATCAATTGTTCCCAGTACATCTCTTTGATTTTACTTGAAGTTCTTTGTGCCGAAGAAAACAGATTCTTTGAACGAATAAATTTGGCTGAATTCTAAGATTGAAAGACTGTAAAATGAAATAACAATAAATGAAGCCGGTGTAAAAAAGAAACACCAATATAATCATAGAATTTATATAAGTAATCATGATTTGATCATACATAAACCATCACAAACCCATCATTCTCGGCAATGTCGAGGTCTTCATAGTTTCACCCATTTTATGCCACACATCTCACATCCCGCCCGCACTGCAGAAAGCACCTCGACATGCTTGCCTGGAAGGTCTCTGAAACATTGCCCCCTTCATCCCACTCCTACTAGAAAAAACCTGGAAATGAATGAACATAACAGGAAACTAATCAGTGGAACTAACATGATGAACAATGGTATTTTGGGATAGCCCCTCAAATCGAACAAAGCCACATCAGGTATCGGGTGCTAAATTCCGTGATACCACCAGGATATGCCAAGGTCATTTCTGGTGAACTTCAGGGGAGACTCACCTGATTGGAGAGCCGCAAGGCATGGTTGGTGTGATTGTAGTACACAAAGCGGTACTCGTCCTACCGAGGCGAACTTGAAGGCAGAAACAGCCAGAGGAAACTTGGAGGCGGAGTGCAATGTGGGATCCAGTGCTGTTCCTTGGACCTACTGAGATACTGCCTCAACTACTTCCGTTCTTGTCGAAATGGTTCAAGTATGCTCAAATCACAATTTCATTTTAGACGTCTGCATGGAACACTTGAGCAGTGTTCAATACCCTCCGTCATTCCATTACAGCGGTAGGTTAAGAACGGGATTCCCGGTTCATTGATGATGATAATCCCCAATACATCAAGGGCATCATACTCTCCCGAACTAATCATCAAACAACTATCGTTTACCACTTATATATATATATATATGCTTCATGGTTAAACAGTTTAATTATGGTTGAACCCGCATGAACTCCCTTATAATCATCAACCGCTACTCACCGGAGGCCTCTTGCTCCATAATCTCTTTGTATTGTGGAACAATCAGCGGTTGCAGCTCTGCCAAGGACAAGCCGTCACCCTGAGCTGGTGAATGGACAAGAAAATCTGCTGCGACATTTCAAGGACGAGAAAGTTTGTTGGGCAAAGAATAGATCATCCACTAGTTGGTAGCTTCAATAATCATACAATATATATATATGATTATTATGTACGCACAGCCAAACCATCAACCCAAATGAGGATAGAAAGACATCCATGATTCAAGACGGGTCCCTTTCAAAATCGAAAGGATTGAAGATGCCAACAGCCATGATCAAAGGTCGGACATTCTGCGGCATCCCTTACTTTTCAGGGTACGTACTGAAAAGTCAAAGCAAGTCCTGTCTCTAGAAGTGGACAGATATATCACGTGAAAATATCCCTGTGTAAACTTCTTTTTTCAATCATAGGGTGCACCTCTCCCTGATTCAAAACCCATGTCTGAGTTACCACACTGAGGCGGCAGTGCAGCTGTCTCGCAAGGACTCCAAGAGCCTACATCACTGATCACTGGACTCATTCTGTTAGGTCCTTCCACCAACTGGGTCTCTGAAAAAATGTGGGAACTTCCCCCCAAACTGCAATCTAATCGAACATACATGAAAATATGATGATTCAACACAGCGGATTCTTGGTACACCCTTGTTTCGGACAGAAATGCTTCACCATTGACAGTCGACATTTCCTGCCTCGCATCCACGTGAACATCTTCATCCAAGATGAGCACCAGCATGATCTCAAATATCCAGTGGCGATAAATCAGGGCTGGATGTTGGTGGTCCATCAAAACCTGGCAAAATCAAAAAAAATAATGGTTGGAATGTTGCCGGATAACAAGTCAGTTTTGTGCTTAGTCTTGACCCATAGATTAACACATAGATTAACCCGTAGATTAAACCCATAGATTAACCCATAGATTAACCCATAGATTAACCGATAGATTAACCATCATTAAACTATGGTCTTCGAACTTTCGCCCAGTAGGCCAGCCATGGGAAAATCCTTAAGTCTCAAACGCTTTTGTAGGTGAGCGCCACGAGCTGACCGACTCCGTCATTCAAGTGCACCGCAGGCACAAAGATGGAGGGCGGCCTGCGGGGCGGGCCATCTTCGCATCCCCATTAAACATGTGAAAGATATGTCAAGGTACGATCATTTTGGATGTCAAAGGGGAATCCGAATAAACATTTGAGACAGACCCACGTTTACATTTACAGTAGAGAAGGCGACACAAAGGAAGTCCTTTGACGCACTTTGAGATCACATCCAACGTTGCATGCTCGCAAAAAAAAAAAAATGGCAAGGCCATGATTTTTGCCACGCGATTCATGACTCACCCTCAGCAGCTGACCTTGGGAGCATTGAAACATCAGCTGGTTGCTGCTGTCAAACCCTTGAAAGGTAATTAGTCACCGTGGACCATCATCTCTTTCACTGTATGAGAAAAAACACATACTTGAAACCATCGACCATTTATTAAAATGATATTGTTTTTATAATGTTTCCCCATGTCATATATTCATATGGGACAATTCCCTGTTTTCATTGTTGATTTTTTTGATGAGCATCCTTTGTTCATTATTAATTTCCTTTTGAATAATCCAGTTTCTGTTGGTAAGAGTCCATGATAGTCCATAAAATTGCAAGTTTTCTCCTATCAAAATCTGTCAAATATCGGTAGGCACTGCAGGTCTCTTCCCTAAAATCTGATCGAAACCAGGGCTCTGCACCCTCGAAACCAGGCTCCAGCAGCACCTGCAGCCTGACAGGGCAACAACATCCTGACCCCCCCAAAAAAAAACGGAGAATCAATGCTCCGCCTGAGAACGTGTTCACAACATCCTCGAATACCGTCCAAAAAACAGCTTCCAGAGTTTTTCCGGATCAACATTCTAGGGCAGCATTTCCCAATAGTTCCACCACAGTAATTATCGGAAGGGCTGGTGCAGGATCCGACCAAGGGGTCAAACATGTGGATACCGACGAATGGCTATTTTTTCATAGGGAAAATCATGGTCATAATTGGATCTGGTTGGTGGTATACCTACCCCTCTGAAAAATGATGGAGTTCGTCAGATGATTATGGGATACAATGGGATCTGGGAACACTGCTGCATCACCCCTCAAGATCCCTCAAGGCTGGAGATGAGATCATTCCAGGAAGGCACTTTGTAAATCCAACAATGCGTATTTAAAAGAACAGAGAGGACAGGTAAACCAGGGAACACTAGATATCATGGTTTCCCCAACAAAAATCACCCAGTTTCCCAGAAATTCCCAAAACTCAACCAGTCAGTCACTATGGTTTCCCAAAAATCAGTGAATCGAAACCACAGCGAACTCTGCCTGATTCAGGTGTTGCAGTGGTGCAGGAATAGAGCTATGCTCAACCTCGCCGCTTCACGGCACTGACTTTGAACCACCACCCTTCCAATGGATTCAAATGGAAAATATATGAATGGAACAGTTAAATGGAAACAATATGTGAATGGATTCACTATGATATACTATGGTGATCTATGATGTATTTTTCATGGCCAAATTAATTCAGAGACTACTATCCTGGCACTTGCCATGCTCAATTTCTCAAACCCTCAACTAATTTCCTTTCGACCGAGACACTTACTTATTTGATTGGGGTTTGAGCCGACCAGGACCCCAAAAAATAACGTTGTTGATTTGGAACAGGATGGACGAATTTGTGTTTGAAACTGGTAATCATTCATAACTTATTATACATCTCATATTTCCGACTCATTTCCCAATCTTGAACAAAATTGAACAACAGATCTGAAACTATTGCAATTCGCCATGGCCACTTGTGCTTCCCACCAGGTTGGGTCCAATGGGGTGCGCCTAGAACCCAACGGTGAAAATCATCATCCCATCAAAATTGTCATAGATTCACCATAGAGATTCACCATAGAGATTCACCATAGATTCACCGTAAATCAGTATTTTTTTTCGACCGGCAGCAACTGTCGGGCTGGGTGGCGAGTTTGCGCTCGGTGGAGTTCAGGTTCAGCAAGGTACAAAGCACAGGGACCAGAGACCTTTGCCATGGCCAGGAGATGCCAGGAGCCCAGGAGGGCCATAATTTTCATGGAGATTTGGACCCCACTGAGCATTCGGAAAATGCCATGCAACAGAAGGGGGCCAAGTCCTTGAGCAAATTGGAAAGTGACATGCTCTGCCAATGGCTAGTCCATTTAAGTGATATTTGTGGTCATGACTAAGTGATGCAAAAATTGCTTGGGCAGTGTTCCTGATATATCCTCTATTAACATCACCTTGTGATACCTTTTCTGCGCGTAAGCACCATGTATGTAACCACCATTGAAATTGTGATGCTTGATCCCTAAAATGGCGACATCTGTGATCCATCATCTTGGTCGACGAGCTGAGACTTCATGTCGCCCTTTTGGCAGTACTCAATGTACTTCAAGACCACGTGCTTCAAATAGTCTCCTGCAGCGAAGCAACTCACCTGTCTTCACTGAACTGTTAACTTTCGTAAATAAGGTGGCGGGTTGTATTCAAGGTCTGTCCCCGCAAATAAGGTGCATGCAGTATGAAAAATGCATCAGATCAAATGTGAGCGGATCCTTGGCTGAAGAATGGTTGCGCAACTAATTTCGAGACACGGCCCCGATTTCGTGCTATTTTTTTTTCAGTTCTTTACTGATGTTTTCAGTGTATTTTTTTTTGGTGCAGGCAGAAACGCCGCCGGCTGCTCAACAAAATACTTTCTCTGAATCTTTAAAAAAGGCCCGCCGCAGGCCGCAGGCACCACTTTTCAGTGTTTGGATCGTCGCCAAAAAGAATTGATTCCACCAATCTGAAAACCATTTAAAAACAGACGCTACACATTTAAACAAAAACAACATATTGTTTATTTTCCGTTTTAATCTGTTTTATGTTTATTTTTATTTTTTGTTTTTGTTTTAATTTTCATTTATTATTCTTTTTTTAAATATAGTTTTTTCTTTTTCCTTATTTCCCCGGAAATTCCTTAAATTCAAGGGCTGGCCTTGAATTTAGGGAATTTTGACTCTTTTTCCACGATTATTTTTCAACAAAAATGTTGAAATTCAAAGTGTTTTTTTTAAATCCTGATAATGGGTTTTGCTTTTTCCACGATGATTTTTCGAAAAAACATATTGAATTTCCTTTTTTTCAATAATCGCGGAAAAAAATCGAAATTCCTTAAATTCAAGACCAGCCCTTGAATTTAAGGAATTTCCGCAGAAATAAGGAAAAATAAAAACGATTAAAAACATGATAATAATTAAAATATAATTAAAAAACATGGAAAATTAAGTAAAAATACAAAAGATATCAAGTTCTATAAATAATCATAGTTTTTCAAGAAAGAAAAAATATTGTCTTTTCGGAAAAAGGGTAATATATAAAAATGAAAAATGAAAACATTGAAACACATGAATAAATTAAATATCCTTAAACATTCAATGCGTATTCCTCGTGTCTAGTTTTTAGATTGCTTTCAAATTGGTGGAAGCAATGTTCTTTGAGCGACAATCCAAATGCTCAAACGTGGCGCATGTGGCGGGCCTTTGATTCATAGAACATATTTTTTGTTGGCAGGCGGCAAGGCTTCTATGTGCAAAAAAATGTCAAACTAATTATAATTTGACACACCATACATGTAAAAACGAAAGGCCAAGAAAAATAAGCATGACCATGCTTAAACACAATTTTCAAACAAAAGCGAACAGACTTGACAAATTAAAGAATGTATATAGATTATTTCCATTTTCATGCCCAACACCAACATTTGCTGCTGTGGAGCAAGTCCAATGAGCTGTTGTAAGATGTTGTATCTGTTTTGGATGATTTCTTTAGGTTCCTGCATTGGTTTCTGTATGGCTCCTGTTATTTTCTGCGCATACTTTATTTTGACCTACGCTGTGAACATTTACTAGTTTGTCACCCAAATTCTTCACAAAATGAGTCATGTGGATGGCTGCATTTACCTGATTCAATACAATTTGCTCAAAACCCTTTCAAATTGGATTTCAATCCGAAACAATTGGATTGCAAATATCCTAAACCTTATTTCCGTGTAATTCCCTTATTTCCTCGAATTATGAAAGTTTACACACTGAACTTCTGGTGGGACTTATATATAGAATTATATATATATAATCATAGATACACCACTTGTAATTGGCATTTTAAAGGATCTTGTTGAATGTCTCTTTTCAATTGACAGGCCTTACAAAACACCTGAATGTCTGCTTAATTTCCACAATTTTTGTCTACTCGAACCTTTTCCATCTTCTCCATATCTTCCATCTCCTTTCAAATCTCTTCATACTACTTGGAAGATCATGGAAGTGCATCCCACTTGCTATGTTCCTAATAACCATGAAGGAATTAATGATCTGAAATGGGATGTTCAGCCCAGTGTCATACGTATATGTGTATCTATTTTTTTTTTTGTCTCTGGCCCATAGGTGCTTTCGCTGCGGCCTGTGCATGGCTGACTGAATTCATGTGCTTCAAGTCTACAAGACTATCATCTAAAAACGACCACGGCCTCACCTGGCAAAATCTTGTCCAAGATTTGCGCTGTACATGGTGTGTATCTATATGTATATATATATATAGATATAGATATGTATGGGTACATATAATAATATATACATATATATATAGGATGTGTGTGTATATATATATATAGCCGCTGATTTTCCAGTCACCAACAGTAGCTGCAGATTCTCCTGCCATATGAGTTCTGCCTTGGCTCGACTCCAACTCGCGAATGCGCTCCTTGAGAACCTGTACGGGGATGTAACCGAAAAACACCCGAAAAATGAGGTCAGTTTGGATGATCATCCCAGATATACGATAAACATTGGATAAAATGTCTGAAAACATGACACCACTACCATCAACATCACAAACCAATTGGGTATAGAAACATATGCATGATACACCCATGACCAATTCAATAATTGGATCATCATCCCAGGTATTGAAAGAGTTTTTGAACATCAAATGCGCCCCTCATTTTGGCACACATGTCGGTCGCCCAATTCTAAACATATCCCCTACAACCCCGAGAGTGGAAAAGAAGAAACTGCCTCTGGGATACTTGCGAATGTCTACGGCAAACATCTGATGCCAATTCGAAATTGACAAAGTAGAGTAGGAGTAGCTCAAAGCCAGTCATCACCTGCTTTTATGCTGTAAAATCAAAAAACGTTTGGGGATGGATCAGACTGTCCCAAAACAAAACTTTGATCTTTCAATCATTTTGAATCATCTAATGATCCAAATAAAATTGACCCACATTAGCCCCGCCATCCCCATGACCATCCATGACCACACCTTCTCTTGCGCATAGCTCATCTGCAGCATTTTCTGCACTTCAAGCAGCGATTGGTTCACTTGCTGCACCTGGAACGAAACGGAAAGCCCGTGGGAATTCTTGCCAGTTCTCCTGGCCCCTGGGAAACACTGGGAAACCCTGGGAACCCCACCTGTTGTTGGTGCTTCTTCATCTCAACCTCGCGGTTCGCCTTAGACTGCGACTGACGCGAAGCTTTCTTTGAAGCGGTCAACAGATGTCAAGAGCCTGGTACCCTATAGGTAGTGAACACCAATAAACTGGTCAATGGATTTTCATCATTTTTCATCCCAAGTATAGTACTAGAGCTAATAGCTGTTGATCCATCCCAATATCCCCATCTGGTAAGGCTGACGGTTTTTCCATTGTTTTTCATATTCAATATGTTTTCCCATGATTTTGCCCATCAAGACTTGCGGATTTGAACCCTTTTGCGAAACGCGCCTGCTGCTCAGCAAGGCGAGTGATGGAATCGGTGCTGGTTAGCTCCTGAAAATCTCAAAAATTCCCAAACCCCGATGGCTGCCATGGTTGATTCGTTGATTTTGTTCCATATTCACATCACATTTAAAAATGCCATATTATATGCCATATTATGCCATATTATGCCATATTATATGCCATATTATGCCATATTATGCCATATTATGGCATATTATGGCATATTGTGGCATATTATGGCATATTATGCCATATTATATGCCATATATCATGGTATCCCCCAATTTTGGGGTAAGCCCACGTGAAGCAATCCAATCAGTACACTTGCAGCCGTCGTGGGGGATGAGGGGTCTGAAACTCAGCAATCAGTGCTTCCCAACAATGACATTGTGGACAGAAAAGGACAGAAAAGAGCGGGATTTAGGGATACCAAAGTATGATCCGAAAAGCAAATCCCGGAAAAATGAGAGTCTTTTGCTCAAATCCTATAACCAGGCTATATCTGGCCGGACAGCTCCCATCGGCTTTCCTTTCAGCAATGCACCATGGAATCCCCAAACCCAGGTGCCATCGCTTTTCCCTTCGCAGTCGGCCTGCTTTGAAGCGAATGTGTCTCGACGCCTCCGGTGGACTGAAACGCAAATCCTTCAGGAAGCGTGCGTCATGGACCTAGATCGCGAAACATACTTTTTCAATGAGAGAGAAATGATGTACAAAACCAAAATTTGACGGACAAGTCTTCAAACACTATATTTGAGAAGCTGCGAACTTGCCATTAAGGCATCATTTCATCACTTGCTTCTTCTCAGGCAGTGAGGCCCTCCTATAGCCTGCTGTGGCAGTGGTGAGCTACCAGTACCCTTACCCAAAACCTCCAAGGAAACCAAGCTGCCTCAATGTCTTTGTTTCTTGCAGGTCCATCAAAGTCCAATAGTAGTGCCATCTTTGTTTCTTTCATTCAATTTGTCTAGTTTAAATTCTACTACCAATCCCTGTGATGGAATTCACATTCCAATACTAGTTATCTTACTGTTGTCAATACAACAAGGCAAAAACGTAAACGCTGCAGCGTGGCGGGCTGCCTCATTGAGGCAACTGGTCAATGGTTTCTTGGACCTGTATCCAGGTCATGCCATTCACCACATTTGCATAGCCCAATTTCGCCAGAACTCCCTGAGCCATCTGCGCTCGAATGCCTGCCACAAAGCCATCCAAGCGGGGAAAATGGTGGCTGAGTTGTTGCTTTGCATGGTGGGGGCCCTAGTTATAAGCTGGTTTATAAGCCCATTCACTATAATTGTATCCTCCATAAACATTTGTAGTCATTAGTTCATCATAGTTCATCAATACCAAGTGGTTTTCAATTTTTCCAAACTCCGAAAAGAAAGATCAAGCAGTTGAGAAACTGAGAAAGTGTCCCTGAGTCCAACAAATCAGCAGGTTCCAGCAAGAAAATTCACTCAACAAAGGAGGTGCCACAAATCTGGCGCCACAGTATTGGTTGCAGAAAGATCCTTCATGATCTTCACCCACATACGATCCCAAACATGTTTTTTTTTCCATGTTCAAGAACAATGGACCATCCCAAAATTTTACATGTGCGTTTAGCATTTACTGTCATTGGGGAGGAACTTTCTAAACATTTCTCGGCCACTTTCCTGGAAGATTCTGCTTTGCCTTTGGCGCAAAAGACCACCACAGGAGTGGAACTATCCTCAGGGAGTTCGGCGGCTCGGGCCTCTATCCTGAGGCGGACGAGGCATAATGTGCGGTAAAGTTTAGGCACAAGTTTCAACGTGATAAAACATACTGTGTATGTACATCTGTATGTATATATATATTATGAATTATATTGAATTATATGATCATGATCATGAATATACGTGTAAATAATTACATACACATATGCGTACATAATATGCAAAATGTACCTATATATATATATATTAATTATCTATGAACATGAATAGAAATGTCCATAGAGATGTACATACACATATATATATATATATATTATAGATATACACGACATGTGTTCGATAACTTGCAATTGAAAGACAAAAGTCTACATTCTATACATGATATGTTGTGTATGTTCATATGTGCCTACATATCATGCAAATGCCAGTACATAGTTGTACAGAAGTGGAATTACATGATTATGCGTATATGTGCATGCGCATGTATAGAGTGAGAGAGAGGTATCATGTCCAATCATTCCATATAATTTCATATAATTACATATTGTTCCAACTGTACACCTTTATCCGCTGCATGTCGTCGCGCATGAGAAATCAACCCAACGGCCAAGCATCTGAGTATGGGGAATGTTTACGCTGCCATCGACATGGCCGTCTGCATACCTTGGAAACGCATGCTGAGTGCCTAGTCTGGATAAAAGGGAGTCAGGGAGAGAACTTGTCTGGTGGCCACCAAATGTAAAAGGGTCTCATTTCATACAAGCATCCCCGGATTTGGGACAAATTCGTCAACGCCTGTCCCATGGTAATCGACAGATAAAGTGGGAGGGTAGCAGAGACAAATATGGGAGGAAAGAAGAATAGAGAGGGAGAGAGAGAGAGAGAGATGCAAAAAAAGACTGCTTGTCAAACAGAATGTCTAACAACTCTGACAAGAAGAACAACGATACCAAACCATTATTTGCCATTAATATACCATTATATTATCCCATTGTTATGGCCCGCTCCATTAATAATATACCATTGATAGGTTAGGTCATGTTAGGTCCAAGGACAAACGAATCGGTCTCAGTTGTCCATGTTCCCTTGGGCCCTTCTAACCCAAGACCCCCGATGTCCGACTTTGTATGTGATAAGTTATAAAGCATCTTTGTTGACCCATTTGTTGCAAGCAAAATATATACATATGCATGTGTATATATAAATAAACGGCAACTACATTTGAATATACGGACTTTTTAATATACGAACTGGTATTGTAGACTACCTCTGGGAAGCTTTTCCTGGGCCCGCCCGACCATTTAAACATACGGAATCCGATTAATATTTAAACATACTGCGACTACATTTAAATATACGAACTGGTATTTCATACTACCTCCGGGGCCTCACGGTCTGGCCCGCCCTCCACAAATTTAAATGTCGTTACCGTAAGTACAAATACATGATATGTATAATTATGCGTAAAGAGTCGCTCCACCTCTGGCCGCCACAGGATGGACCAGAGTAAGGCAGGGAGGTTGCCTTGGAGCCGGCGCCAAGCGAAGAATTCCGCCAGGAAAACCTGTGCCGTTTAGGCCGCCAGGGCGTGCGCTCGCAGCGCTGCCGACGCTGTTTGGGGCTTGGTTCTGCATTGAGAACAACGCGGAGCTGAAGCTTGAGGACCTTCGAAGGCAAAAAAGGCTGCAGCGGGAATTAGTTTTTTCCAGGTCTCTCTAACTCTCTCTTGGCTTTCGCGTTTTCTTTTTCTTCTTCTTTTCTTTCTTTCTTTTTTTTCCTTTCTTTTTTCTTTTTTTCTTTCTTTCTTTCTTTCTGTCTGCCTGTCTTTCTTTCTTTCTTTCGTTCTTTCTTTCTTTCTTTCTTTCTTTTCGTTCTTTCTTTCTTGCTTTCTTTCTTTCTTTTCTTTTCTTTTCTTTTCTTTTCTTTTCTCTCTTTCTTTCTTTTCTTTTCTTTCTTTTCTTTTCTTTTCTTTTCTTTCTTTCTTTCTTTCTCTCTCTCTCTTTCTTTCTCTCTTTCTCTTTCTTGTTCTCTGTCTGTTCCTCTTCTTTTTTGCCCTCTCTCTGTTCCTGCTTCCTTCTTCACCCAAGCGGCCTTTTTTTTGCCTCTCGCTTCTTAGCTTCTTCAAAAAACCAAAGCTTAAGGAGGAATTGCAGACATAGGAGTTCTTGGTGCCAGTAGACGAGAACGACTGCGATCTTCGCGGTTGGAGTGATTGGGTGCATTCTCCTCATCGGACCACCTTGCTGGACTTGTAGGCGAACTTGTTTTCTATTTAGTCAGGGATGCGTCAGAAAAGTACAGAATTATCAGCAAATCAATTGCATGCGGACACGACACAAGACCCCAAGAACCACCACTAGCAAGATGCACCTGCTCGTCGGTCCACTCTATGACTTGGTTTCTGTTGTTCGAGCGGGGGCGGCCATGGTCTCGAATAAAACGATAGCCAGCTTCTCGAGCACTTTGATCCATAGTCATTTTCTCTCGAATGTGGGAGCATTTGACCATGAGCGTACTTGGATGCCACGGATGCGATCAAACATGTAGTTCAAGGCTGCCAATGCCAAGCGTGATTGATTGCCCCAGTCGAAGGGGACAGGAATCCCATGACAGCATGCAATCAAGTCCTTAGACCACACCTTGTTCTTGTGCAAATGGACATGCTTGAAAATATCCACGCGGGTGTGATCCTGATCTGGAGGGGAGAAAGCTGGCACCATGATGAACTGCATGCTGTAGGGCACATTGGGTTCTTTCTTCAAGCCAAGAGGTTCTGGAAGATCTCGATACTTGCCTTGTGCACATAGGGTGTACAGCTGAGAGCCAGGAATGCTTGGTCAACTTTCAAAGGTCTTCAAAAAAAAAGGTTCTGAATGATGTCGACAAACTGCTCGAATTTGCCGCATGTGCTAGCCAGATCTTGCAAAGGAAGATCGATCAAGCAAACATCGCCTGCAGGACGATCAGCCTTCAAAGGTTTCACGAGAGGCCCTAGCAGCTTTTGGCCTTGAACTTGAACACATGCCTCCTCAAATGACAATGCTCCATCTCTGTCTCAGAGATTATGCCGGAAGCTCTCGATGAAGGACAACTCCACTGCAGCCATGTGAGAATATGATGCAGAAGTGTGACGGAGAAGGATCGAGATGAGAACCATGAAGCCCAGAACACTGCAGCCGGACTATGAAGAGAGACGGAAGAAACATGATCAGAAAAACATCGGAAAAAAAGCAAAAACACTTTTCCAGATGTCTTGGGGGCCTGCCCGGCCGTTCGGAAAACAAATAAAACTCGAGAAAACCAATAAACACTGTTCCAGAGGTTTCGGGGGATGAGGGGGTCCAGCTGAGAGTCTCCAAATTTTTGTTTGTTTTCTCCATGGGGCCCTCCCCAAGTCTCAAAATACTGTTTTTCCACGTTTCTTTTTGGTTTTCTCCATGAGACCCTCCACAAAGAGTCTCAAACTATTGTTTTTTTTTCGAGGCGTTTTTGAATGAATGTCTTAAGTGGAGGCCAAGATTTGGCCTCCGTTTTTGGAACCTTCAGTCTAACTTACATATTATTGTGATTATATTTTAGAGTACATACTGCTTATTTTTCAATGTATTTCCATAGTTTTTGGAATATATATATATATAAGCTATATCTAAGCATTGCAATAGCAATATCCCTCAATAGACCTTTGGGGTAGGTCCATTCGAGGGCGGTGACCATATGTATGTACACCCACACACACACACTAGACAAGAGTGGATCTTTTAAGTGATCCGTCGGGAACAGAGTCCCCTAACATGGAATTAGATTAGGTACGTGTATATATATATATATACGTTTGCACGGGTCTCGGGGAGGTGTCTTCGTTGATCACTGACCCCCCCGGGACCCCGGTGATCCCCTGCTTTAAGGTATAATACAAATATAATATAATATAATATAATATAATTTGATGAGCCACGAGCGAAGTTTTAAGTTTGTTCAGACGGTACACACACACACACACACACACACCCTGCCTTTGGCAGGGTGGTGTCCTGGCACATGAGGTGAAAATGAGGATGAAAAGGGGGAATGAGGATGAGATGAAAGTGAAAATGAGATGAAAGATTACTTAACCGGGACCCGAGGAGGGGAACGCAAAAGAAGAGGGAAGGAGCAAACACACACCAGCACACCTGGCCCGGAGCGGGCAAACCCTGAAAGCACGGGAAAAGAAAAGCGGAGGCCGACGGACACGGAACAAGACCAGCGGAGGGGGGGGAAGACGGAAGCGCGTGAACCAACCTGACACAGCGAAAACCTACGCCTACCTCGGCACGCACAGGACCCGACCTACCTGGGGAGGGAAGAGCGCATGAAATAGGGGACCGAATGGGGAACTAGTTGGTGAACCGAGAAAAACAATAAAGGTTAAAGGGGACCCAGTTCAAACCTAGAGTGTCGTGCGTTTTTCCCAAAAGGGACCGTGGTCAAATCCAGCCACATGGGCATAAACGGCATTTCAAGTTCCCAATGAATTAGATGCACAACTTGTTCAACCTCACCAGAAACCAAAGTGACCACACCTGCAGGAAAAGGACATGCCTGTTGCCTGTTTTGCCATGCTGGAATGCGGAAAGCTTGAGCTGCGGTTCAAAAAGGAAGTTTCTGGCTGTTCGGAGTGGCTACACGTTCGCAAAGAGGAAGTTGGCGAGGTTCACAAAGGACCAGCGGCAGGACATCGCAAAAAAGGCTGGTGAAAAGAGAATGCCAACTGTTCCACATTACTTAAACGAATTACCAGATTAAAAGTGTCACTTCCAACATCCAGTCAGTCAACATTCACCCTCAAAGGGGTTGCCTCCAGTGGCCCTATGGCACCTTGTCGGAGTCACCAAAGGAGTCACACTAGACAAGAGTGGATCTTTTAAGTGATCCGTCGGGAACTGAATCCCCTAACATGCAATTAGGTTAGTTACGTAGATAGATAGATAGATAGATAGATCGATGGATGGATAGATAGATAGATAGGTAGGTAGGTAGGTAGGTAGGTAGGTAGATAGATAGATAGATATATGGGCTATGGTGGCCACCAGCTGCGACTTAAATGCGCCCAGGTGCACCACCAAAGCACAGTAGGTACGTTTGCACGGGTCCCGGGGAGGTGTCTTCGTTGGTCACCGACCCGTCCATGGCCTTTACAAGGCTTTCGGCTTTGTAGTGCTTGGGGACGTGCATGGCCTTGTGTGCAGTGAGGGCGGCCCTGAAGAATAAGTTCCATGCTGCAGCGTTGCGTTGCTTCAACGCACAATGAGCTACACGCAGGCCCAGCCCCGCAGTCGTGGCGTCGGCAGTCATAGGCAAAACTGCAAGTATGCCGGAAGCTTGTTGTCGCCTGCAAAGAGGGCTTCCAGCTCCTTCTTCTGGAATATCCGCGTAGTTCGAATTCCACCTCCTCGTCCATGGCCTTCTCCCATTCCAGCTCCATCATGCGATCCTTCACTTGCTGGTCCAAGTCCTCCACTGGCAGTTGGCGGATCCTATCTTCAGTAGCTTTGACCACATCGATGAAGTCCTTGTCAAAGGAAAACATGTTCGGATCGCTGTCATAGTCCCCCCCAGCCATGCGGGCGTTGCCGTGCCCATCCCGGCTGACCAATACAACATCTTCCGGGACCAAGCCCTTCAAATCTTCTGGCCACGGCTTTGCCTCCCACACCTCCATGTCCCACGGGCATTGGCATGGGCACCTCCACACCACCACTTCCCCCACCAAAACCTCGCTGCCCGTCACAATGCCCCCGGGACCCCGGTGATCCCCTGCTTTAAGGTATAATATAATAAAATGTAATATAATATAATATAATATAGTATAATATAATATAATATAATATAATATAATAAAATGTAGTATAATATAATATAATATAATATAATAAAATATAATATAATATAATATAATATAATAAATATATTAAATATAATATAATAAAATATAATATAGTATAATATAATATAATATAATATGATGAGCCACGAGCGAAGTTTTACGTCTGTTCAGACGGTACATACACACACATCATGTACATATAATGGTTTTCAGATGTTTTCAGCTACCCTTGTTGTCAGAGCTGTAGCAGGCCAGGAAACTCCTCTGCAGTACGCACGTCAAGGAGGACCACATCTGGTTTCAGCAACTGCTCCACCAATTCAGGGCCTGGTTTACGTTCCGTGCCATGTTTGACCAGCGGACCAGTAAATGCTAGGTTTGTAAATGTTTCACAACAAATCGCAATGATAGATGTTAACACCTACACAATCATCATCAATACCATGGAATAGAAGGATGTGACTATGTCATACTACACATCAACCATCCAAAGAACCAGATTTCCAACCTCACTTTGCCATACCTCCCTCCAATCGGACGGATACCACTTTGAATCACACATATCCAGCCCTTGGATATGGACTTCACATGTCTTCCAATTGATGCATGTTATAGGCATAGGGAAACCCTCCAATCAATCCTGTACCGGATAATCTCCCAGAATCTGTCAGAGTTGGGAACATTGACTTCTGGACTTAGAGGTTTTATCCATGAAGTAGAACATCTGTTCATTTTTGGCACCAAAAAACAATGAAGATCAACCATTTGCCCATGATGTCTCTGAAAAAAAATAAAATGTCCCACTGCCTTCATCTCCTCCGCGAGCATGCAGCGCAAGCCGCGTCTGACTTCCTGAAAGCTGTCACACATCTTTGCTACATTCATTAGAATTAGATGCATATCATGTATGTGTATATATATATGAACTATCATATATACATACATACATACATTACATTACATTACATTACATTACATCACATCACATTACATTACATTACATTACATACATACATACATACATACTATGTAATATGTACATGCATATTCAACCACATCTGTCACATGCCACGCAAATCTGTTACAGCGCCGTCCTGGTTTCGTGGGTGAAGCGACGAAGTTCAAGGCCGTCCTGTCATCCAAAATCACGAGAACTCACTGGATCTGGCCTGGATGACTATGAATATCTAATGTATCTGTGTATCTGTGTAGAAATGTATTCATAGAAGTATAATTACATAATTATATGATTATATAATATTATATATGTATGTTATATATATATATATGATTATATATGTATATGATTATACATGTATATGAATTCGTTCTTCTCATCGATTCTCAGTTCCTGAGCAAGATGCACAAACTCCCAGCTAGCAGAAGCCACGCGATGGCGCGCCCAGCCATGGCGTTCACCGTTCACCGGGCGAGCGGCCTCAAAACCCACCTTCTGTGACAAGCTTGAGACGTGGAATGCCACGGAAGTGGAGAATTTTCCTCGTATTGAAAGGATCAAAAAATAACATGGTGCACAATCTGTCAATTACCCTCTGGTAATTTAACATAGCTATTGAAAATGGATAGAAATAGTGGATTTACCCATTAAAAATGGTGATTTTCCATAGCTATGTTAGTTTACCAGGGGGTAACCAGCTTGTGACTGCGGCGTACATGCTCCTGCTCCAGCTCGCCAGTCTTTAGGCGAAGCTGGCTCATCAGCATGTCCTGCTGGCCGGGTTTGAAAATCTTGGGAAACTCAAAGTCCAATGGTTTGAAGATGTTTGAGACCTCATGTTCCCCATTCAAACATGGGTCATTAAATGTCACCACTGAACATCACCCAACCATGAGGTATCTCATCTATAATTGCCATTCAAAGGTGATGTCCAATATAGCCCCAAAATGGGACATTTACCAATCCCCATTCAAATTACAGCATTTTCAAAGAACTCCTAGTTTTAAGCAAAGGAGCAATCGGTCAGAGTCAAATCTTGCACCTAAAAACCTCAAGCATCTCAGCCAGCACCCAAAGCCACCGTGCCTTCTCTTCCAAGCGCCTGTCTGCCTTGCTGTGTGAGGCCCAGAAATTGGGAGTTTTTGCCAATGCTGTCCGTTTTCAACAGGAAAAATAAACTATTTTTGGGTTAAGGTATGTTGAGGCATACAGTAAATGCCCCATTCTTGGACACTGGTATGGACAACTATGAGTGGCTCCTTGCGCTGGAAGACGCAGCAATCCACTTTAACCAACCCATTACGACCTGCATTGCAGAGAAACTCTGCTTGAGGTTTCAGCGTAGTAACACGCAGCTTGGACTTCTTGGTTCACTGCTGGTTCGTACTTCTTTGATCCTATTTGCTGCCAATGAAGAGTCGAAATACCAGCATGGTTCAAAACTTATCCGGCAAACAAAAACTGAATGTTTGGTCATAGTAACAATTTTCGGTACTGCCTAATATCATTGTCAACCAATAGTAACCAACATTAACCATCACTCATTATCAAGCCTTAGCCATTTGCCACCAGCTATCAACTCAAATGATCCAACTGGCCGGGAAATTATATATAGACACAAAATAACATGAGATCTATGTGTATCATACAGTAAGTTTATCATGGTTGATCCACGAAACCATCGATATCAACCAATATTCAGCATCATTGACCTAAATTGCCAACAATTATCAATCCAAATTATCTAATTTAATGTGGTTAAAACAATAATAAAACCATCCCCCAAATCACCATAAATGGGTGGTATAAACCATCAAAAATGGGGTGGTTTATACCCACATTATTATAATTTGTGGGTTGGTTGATGTTCCCATTCCATCCATGTTGCGGGTGGTGTTCCTGATGCTATATTGACCCACTCACGATTTCGTGCCCAAGGGCCACAGAAGCCGTCAGGTGATCACTTTATCCAATTTTTCTGGGGTTGATATTCAGCATTTGATTGATAAACAATTGGATAATCACATTTAATATCACATTTATGGGGTTGATATTCAGCATTTTATGTTTTTTTCACATTTAATTCTGATCACCTGATATCAACCCCACAGGTCTTCGAAATTGGAATCCGTTGCTGGTGAAGATCCAAATTTTAATATCAACCCAATGTCAACCCATAGAAAAATGGCATATGCCACCAATATCAACCAATATCCAGCATTGCCCAAATAATCTACCCTCAACTTGGGTTGACATTGGGCTTATAATCCTCCCATGGTTATACAGTCCTCATCAAATGATCCCATGATGGAACCTTATGGTGATATCAACCCAAATGTAAACCCAACAATATACCATGACTAAATAAATAATTATCACATATTCCACCATTACTGACCCAAATCATCATCCATTGACTCTTCTACAGCTGATTGAAAAAAGAATAGTCAGAATAGTCATCCATTAGTCTCTCCAAAGGAGTCTCACTGACCCAGATTACCCTCAAATGGATTTATATAGTCATGAATAATGTCTCCATAAATATCAGAATGGCCTCTAATTGTCATCAATCATCAATAGTCCCAACTATTAATATCTGTAGTCATTAATACTCCCAACTAGATAGTCATTAATAATCCCAATGAATATCCCAGCACTTATTCTACTCATATCATGTCTATAATAGTGAATATACAGTAGAATACTAAAAAAAGGTCATTACTATACGTAGTGACGTAGTATTGGGATGAATATTGGGATATACATATTATAGTTGGGATTATAATCCCAATGAATCCTAATTTCAATATCAACTATGGGGTATTCCAATATAGTTGGGATATGCCAATACTACATATTGATCTTATCCCAATGAATATCCCAATATGGCAGTGTGTCAAAACCTTGTACAGTACCCCTGGTGAACATCAAAATAGCTGGTAAATGGATGTTCATTCCCCTAAAAATGGTATTAATAGGTATTGATCCATACCCATATCAATCCCAACTCCTCCAATTTCCTGGCCTCCTCGCGGTGCAGCTCTGCTTCGCAGCGCTCACGTTCCAGGTCCAAGCGCAAGCGCCGCGCCTACAAGAGGAAACATCGGATTCACCCATATCATTTCTAGGGTGAAAATTGGAGGTTTTAACATGTTTTAACCATATGAAAAATGTGATTCACTGGATGTTTACATTCATTTTTTAGAGTTTATACGGGCTTTAACCATGATAAAGTGGATCTAACTTGATTTCAACATATGTTAACCATCATGTGTAGGGGTTATAGAGGTATTCACCATGAAAAATGCGACTCCCTAGATTCTTACATTCATTTATAGGGGTCTATACGTGTTCAACCATGATGAACTGAATCTAACTTGATTTTAACCATAATTTCTAGGGGGTTGTCATCGTTTTAAACCCCACAATATGGACGATCATTATTATAATTGATAAATGGGTCTGACTGACATGGTGATTGTTTAACCACCTTACTGTAAATGTCATTTTTTGGCAGCAAAAAGGGAGATCAACCTTTTTTAGCCAGCAAATTTGGTCAAACCGGCTGAATAGTGTTTACGGATGTAATGAGGTGTAGTCATATAATGGGAATTTCACGGGGCTATCATGAAATACAGCAGGATATATATATATATCATACATATCACCAAGAGCTGGAAACCTACTGCAACATAATGAATACATTGGGCAATATCCCAAATAGATTGGCAATTGATTTATGCTCAAATAATGTTATGAAGGGAATAACTCCCTATGTTCATCAGCCGATATCAGGTATACACTATATATGGGTAGTATAATGGTTCAACAACCGCTTAAAAAGAGTAGTGATTCTGATAACCCCAATATGTGGATTCTCACAATCCCCAAGATGATCTATCTGTGTCTGGAAATGGAGGATAGAGCCTGGCTGCAGAAATACCATGAATTGGTGCCCACTACATCTGTCAATTGAAATAGCATGAAATCCGCCCGCACCGAAGGTGCTGGGGCGTGATCGTCCGGATGGCACTCGTAAAAGGTTACAGGTTTACCTGGGGGGGGGGGGCATTTTGCGGCCAAAACCTCCTGGTTTTGGTAGGTCGTGACGCTCGCCTTCAAAAAACACTGTAAAAAACAGTACGGAAGACACCTGTTCGTGAACGCGCCCGTCCAAAATCGGCAAGCGAAAAGTGAAAAAAACCCGTGTTTTTCAACTTTTTGACCTCAATTTTTTGGTTTGCAACATCTTTTTTTGCGGTTCCGCAGGTGGCCTGGCCCGGAAGCGGATTTTTGAGTTTTTGGACCCGTTTTCGGACTGATTTTCGTCATTTTGTGATAGCAGAAACACTGGTTTTTACAGTGTTTTTCTATTTTCTGCATGCTTGACGGCTAGCTTCAAAACTTCCAAAAACCTCGTAAATTACGCTGTTTTATGTTACGGTGTGAATGAAAACATCGTAAATACCAGTGTTTTTTGACGTTGGTTAAAAAAACACTGTAAATTACAGTGTTTTTGGCCACCTGACCCTCAAAAACCATGGTATTTGCAGTGGTTTCTGCTTCTCACCGCGCAAAAACACTGTAAATAACAGCAATTTCGCCGTTTTTTCATGTTTTTCGTTATTTTTTGAACTGCGTTGGTCCGCTATACATGGCTATCAAATTCTTCGCGTTTTTTTTTTTCCGACAATCAGTACTTTCGGATGTTTTTGGTCTCAATGGCCGACATCATTGGCAGTTACGAGCGGTCGCGAAGGTGTGAGAACAACATCGTTCAAACCGTGGCGGCCGCACAGGGGTTCTTGTCGCGGAGCGACGGCAATAGAAGAGAACAATGGCAGTAGAAGAGAACAATGGCTGACATCATTAACAGTGTGGACCGTTCACTCGATATGTACATATATGATCTTATATATATAGATATATCTCTCTATCTATCTATCGGTCTATCTTTCTCTATCTATTTTGGTTGGCCGACATCTTTGCCAGTGTGGAGCGTCCAGACAACAAAAGCCTACATCTTGCAGATATGATACTTGTAAAGCTTTCAAATTTATTGCTTGGTGCAAGGCAGCACCACACAACCTCAGGTTCAGTTCTTTTTTTTGCTCTGGCCGCTCACGGACGGAAAGTTCGCAAACCTGCCGTCCCAGGATCCACACCAGGCAAAAAACAAAAGCAGTATCGCCTCTATACTCTATGTCCGTTTTGTTGTTTGGGTTTCTATGAAATCTGATTTGTCGTTTCAATCACAAAGAACGTCTTCATCCGACATGCCTTTTCATCATCATGATTACCATCATCAAATCTACAATCGTGCGTGCTCTTTAAACCTTGATGTGTTGGTTTTCTATGGAAACGGTCATCATCATGATCACCATCATCATATCTGCAATCGCACGTGCTCTTCAAACCTTACACAAGGGAAATAAAGGCCTTCTTTGATTGGGTTCCTTACCACCTGCTGCAGCGCCCCCTGCCTGGGAACCATGAAGAAACACACGCTCACCTGGAGACTGGTCACACACAATCCAGGCGTTGTTTACCGGCTGTAAAGATTTATTTTATATACATATACATGTACAAGTGTATATCTGTATATTTCTACATAAGCATATGTAAAAGTATTTACATGGTGTATACCAATGCAATACATATGTAAGCAACCTATTACCGCCACAATGATCAGAGCTGCAAATCACGCTGGCTGATCCACATAAAAGACCAAAACATTACTTGAGAACAGGGAGATGACAAAAATGAGACCGAATGAGAAGAAGGGACCAAAGGGCGGAAGGAAGGGCATTGGTGAACATGCAGAAGGTGCGAATGACGATGACAATGCTGATAATGATGATCATGATGATCATGGTGGTCAGGATCATGATGAAGATGATGATGATGATGATGATGCTAATGATAATGATGGCGATGATGATGATGACAATAAGGAGGATCGCAGGACCTCAGAAACTTCAACTGTCAAGCATGCAATGATATGCCCATCAAATGTGTATCTAAATCAATATATGTACATTTATACAAGTTATACATATATGTATCTATTCAAATATGTCACATAGCTTATACAGCTAACCGCAAAAGTCACGGCAAAGAAATGAAAAAGCGACATCCCAATGGCACACCGCGCCACGAACAAGTCACGGCAAAGTTATTGCAAAGTCCTCTTTCGCTTGACGCATCGGCGAGTCACAAACTTGTCTATGTTGTGTGCATCGCAGGACGATTAGCATGGACATTGGTATCCAAAAGCCTTTACAGGACCAGCTTGTTTTGGACGCTGCCCCCTGCTCCCAATGCTGTGACCTTCGCTTCTGCCACAGGATCGCCCCTGCGGCTGTGAGGTAGCATGTGCACGGCGATGCCTTGGGCGTCGCGACAGAACCCATCAACCATACACTCCGGCTATAGTTCACTCGCAAGAAGGGTAATAGATTAAGTCTAAGTCGCGCAAATGTGACATCATTGGCAGTGTGGAGCATCCAGACAACCTTACTGGCATACATGATAAGCACAATGCTTTCGCAATGATTGCTTGGCTCAAGGCAGCACCAGACAACGTCAGGCTCAGTTCTTTTTTTTTTGCCCTGGCTGCTCGCGGACGGAGAGTTCCAGGTTGCCAAATTCACTTGTTCCACTGGCCGATCCTCATTGCCCAAAAATTCTGCTATGGACACTCTAAACACAGGGTTTTCTGTCAGAGTCAAAAGACCAGGCTGCAAACCCCTCATCCCGCGAAGATATTTGGCGGCAGCCTCCAACCTGCGAACATGCTGCCGGCTTCCACCCGGAGCACGATTCTCGGCAGCAAACTGCCCCGCTTCCTTGATCTTGGCCAACAACATGGTCATGTCGCCCAATCAAGCTACTGCATTCCTGCCCATCTTCTGGAAGAGCAACTTCACCCAAACACACTGCAGTAACATAGCCATCACTCACGAGCTGAGGTTCCCGGATCAATTCTACAAATCGATCCACCTTGCAGACACGAACAGACATAGCCACATCTTGCCGCTCCAAAGGCCCTTCACGCAGCCTCACATAGATGGTCCGGAGCTCTGAAAATTGAAACCCAGGAAACAAATCTTCCAGAGGCACACTACCAAGCCGATGATTGTACGCCACAGGCGTTGCCATGGCTTCTCGCTACAGGTACAAATCCCTTCGGCTCCAAGAGCACGAGAACGGAAAACCGCCACCATCCAATGATTTTAAACCCATGAAAATTGCCATGTGTGGGGTTTGCCCCATTTTCAGATCCCCATTTCTAACAAGACGATAGCGTTTGTTGGAACCGCTGACTTTCAATAACAGAAGCAAACATCTGCCCCATCTATTGACATGGGCAGGACTTGTGTTGCTAAAAAATATATGCATTTGCGCGAGTGAAACATAAATTGGACCATGGAGTTTGCTAAACTCGACCCATGTCATGGAGTTCACCCACCACTCGTTTTGCTAAATGTTCTACAGCATTTGTGCGAGTGCAATTCCGGAAATTCGGCATACAGCCTGAAATCCCAATTCTTCACAAGTTGTCACCATATCAGCTAAATTTCAACGCATATCCCCACAATTCATATGGCCCAAAATATGCTACAGTCCAGTAACTCCATTTTAGGATCCTTTTTATTCCCATTGACCATGATAGTTTTTGGTTTTACCAGTCATTATTAGCTAAAAAATATCTGCATTTGCGCAAGTGCAACATAAATTGGACCATGGAGTTTGCTAAACTCGACCCACCAGTCATGGAGTTCACCCACCACTCGTTTTGCTAAATGTTCTACAGCATTTGTGCGAGTGCAATTCCGGAAATTCGGCATACGGCGTGAAATCCCAATTCTTCACAAGTTGTCACCATATCAGCTCAATTTCAAGGAATATCCCCACAATTCATATGGCCCAAAATATGCTACAGTCCAGTAACTCCATTTTAGGTTCTTTTTTATTCCCATTGACCATGATAGTTTTTAGTTTTACCAGTCATTATTAACCCCTATTAACCACTATTCACCACTTTTAAACACTATTCATGGGCTACCTCAGTGGATGGCCTCCTGTAGCTCGATCTCACCACCAATGCGTCGTTCGATCCAATCGGCCAGAGGGACCTTAGGACAATGACAAAATCCGTGGCGAAGTTCCAGACTTCGTCTGGTCAAATCTTGAGATATACCGGTATATCTATAACTATAGTCTATTAAATATATATGATATATTCAATGTCAATTTCAGTTTCCTAACTTGGAGGCACCTACCATATATAAGGCCTATAAAAGGGCTATATAAGGGAATATCGAAAATATGGCCTTATATGGTACAGTACCTCCATTTTAGGAACCTGAATTTCCCATTGAATATATAATGTGTATATATATATATGATACCTATAGTATTGTCTATAGTATATATATATATGTATCTTAATAATCGAAACATGCATGTATAAGATATGGCTGCATGTGTGTTGCATCTCTATTTCTATGAGTTTTGCGGGATGAACATCCATAACAGTTACAGCTATACCGTGAAGCTCCGAAATGGTGTTGGTTATACAACCCAATATATTAATACATATATATATATATACCATATAATGGATATGAATCCCCTTTGTTACCCCAACAAACCCAGGACCGTTCTACATCCGTTGTAGATCGACCAAGGGACTCAGATCATCCGCGGTGGCCAAACTTCGAGACTGCCAGGAGGCCAGGAAGTCGAAGATCGCTTCGCGCCTCCGAATTGGAGGGGTACCCACTTTTCCGTGCCTAAAGTGTGTATATGTATGTGTGTGTGCGTCTATATATACTATATATATTATATTAATACTATATTATATTATATTATCTTTTATTATATTACATTCTATTATATTAAATTATATTAAATTATATTATATTGTATTATGTTATATTATATTCTATGTATGTATGTATGTATCGGTGTAAACCATTCCCCACGAAAATGGGTGGTCTATGACATTGTTTTACCCGTTTTACCCACATTGTCGCTGTGTCCAGCTCTGAAAATGCTTCGACCATCTTATGGCCATGTCAAAAAGCCACGCAGCCGAAGCAGCCGCAGCAACTCATCCAGCCGGCGTGTTTTTTGGTGACATCGACTGCTAGATCAATGGCTTACTTCTATGGGTACCATCAACTTTTGGACATCCCATAGATTTTCATGAAGCCATTGGTAGGATAGTATCAGTGAACTGGGGTAACACTATAGAACCGAAAATGTTCATACTATAGTAACCCATTACCAGTAAACTATAGGTTCTATAAGTTCTATAGTGTGATTCCCTAGTGAACACCCGGCTTTCTTTTCTGTACTCAGATTGGTTCCAACCATCTTCGTATCCGAACTATCCATTGGTTGGAAGGTTTCATATCTATACCAACCTTAGTAATCATATCTTTGTTGGGTCGTTCGACCCACCGCTGGTCGTCCTTGGAAAAGCTATCCTCTTTCAGGCCACTGAAGAAGGCCTGGCCATGAGGAGTTTCCATGGCTAGGTCTGGCTCAAAAGGTCTTGGACAAGTGCTGGAAAATGCTGGCAAATACTCGAACATATAACATTTATGGAAATTTATGGGAATGGGGATATTTTCTGCGATAAAATTGCAGGTGTCTAACGTCATGGGGCGATATTCGCCCCAAATCTTCCATTAGACCAGGACTTAGTATGTGAAAACGCCCATGGTGACGACTGGGGATCCCTCATGACTTGGTAACCCATCACTCAACAACGCTCTTCGCGCCTCAACTCCTCCGCTCCACTTTCCGCTCCGCCCCTGAATCATGCCCCTGCTGTGTGAGCCCAACGATGCGGTGCGGGCGGTTGCCGTCGCGAAGCGACGTGAATATCTGTCTATGCTGTATCTCAAAGAAAGATGTTGAGCCTGTCTTCGCCCCTTTATCATGCTCTTATCTGTTTTCTTATTAGTAAACTCAACTTTAACTGATATAGATATCTATAGAGTATAACAAATCACTAAAGATTGTTATAGCTGCCCCCATTGAATTTCCTCCCCGGCCAGCCTCCGCTCTGAGCTCGTCGATCGTGGCCTACGATGAGGGAGACAAAAAGACAAAATCCCCAGGTCTTGTCGGTGGGGTGCAGTTGGGATTCTGAATAGTGGGCTAATAGCTGTGAATATGGTTGAATGCATATAAATATAGACACATACAATGGCTATTCATGGTTCATAGTGGTTTTTAGTGGCTGGTGAATAATGGTTATTAATGGCTATTAATGGCTATTTTCCATGTATATATTCATGGTTCATAATTGTTATTAATGGCTATTAATAGGTACTGGTATTTTTCTATGCTAGTAATTTTGGCAATACCCCCTGTTGGGATGCGGCCTCACCTTGACCATGGTTTTGTAACCACTAACTGAAACTGCAGCCCCAAGTATATATATATAATATATATATATATATTATATGTATATATATATTATATTATATATATATTATATATATATATTATATAGTATATATATATTATATATATTATATATTATATATATTATATATATTATATATATTATATATATATTATATATATTATATATATATGGCCACTTCAAAGGGGACAAATCAATAAATCAATGCCATTGGAAGATCAGAGGAGATTTAGAGGATGTCATTGGAAATAATGTGGGATTTATCAAGCTTTGAAAGCTTACAAATAAAGTGTAGCGGAGAAGCTGATGGCTAGAGGATGTCATGACAGCTGTACCACGCATTCCACCCCTCCAAGGTGCCAGCCTGCATCGCCTGGTCCGGATTGCCGCCCTTTAGGTAGCAACTGGGGGGGTCCAACTGGGGGATCAATATGGTTTCAATACTAAAATGGTCGAAAAATAGTGGATGATTTGATATGATTTGGGTGACCCGTATTTTTGGAAACCTCCAACTGAGGAGGATCTCTTTGAAGATCTCCAACTGAGCTTCTCCGATCCTCGCGTTGCCGCTCCAAGGATTGCCAAACTTCCTTCTCTCGACGCTCCGCAGCTGCCTCACAACTCTTCCAGTGGAGGTCCAAAGATCATTAAAAAAAACTCTACCATCTGGTTATGACTAACAGTTCGCCATGGAAAGATCCACCATGCTATTAATAGGTAAACCGGTAAACCATCTATTTCGATTAGGGCCATCGAAATCCCATGGCGAACTGTTAGTCATAACCAGAGGGTAAAGTTACCAAAGGGCTTCCAGGAGCTTCTAGATGTTTCCGAAAAACCAATCCATGGGATTAGACTTAGACGGTTTCCATGTGGCATCTGAACATGGGCTATCCCAAATCCACCCTTGGTAGGGATTCCCTCACTGGATTCTGATATTCCCCAATTTTTGTTGGGTTAAAAAAAATCCCCAACTAATCATCAAACAACCATCATTTATAAATCATTTATCAGTTATCCACGTATATCTTATAGCCCAAAAGTTTGATGATTCAAATCCCTATGAAATGACTCTAATCCCCAACAAATCCTATACTTCCTACAAAATTTCCCTGGTTCACCAATCGATGCGCCATACGCCTTCTGCTCCTCTAACGCGCGAAGCTCTCGTTGCTCACGCCCTCTAGGTGATGACGCCTAGAGGCAACATCAACAAAAATGCTGGGTAGCCACTTTGTAGCTGCAAAATTGGTCATGTGTTGGATCTAAATAGTCTCAATGTATATATATATAAGTTATCTTTTTTTGGGGGGTATTTATACGTAGGTATGTATCCAATTTAAATTGATTTAAGCATCAAACATGGGTATTGGACCATTACGATTTACCGTAATTTACCCAATTACTTTTGGTCAATGATGAGCAAGAACCATAAGTGTGAATCCCCAAGATATGGCAAAATAAATACATGCAAAATGCATGCAAAATGATTTCAGTATTTTAACTTTTATTCAATGTGTCTTATGTGTTTTATGTAAAATGTGTTGCTTTAATGTGGTAAATCAGCAATAAACCCATACAGCCCCGTCGCCATAAACCATCTCCAATCACCCTAATCGATGGATGTGAAATTCTGCTCGCCCTGCGTGCCTCCTCCATAACCTCATTGGTGGAACCTTGCCGGGCGACCCACAAAAGGATGGCCGTGATTTTTCGCAGAGGATTTTTCCAGCCATCCTTTTGAAATGGGGCTCGGTCAATTTTTACCATGACATACCATGACCGGATTGGCATGCATTTCCCCTTGCTATTTCTGAATGATATCGGCAACTTGCCATACGCCAAGAATTGATGTGGGCGTTCCAATTGGATTCAAACAAGTCACAAGTCGTCGCCTGAAAAATGGGATTCCCCTAATGGATTGTGATAATATGTGATAATCCATGATAATCCCCAATATATTGGGTAGGAACGGATAGTATAACACAGTATAACCCCATGTAATCATCAACAGGGGGCTGCCACACCTGCATTCCTTCCATGAAGCTTCTGCTTCAACATTTGCGCCTTCGGAGCCATGTTGTCATCAAACGTGGCAAGCTGGGAAACTCAGAAATGGAGGTTCAATTACCAGAGGGCAATCAGCTGAAGCTGCGGCCGACTGGCAATCATCAAAGGGATGTCCAGATTCGAACTTCTAGTTGAGACCCTTCAAGATCCAAGCATCAGTGGTCAGCATCCTTTACTGCAAATAGCTGCTTGGTCCAACACGTGTATATTACTGTATATTCATGTTCCAAATCTCATGAACCATCATAAACCCCCTACATGGCTTACTACATGGCATAAACCCCCTTCATTGCACAGATCCAATGGCCATTGATATCCAATTCATGGCACCCAAAAAATCAACAGATCAACCCATCACCTTCTCTCGTGCCATGCCAGTGAGCTCTTCTTTCATTTCCTGCACTCGAAGATACAAAGATAAATTATGTCCTGACCTAAGGTACTCGACCAGATGTTCTGAATAAAGTACTCTGGTCGCGCCCCATGGACTACATTTTCCGCATTGGAATTATGATGTGTTATCCGTAAAACTGGCAACAATGTTTCGAAAGCGCTGTTGCCAGTTTCTGTTTGGATGAGAGGGGTTTGGGGAGCTTGTAATGTTTGTGCGCAAAGTCCTGAAATGTGTCATTAGTATATTTTGCGTGCAAAGGTTCACAACTATTGAAACGCTCTACCCACGGTTCTCAAATATTGAAACAAGCCGATCTTATATTTTTTCTGCTAGATACCAAAGTTCTCAACCACTGAAGCACGTTACTCATCTTACGTTTGATACCAAGGCTCTCAACCACTGATACTCGCTACTGGTGTTACGCTAGGTACCAAGGTTCTCAACTAATGATGCATTTACTGATCTTATGTGAGATACCAAAGATTTTTTCACTACTGAAATATTGAATATATTGAATATGTTACTCGAATCTTACGATATCGGTCTCAATTACTGAAATACTATATCTATGTATATCTAACGTTTGATACCGAGGTTTTCCCAGGAATGCGCGCCGGGAAAAACCACGTCCCTGTGGAGATGATAATGATCCATGTCACATACGATCACCATATACAGTGTCTATGTATAGTTTTTGCGCACTATATTATACAATACATATGTTACATATATACATATATATACATATACATATATACACATAATATATGTGTGTATGTATATATATATATATATACATTACATAATACATATTATATATATATGTGTACATATATATATACACAAATATATATATATACACGTATACATACATATACATGCATATATATATATGCATGTATATGTATATATATATATACAAATATATATATATATGTATATGCATATATATATATTTATAAATGCATATGTGTATGTATATATATATGTATGTATATATATATATGTATGTCGATGATTAACGTGTATTGTATGTATATATATAGTATACATCTTCACGGTCAGTCCTGCAACTTCTTCTCTGCTTCCCTCTGCGCTTGCTGCGCTTGCTGCAGATCCTCTTGTTGCAAAACAGCCTCACCATTGCCCAAAAAGAGCAGAGACGAAAAACCATGGGGGAACCATATAATTATCATCCAATTATAAGTTCTATAATTATCATAATTATCAACCCATGATATTGTAAGGAGAATTGCTGGGATTTCAGAGAGATTTAAAGTTCTATCATGGGCGAATACCTAAAAGAATACCGAGAAGACATGGCTAAAATTCATGGGATTTCATGGTATATCATGGGGGTATAATGGCAACCTTCAATGGTTTTCGGACAATTCGTCGGACGTTTTACAATTGTTACCTCCCCCCCCCTTTCCGTAAGGTCCGAGGGGGGGGGGGGTTCGGGGGGGATTCGGGGGGGCCCCTCTCTAAATGTAAAAACTTTAGGCCTCGGTTTCTGACGTAGGGGGTATCCTCACTTGCAATTAGCATGACCCCTGCGTAAAAATTCCGCAGGGTACAAAATTGCAACCTACATTTTTGGAACGCCCCCTTGCTTGCAATTAGGCTGAAGGGGTGGTGATGATATAAGGAAACCAATATTTGAAAATCAATGGATATTCAATGGGATATTCAATGGATACAAAATGTAAAATTCTACCGTGGAATGAATGGGAATTGAATCACAAACTATGAAAGTCATTGTCATTGGATTGGTTGAAGGTACTAGGTAGTGCCCCTCAGGTTTAAGTTGGTCTAAAAACCAATCTCATCTGATTGTGGAATAGTGTGGATCCTTACTAACCCAAACTCCAATCGTACACCAACTTGTACACCAACTTAGCTAATCAGGGGGCACCACCTTGCAATATGAGGAAACGATGTTTTTTACACCCAAATGATATGGGTTGCTACATGTTGCTCCTATAATTATCCCTTTATCCCTTCAACCGATATTGAGATTAAGAATGATTTGGAGATGTAGATAGTGAAACCCATGTGATCCACATCATCGGTTTCACCCAATATTTATGGGCCGACTGCTCCAATTCTTCAAAGTGAGTACAGGTTGATAGGATACATCCCAATGTTTCATATGTTGGAAAATCAGAAGTCTTGTCCCATCCTAACATCTGGATACTCGAATTCATCAACCTGACTTGCTGGGCAATTTTGGGATACGAGTACCCTGGTCCCATCATTTTCAGCATCCAAGGGCCTGTTCACGAGCCATTGCGTTGATACTCGCAATGGACTGATTGTGCAGGTCCTGGTCGCCCAAAATCCAGTCGATTTTAGATGGTTTATCATCATGTTCCCTATAAAGCGGTTGGGATATCCCCCGGTAACCTGCTCCAGAAGTACTTCAACATGCAACTCCAGTGAACAAAAGGCCTGAAACTACTCGGTTCCCGATTCTTTCATTGGATTATTAAAAATGATGAACATGTTGATTTTTCAAATCACGAAAACCACAATTCAGCCAAATCAGGTGTAAAATTCAATGTCCAAAACTAACCACTATCTTTGGAGGGCATAAAACATGAACTGTGCCGCACATAAGTTGTTCTGTCTGCTTGGCCACGGGTGCATTGCGTAGCATCAAGTATGTGTGGAATTGCAAAAGCCGAGTCATTAGCACTAGGAAGAACGCAAAATATACACCATCCAAAACCAACTGCACGGCGGCAAGAATAGATGAGGAGGTGGAAAGCAACACACGGCATGCACAAAGCCGCAAACCAGTCGGGGTCCAACTACTCTTGCTCTGAAGCACATCTTATGAATCTCATGCAACTCATCGGAAAAATGGATCAGACTCTCTCAATCAACTGCTGGCTATTCCACTTGAAATCTCCTCCAGCTCCATCCATTTCTTTTGCAGCAAATCGAAAGCTCCCTCGCCAAGATTGGGCCTGTCAGCGGAGAACAGCCAAGCAGCCAATCGCTGACGGAGCTGTAGGAAGAATTGCAGTTTCAAGATGCAGAAATAAAATTGTATGGATGGACGTATGTATATAACTTGTTTATTTATTTATTTATTTACATATGTGTATATATATATATACACAGCATATATATATATATATATGTACATATCATATTGCTGCATCCCATCTCACAGTGCAATGCCTCGCAAAAAGCTTCGCAAGTGACTCATCCCCGGGAAAGCAGAGCTCCAAGAACTGCTGGAAAACCTGAGGATTTTGCTGACGGGTGCAGCATCTAATTAACCAACTTTAAGGATATCTTTTGCTACCAGAAATGGGAAATATCTGGGGGACCAATTTGTTTTTTGCCGAAAGGTAGAGAGGTCCAGTTTGTAGTAGTTTGCGGACCATTGACCGCCGGGGTCTACCTTTTTCTTCAAGCGCCTCTATAATGGGTAGGGATACAACCAACACAAACCGTGGAGATATCAACAAGCAATACTTGGATTAAAACGTGCTTCAACAATCTAAACTATCAGCAACTATAATGTGGTTGGGAAACTCAAATCCTAGTCCTTGGCTCCCCAGCTAATAGGAAAGGTTATGGACACTCATATTTCCAAACGGCTCCCTCCCAACCAGCAAATGGTAAAAGAAATCAATCAATGGATTGGTTTCAGGAAAAATATCAACCGGAAACCGTGGATGTTCATCAATTTTCATGGATTTTCCCATGAATTATCAGGGTTTTCCCATGGGTTTCCTGTAGATTTTCCCAACCAAACCCGCGGGATCCCCACTTTGCGATCGTCTCTTGCTGCGTCTGAATGACCTGAGAATAAAGGTTGGAGCTATTTTTTCCATCAAGTCAGCTTTGATTACCCAATAGTTGGTGAGTTTTTTTCATATCCTAGTAATATCCCATTGAAATACCTGTGATTATAACAAAATCTATAACATGACCTGAGAAGGGGTGGAACGAAAGCCAGCGCTTGCTTTTTGACTCGCGCGGGGGCGCGTGAAACTCCACCTCATCCATATGGCATGGCTCAAACATGAAGCGCCCCAACATCAACAATTGCTATCGGGTCATAATTTTCCAATCATTAAATGGACCTTTTTAGGGTAAACTCCACGATTTTGTAACTTCTATATCCAAATATGTTTCCTACAATGTACTGCGGCATTGTGAAAAGTTCTATCTCAAGTTCCGTAAATCCGCCTTTGGTTGCTCATTTATCTTAAAACAGCGCAAGTTTGCTCCCACCTATTGTAGATAAATAATACCCGCTTTTTTGTGTGAACAGTGGTCATGTGACCTCTCACAGTCTAAATTGTTTTCTCCCCAGAATCGTGGTCCATGCTTCTCCGCGAAGTTCGCAACATTTTGGCCGTACGGTGAGAAATCAAAACATAGCTCTACTCGCAAAATGGGCAGCGCAAACCCAAGACAATATTATAACATACGTAAGAAAGGGTCTAAGAACGAATGAAAATCGAGGAAAACAATGCAAAACCCACGGGAAATATAGAACAGTGGCGAACATGCAGTCCAAATCAAAAGTATATATATTTAGGCCATTTACAGACCTGGGTACCCCCCCCCACCCCCCAAGGGTCTGGAAAATAGGTATTTTACAGGAAATGTCGCGGAATAGCATCATCCCTGACATCGATAGAGATAATTGTTTGGCATCCCGGAAAATCTTCTCAGCTATCACACTCGCCAAACATCCCTTTTAAAAGGCACACATACTATCACGGACGTACAGATGCATATCATTCCCGTCATTGCCATTAGAAGATTCAAATTCCTTCTCGATGTTTTAGTACAAGATTCACTTTTAGTTCTGTTTCAGCCTTCTCAGTACGGCCTCTTACAATGATATTACAGCATTTGTCTCCTAACCTAGGTGGCTCCTGGGCGCAATCTTCATTCCAATGCTTTGTGACAATAACCAGAGGCCTGGAGCCTATGCATCACTTGACAGTCGACTCAGTTCTAAACCGGAAAGACTATTCCTTCCGTTTACCAGTAGATCGTTTTTGTAGTTCTTATCACAAAACTACCAGAATCAGGGAGGCACCAAAAAACGTCAAACAGCTTTAAGCATTATAAATACTCTAATCTGCAGATTGTATTTATTTTTCTTACTCTGTGAACGAAATCACACTTTTCTAACTTCACACAGATTACCATGAAACCAATTTTCCCATGCAACTCTTAAAATCTTACAACTCATACATCTTTTTTCCTATACCATCCGCATCTTGCTCCAAGGTTTCATGGCAATGTCTTGTACGCGAGTCAGCCACTATTTCCTATCACCAAACTACATTGCTCATCATCTAACATTATCTACAGAAACCAAATCGGATTTCCTGCTCAACGTTTCCGCTCGTTAACATTGTCTTGGTTTTCACTATATTTTTTAAAGCATTTTTAGATATAACATTTTCCTTGGTTTTCACTGTATTTTCTAACATGTTACATGCCTCCTAGCATGTTCACGCGTGTCCTCCATGTTGTACTGTTTTCTACATCGTTTCCTCTAGTTGTTACAAGCATTTCCTAGCTTGTACACCGTTTTCCTAATATTGTCGTCACAACTTTTCTTCCAGTTTCCACTGCTTTTTCTACCGTTTCCTGTGGTTACTTTCTTCTCTTTTGTAGATTTTCACTGTGTTTTGTCCAGCTTTTTTTATTACATGCTTCCTACCATTTTCACCGCTTTCCTCTATGGTTTTTTGTACCATTTCCTCTCGTTTCCTGCATTTCATGCATTTTCAATATATTTTTTTGCAAGAGTTTTACCCGTCTCCTTCAGTTTCCGATCGGTTTTGCACCATTTCCTCTGGTTGTTATCGCATTTTCCTGCACTTTCACTGTATTTTTCCAGCATGTTTACTGCATCGTCGTTTGTTCCTAGCAGTCGCTCCGGTTTCCTCCATGTTCCAACAGATTTTGCACCCTTTATTCTGGTTGTTATCACATTTTCCTGCCAGGTTGTTATCACATTTTCCTTCACTGTATCTTTCCAGCATTTTCCAGTGGATTTTGCACGATTTCCTCTGATTGTTATCATGTTTTCCTGCAGTTTCTATATCCTCTTCGTGGGTTTTCAGTCTATTCATGCATTTTTAATCTATTTTTCCAAGATTTTTACCCGTCTCCTTTTTGCACCATTTCCTCTGGTTTGCTGCATTTTCAATGTATTTTTCCAAGAGTTTTACCCGTCTCCTTCATTTTCCGATCGTTTTTGCACCATTTCCTCTGGTTGTTATCGCATTTTCCTGCACTTTCACTGTCTTTTTCCAACATGTTTACTGCATCGTCATAGTTTGTTCCTAGCAGTCACTCCGGTTTCCTCCATGTTCCAACAGATTTTGCATGGTTTGTTCCTAGCATTTTCCTCTGATCGTTATCATGTTTTCCTCAAGTTTCATTGTATTTTCCAATACATCCTCTTCGTGGGTTTTCAATATGTTTTGTCCAGCATTTTTTTACTACATGTTTCCTATCATTTTCACCTCTTTCCTCCACAGGTTTTTGCACCATTTCCTCTGGTTTCCTGCATTTCATACCTTTTCAATATTAATATTAATCCAATAGTTTTACCTGACTCCTTCATTTTCCGATCCTTTTTGCACCATTTCCTCTCGTTGTTATCACATTTTCCTGCACTTTCACTGTATTTTTCCAGCATGTTTACTGCATCGTCATGGTTTGCGCCTAGCATTCGCTCCGGTTTCCTCCATTTTCCAAGGGATTTTCCATGGTTTGTTCCTAGCATTCGCTCCGTTTTCGTCCGTTTTCCAGGGGATTTTGTACGATTTCCTCTGATCGTTATCATGTTTTCCTGCAGTTTCATTGTATTTTCCAATACATCCTCATGGTCTCTCCGGCCACCAAAAAGGCGGACCTAGGGGGAATCGATACCCCACCGTCAGCAAATTACCTAGTGGTACATAATCCAGCAAAATGCTCCGTTTTCTGGCGCTCAACACAGGGGCACGGCGAGATTTCGTTCCCTTTCGGCAACCACCCCCCCCACACCCCCTATTCTCACTTCGTTCGCAAACAGCAACTAGCCAGCTAGCTGGCTTTCGTAATATAGCCCAAACTAACATGATTTAATCATGGTATGTTGTCGTTTATTACAGAAACGCATTCTTTGCTGGCCAACTTTGACCAACATCTGCGCCTCGTTGGGTCTTGGATTCTGACGCTCCTGATTTCGTGGTCAAAATCCTATCATATCCTATAATTCGTGCTTTATATCCCCATGAAAAAATGTCATGCTCCCATTGTTTTTCCATCAAAAACTATGATTTTCCCATTGATTTACACATGAAACGGTCATTTTTTTCCCAACTGACTTCCCATGAACAACGAGACGGTGGGAATTCTGGACCGCTCAGAGCCCAACTTCTCCATTCACCGAGCTGTCTCAGCAGCTCTTGCCTCAGGCCGGTTGTATACATTTGTGTATACATACTGTACATATACACTATATATATATGTATGTATAATGTATCAAATCAATCTCATGACATGTATATGTGTAGCTATGATTCTATATAATTATATATATATACAGAGAGAGAGAGAAAGAGTTATATTGTATCATTTAGATACATACCAATATATATATATATCATATCATATATATATATTATATTATATTATAGACTTATTATACATATCTATATCATATATGACATATATTTCGATATCTTCCCCGTTTTACTCCCACCTTTCTGTATCCGCCAAGCTGCAGATCTGTGGGTGTCTCTTGAAGGGCAGCTTCCTCAAAGGCGCCGTCCTTACCAGGGCATCGGGGAACATTTAATAGTATATCTATAATATACCGTACATACTATATTATAGTACCAGGGGAACTTGTAGTTATATCATGTTATATCATAATGTCATATCCAACTATAGAAACATATTGTAATTAATTATATATATATACATAATTAGATAATTAGATCAAGCTTGGCCAAGGGATGGTTATTGTAGGGCCTGTAGGGTAAACACCACATTAACGACTTGGCTCTGCACGCACTCAGGAAGCAATTCGTGGCAAAATCGTTGAAACGATTGTCGATCCTGTTGCGACATGGCAAAATGATGTAAAATCTATTCCCAGAAGTAGCCAGGCAAAATCTTCCTAGGTGAGAACCGATTGCACTCATCAATGAAGAGATCCATGCCAGTATCTGGGCCTGCGAATGCGGTGTGCCGCCTGTTTTTGTGAACATGAGAATTCACCAGTGAATTTTTCGGGCCCCGTTTTCATCGCCATCTTTTCCTTTTAACAGGGCCTTCAGATGGACATCATCCGAGACATCCCACCTCCATGAGGATCTTGTTGAAGCGCACCACTTTCACATATCTCTCCTCGAGCTTCTCGATCTTCCCCTGCTGCGTTTTCAGCTCTTTGTCCTGGTGGCCATGCTGGTGATGGTGAAGGACATGGAGATATCATGGGATATCATGGGATATAGAAACACACCACTGAATATGGATATCATGGGATGTAAATACACAACTGTCTTTGTTTTCCCATACACTAACCCTAAAACAGGGATGGAAAAATACGCATAAAATATGCAACTTTGGGGAGTAGTTTTCGGGAGCCGCGTTGGAGAATAGCTTTGGGGAACCGCTTTGGGAATAGGTTTCTCAGCAGTATTTGAAATGACCAAACTCAGCAGTTCCCTGCGGGTCCACCAAATTACTTGGTTTTGCGAGGAACAGAATGGAAATGCCTGCTATGCCACTCCCAATCTATGACAGTTTTCATAGGGAAAAGGATGGAAAAACCATGCAAAAACCCCTTGGATTTGAGTTGTGCCCAAGTTTTGACTTTGCATTGGGCAATCTGACCTATCCCCAACCCCCCACCTTTCGCCGCAGAAGAGCCACGAGAGTGTCCTGAGTGAAGCATTCTGCCAATCGGGACCATCAAGATTTGAAACCACCAAGCAGCTGTCCATTGCTAGTCAGCTAGTCCCACTGCCCGTTGTAGCGCCGAGCAGCTCGAGGGATGTTTTCCACTGCCTGTCCGAACATGCCGCCCCTTCCCTTCGACATGGGACGAATGATACAACAGTACCCTCCTGCACCAATATAGATCTCGAAAACCCATCATTTTGCAGATGGCTTTTCCTAGGGCCCTAGGGTTTCACCATCGTTTATCCACATATATATATATATATATATGTATATTCATGTATATAATATATATATATATACTGTATATATGTTCTTTTACACCCTGGTATCCAGTAAAGTTGGTGGAATCTCCAGCCTGCAGGTCCAAGTCCAACGCGGAGTTCTTCTCCCCAGCCATGGCACGGGGCCATACAGGGCTTCAAGCGATGGTTTAACAAGCTGCCAGTGGTGGGATGCCTGTCGCATTATTATACCCTCTTGGCCATATATATATATAAATATATGATGTATATAAGTTCAGGTAATCTCTTTCTGGTTGATTGAAGTGTAACAATTCACTAGCCTAAAAATAGCTGTTATACGCTCTTATCATACCGCCATTTGGGGGTGATTCCCCAAGTCCTACATCATCGCCATGATCATGTTCATCCAGATTGTATTGTATATGTTATTAATGGGCTGACTTGAGTAATTAAGAGCTGATGAGGATGAAACACGGGCCGTATTTTTTGGGCAAATGTCTAGTCCGGGCCCGTGACTGCTCTTTTTTGGAGCAGGGGCAAGTCTACTTGGAAAGGATCAGTCGTCCTAAGGGTTTGGTAGTGTCTGGTTATTCATACCCAGCAGATTGAATCCTTCTTGTCGTCCAAGAGTCGTGTTCCGCGGTGTTTCTCTATCGCTCCACCGGGTTAGAAGCTTTTGAAGCTGCGGGAAGAAGCAGCTATGGAGGAATGTTCAGCACTGTACTATCTGGTCACTTACATATCTTACATGCTGAATGGAAACAACACATGAAATCGTTGAAGGCTAGGGCTCACCCATTCGGAGCCCGTCGCGACATACCCATTAAGAAGTCCTCCTGACAGGGACAAAAAGGGGGCAAACACCCGGTACCAGCTGAAATGTTGCTAAAGTGCCTGGGGCACTGGGAAACATCCATTTAGCTTGAAGTAAACATCATGAAAAAATATGAAAAACATATTGAAATAAACATCGACAAGTCAAGCGGTCACTGTTTCATCAATTCCTAAGGCGGCCAGGCTCATCTCCGTCACACAGGTTGAAGAGGCCAAGGAAAAGGCTCAGGAAATGCTCCAAAAATGGTGTCAACTCCGGCAAGAAATAATGGCCTTGTTGTCATCAAAAAAACATGCTCAGTATATGCCGGATACTCATGATCTGCCAGATTATCATAGTTAGTGTAAATGCATGAAATATACAATTCTGATAGCCCTTGTAAACATGCAGGTAGCATCTCATGTCTCAGAATCCGCTATCACCAAGGAGTATTGCGTTTTGATGCTCTTTGCGCATATTTGTAAGGCTTATCGGGTCATCCGCTCCAAAAATGCACTTTCACATTTGCAAAGAAAAAATGGTTGTGCGAAGTCAAAAACAATGAGACAAAAATGTCGCCAGTGATTCAGTGATAGATACTATATAATTTATAAGGGTCATCCCGACCATAAATTTCTTACAAGAACCCTTATATCAATCCCCATGCCTTGCTGCAGTTCATACCTATACCATGTAGAATGATGGCAAGGGGCGGGACAGTTTTTCGTCGTTCATTTGTTACAGCATCCTTTATTGTTTCCGGTGATTCGCAAGTCAGAAATTTTGCAAAGTATATTTTTCACACATGTATCAATATTGTATATCAAGGTTTGAAAAGGGACCAAATTGACTTAAATGGACACCACCTTGGCAACGACTTCACATGCACCCTTTAGGTTCCTGCATATGGAAGTCTACATAAGACCCTTCCATCAAAACAGAGGAAAACTTGCCATGGTACACCATGATATCCAACAATTGGGGTACAGCAAAATCAGATCCAGGGTTTATCCAAGCATTTTCCCCATTCGCTCCTCTTCGGTCAGAAGAAATGCTCGCCCAAACCTGGCACGCTTCATCCAACCATTCCATCATCCCGTTGTCGGAAACTAACAATATCATCTGGTTATATCTGGTTGGTGGTTTCAACCCCTCTGAAAAATATTATTCAGTTGGGAAGGATTATCCCATATACCAGTAGTACCGCACAAGGCGGTGGCGGAAGTTTCAAAAATAGGAAACCTATAAGAGAGGTTGGTTGTTGTGAGTCACGGATGGCAGAGCGAAACCACTGACGGACCGACAGGTGGTTGAGGTCCCCTTTTTTTCTCTCTCTTTCTTTCTCTTTCTTCTACCTACCTACCTACCTATCTATCTATGCGTCTATCTATCTATCTATCTATCTGTCTGTCTGTCTGTCTGTCTCTCTGTCTCTCTGTCTCTCTGTCTCTCTGTCTCTCTGACTCTCTGCTGTCTATCTATCTATCTATCTATCTCCAAGCTTGAAAACGAAGCTATTCTGCGAGACTTCCTCAGTTTTTAAACTTGACAACATCAAAAACGTCGCAATTCAGCGAGACTGCCTCAATTTTTGCACTTGACAACATTAAAAACGAAGCAATTCTGCGAGACTTCCTTTTTTTCTTAAGTTGACAACATGAAAAACGAAGCAATTCTGCGAGGCGTCCTTCAAAAATGGAAAGTTGAGTGCAGAGCTGACGGTCTCGTACCAATGCGTTCGTGTGGCTGCATTGGGCGCTGCGAACCTGCTGCGCTGATGGATACCATCGTTGGTCCTTCATGCATTCCCATGCATTCCCAAGAACGTCCTGTGCCGGTCAAAATATCAGGACTGTACTCCTGCACTTTCAAGCTAGGCAGCCGTAGTTCTTGACTATTTCCGATGAAGCCATGGTTTGCAGTTTCTGTGGTTGAAGCTATCTGGTACCGCCTTTCCAGTGAGTTCAGGAATTCCTTCTCCGATCTTGTTTCATTTTTTCGACTGGCAGTTTCTTTGATCGTCTTGATCATCAATTCTGCCCCTTGCTGAGAGCAACTGTTGCCGGGACGTGCAGGGGAAAAGGAACCGGACCAGAATCTTGGGATCCACATATCACTTACTGGGAAATCTTGGCCAGCTCGTCTGCCAGGTGTGATGTGCTTCATCACATTTTCTGTCATGTACTTGCAGAACGTCTCTGGGGCCTCACGCAACAAATAATGCCAGCAAACTGCCACCACTGCGCCGTGAGGACAAAAAGCTGCCATCCTCAAAAGACGATGGACATGTGCCTTCGACCACGGCAAATCTTCTCTCGTCTCAATTCTGCGGGTGATGTGCTCAAAGTCATTGATGAGGTTCGAATTGACTGGAGCGCTTGCCTTCCGTAGACTCAAACTCCAGTCGCCCAAGATTTGGGATATCAACGGCTTTGGATGATTCAAGCCCTTGTGGGTCAAAAGATGTCAAAGGAGCCGCTCGCACCACACAAACATCAGGTTGATGTTCGGCGGGTCTTCCCAGGCCCCAATGCAAAATCATGCCAGGTCATACGAAGTGCTGCACCCGTCACGCAAAATCATCTCAGCAAACCTGAAGATCTGAGGCTCCAAAATGCAACCCCTCTCAGGAAATCAGCGCCCGGACCTCCTAACAGCTCTGATGAACATGTCTCTTGTACTGCGCCTGCCAGGGAAAATGCAGCTTTGCAGATCCTCTTCAAATGTCCCACGCCTGCCATCTTTTTTGGACACAATCCCTTGCTCCTGCCACGCGAAACGACATCCGAACGTCCAAAAGTGGCGCGAACATGTGGTGCTTTGTACATTTTGACTTCGAAATGCACAACGGCGTGCGCTTTTTAGACATCTCAACTTCCCAAAGTTGTCCGAACGTGAGGTGTTTTTAGCTTTTGCACTTGCAAATGTGCTTCGCGCCACAACGGCGTGCGCTTTTTAGACATCGCAACTTCCAAAAGTGGTCCGGACCTGGTGTGCTTTGTGCATTTTGACTTGGAAATGTGCTTCGCGCCACGACGGCGTGCAATTGTTCATCTCTCATCTGGCCAGATGGCTCTGCACCCGCCGCTTTAGCGAGCCTACTTTTCGACCCTCTGGAGCCATAAATTGGAAAAACACAGTGTTTCGCGACTTTCCTACCTTTTCCCGCACCTGCATCTTCTTTCTTCTGACTCTTTCTCTTCTCTGATCTTCTCTCTTCTGCTCTTCTCTTCTCTATTCTTTTGCTCCACCTCCGCTTTTCATCTGTCCATATTGTCGGAAGTTTGACTTCTAAACTTCCTTCGATTATGGAAAATAAAAAATGTTCCAAACCACCAACCAGTCATTAATGGGATTATCATGGCATCAATAGGTTTCCATTATCATGCGATTATTCCATTCTCATAAGAAAGACTTGGAAGATGCGGTGTCATCGCATTGTTTGCAGTGCAGTGACCCCCAAAAAATGCGAACAAGTCACATCCTAGCCTAAAAATAGTGATCAATTGAACATCTTCAACATCTTTTTGGGGGCTCATTCCAGTACTTGGTGGTTAGTTTCCACTCACATAGCAGCTCATTGCCCCTGGCTGGCCCTGGTTAACTGGTTCTCATGAAACCATTGTTTTCCCCATTGTTTTCCCATCAAATCCTTCCAGTTCGCTCAGCTCACCCCCTGGGAGCGCCACGAGGAGCTTCCACCGCCAGGCTGTGAAGCCGCCGTTGGAATGCGACCTGGCGACCGCGGCCGGGGTCACCAACAATGGTGGTGGTTTAACATGGTTTAACCATGTTTCACCAACCAAATGATGGTTTAATGGTTTCCCTGCGAACCCAAACCCTGGAAATTTGTAGGGTCTGACTCGAAACCTCGGGTATGTTTGACGAAATGAAAATACCTCGGGTTTCTTCGCAAACCTCGGTTTTTCTTTTTCAAACCCGTACTGAACCGTATTTAACCCGTATTAACCCCGTATTTTACCCGTACTAACCCCGTATTTTAGATTATTTTAGTACTGGTTTGGAAAACCTCGGGTTTCTGCCAAAAACCTCTGGTTTTTCCACTGACCCTACGTTTTTTGCGGGTTTGGGTTCCTAGGGTTTTTAATGGGGATATATAGACGGGGACGTCTTATAAGAAGATTTTTATCTGCTTATGACACCTCAAAATCAGGGATTTTCCTCAAATAAGACCCTACCAAAAATGACCTGCCCCAAAACTGACCCAGTAATAAGCAGATTCCAGGAATTTGGGAAAAGTGGTGGAATTGTGAATCTGCTTCTTACAGGTCAATCCCAAAAGGTGGCTTGTTTTTTTTTCTAAATATGTATATATAATCATATGTACTATATATATATATATATGTGTGTGTGTGTGTGTGTGATAGTCCGCGATTTTATACAGCCTCTTGCAAATGAACGGTGATGGCCCTGCAGTCACTGGCTTCAGGTTTCGGGGTTTGGGAACTAGGTGAAGCTATGGCTGAAGTGCCACAATGCTTGGTCAGAGGACAACTGTGGGCGAAGGAAGCGCTGGGCTTGCTTGGTGTGGATAAAAGTACCCTACTTTGGTCCGCATCCCCAATCCCAAGTAGTTCCATGTTCTCAGGGGCGTGCTATCCAGAAAGGGCCCTGGAGTACATTTGTGCTGCCAGAAGATCCGTCGACCCTTCGCTCCCACCTCTCACTGATTCTAACCTTTGGTTGAGAACATTTTCTGTTGCTCAATGTTTTAGATGTATTGTTCAAGAAACTCCGTCCTTTGGACACCTGATAATGTCCTCCTATCGAATGGGGTGTAACAAGCAGAATGGCAATCTGCTAGTTACAGGTCTTCAATGGGAGAATGAAGACAATAATGACAAAACTATGTAAAAAAAAAACAAAGAAAACAATGAGAAAATGATGAAAAACTATGAAAAAACAATGAAAACAATGAGAAAATGATGAAAAACTATGAAAAACAGAATGAAAACAATGAGAAAATGATGAAAAAGATTGTAAAAACAATGAAAAAATAATGAAAAGGTCTGGCTCGAGGACTTCGACCCAACAACGGCTGGCCCGAGGACTTCGACCCAACAACTGGCTCGAGGACTTCGACCCATCCACCCGGGGTACTACAACGGGACACTACAACGGGGTACTACAACGGGGAACATAATGGAAAAACGAAAAAAATTGAAAAAAATGAAAAAGTCATATCTATAATTTTTAAAATTGTTAAATTGCTTTAAAACAATGTATGTATATAAATCGAATGAAAAGAATGAAAATCACGTATTTTTTTATTTTTTCTTTTTCATTTTTTTTCTTTTTGTTTTTATTAAAAACATGTTTTAAAGCATTTTGATACTCTATTGGATTTAAATCGAATGAAAAAAAAAATAATAATAAAAACTTGATTTTCATTTTTTTAAATTATATGTATTTTTCATATATGCATTTTTCCAAAAACTTTTTAAATTATATATATGCATTTAAAAAAATATATATATATGCAATTTTTCTATTTTTCATTTTTCCCGTTTGTTCCCCTTTTATTTCCCGTTGTGTTTCCCCGTTGTAGGGCCCCGTTATGTTACCCCGGGTGGATGGGTCCAAGTCCTCGGGCCAGTCTTTCCGCTAACGCGCGCGCGCGCGCGCGTTAGCGGAAAAACGACTCGTACGGGTCGAAGTCCTCGAGCCAGGGTCGAAGTCCTCGAGCCAGGGTCGAAGTCCTCGAGCCAGGGTCGAAGTCCTCGAGCCAAACCTTTTCTTTATTTTGTTCATTGTTTTTGCAATGTTTTTCATCAGTTTTCATTATTTTTTTCATTGTTTTTGCATTGTTTTTCATCAATTTTCATTGGTTTTTCATTGTTTCTGCAATGTTTTTCATCAGTTTTCATTATTTTTCATTGTTTTTGCAGTGTTTTTCATCAATTTTCATTGGTTTTTCATTGTTTTTGCAATGTTTTTCATCAGTTTTCATTATTTTTCATCGTTTTTGCATTGTTTATCATCAATTTTCATTGGTTTTTCATTGTTTTTGCAATGTTTTTCATCAGTTTTCATTATTGTTTTCATTGTTTTTGCATTGTTGTTCATCAATTTTCATTGGTTTTTCATTGTCAAAACATCCAAGACCTGTAACTAGCAGATTGTCAATCTGCTTATTACCCTCCATTTGATAGGAGGACACTATCAGGTGTTCAAAGGACAGTGTTCAAAGAAACCGAAAGGACCTGTAATAAGCAGATTAACAATCTGCTTGTCACACCCCACATGATCGCCATGGTAGATAAGAAGGCTCCAACACAACAGAGCATATTATGGGCAAAATCCAAAAGACCACCAAAATGGACAACTTTAAAAACATACATACATAAATATATATAGATATATGTGTGTCTATTTTTTGTTTATATTTTCTTTGCAAGGGTCAAGTCCCATTTTTTGGGATGTCAGGAAAATATGTGGACTTGCGAAAACAACACAAAAGCTCGGGCATCTCACTCAGATATGCTAGATGAGGGCACATGCCGGTTCACCGATGTTGAAGCCTTCATTGACTCTGACACGCTTTCCCAGATGAAAAAGCTGACCTCCAAGAACACTGTTCAGCGTTTCAAGAAGTGGCTCGCACTGGCGAAGAAGGGAAAACTGTCCCAAAAGGCCTTTTGCACCCGACATCTGAAAATGTGTTCTCCTCAGTTGTTTCCTGAGCATTCAGGGTGCATTCCACACAAGAGAGACGCACACACACACACACCCCTACACTGAAATGGCAACTGATTGCTGCGGCACATGGCAAGTTTAAGGTGTTTAAGTGAGCATCAATTTGTATATGTATATATGTATATATGTATATATGTATATATGTATATATGTATATATGTATATATGTATATGTATATATATATATTATATATATCTATCTATCTATCTATCTATCTGTCTATCTATCTAAATACAGACACGTATGCCCATTATGCAGCATATACACACCATCAGTGCGCCCAGGTGTCCCATCCGCAAAAGTTTCCTCAACCCGTCCGGCAGCATGTGCACAGCCTACAGCACCCTTGGGAACCTTCAAGGGGATGAGTCTGTGAATGCTATCCTTCTGGTGATATACATGGTATGGTGCTTCAAGAACGGTATCCCTTTACTTCTGCATGAGAATGTGAGGGGATTTGAGGCAGACCACATGGTTGAGTTTGCAGAACTGCATGGGTACGCGCATGTGCTGATTACATGCAAGCCCATGGATGTGGGAGTGCACGTGGGCCGTCCGCGAAAGTAACTTATCTACCTGATGTGCTGTTCGCTTTACACATTATATATATATATTTTTTTATATTTATAAGCAAGCTTTCATTGCTTATAAATATGTATACGTATTGATGTATTCATCCATTTTTGGGTTTCAAAGAAAATATATCAAAACTTCACCATGATCTCATTCCCGTCCAAGGTATGATCTCTTCATGAAAACCTCAGTGCTTGAGATAGTCGGGGACATCAAGAAAGCCTACAGCGTGTTTGCGAAGCACATCCGGGAGACGCTCGATCCTTGCCAGGCGGGCATAATCCCATTAAACCCTTACCGCAGGTGTGCTTTAATATATATATATATATAGTTTGCAATGAATATATGTAATTTAATTAGGCAAATACAAAAATGTATGCAAATATGCATATATCACATATATATATATCATTCGATTTCTGGCCCAAGCCCTTCAACGGGCAAACTAATATTGACTTGTGCTTGGCCCTTGGCAGGTGGAAGACTTTTTCTTCGAGACCGACGAGAAAGCATTGCGGTTGGAAATGGAACGCCATGGTGCAAGCCAAGGACTGATGAAAATGGGGGATGCTCCTGGCAGGTGTTTGTATGTATGTATGCATGCATGCATGTATGTGTATATATGTATACATATATATATATATGTGATTATGTGTGTAGTTTGAAACACCACTTGACAGTTTTATTTACTCGAATACAACATATACACACATATATGCACATATATATATATTTACACATGTATACGCATGTGTGTGCATGCACATGACTGGCTTGGAGCCTTTTTGCTCAAATAGCTTCAGTTGGTGTAGAGGCAAAGCGCTGTGTGTAAGTCTTTATGTCTACGCACGCTCAATTTCCTTGTTTTTCGCTCATGTGGGTGCTTGTCGCCAGTGGCATCAGTCTCGTGTTGAAATGGCTAGTTCTCCTAGCATTCTGCTTCATGTCAGAAAATGACATTTTGTGTGTTTGTGCACGCGGTCAGGCATCATGCAACCATGACACCATCTCAGACTGGAGCGTTGTGAGTGACCCTGACTCTAGCCCTCGACACACTACGGACACCTGCCGACACTTGCGACTGACACGCAGGGGAACCAATCATTTGAAGATTCAAGTGAAGTGCAAAGATTGCAAGCATGTGCTCATGGAGAAGCCTACGCCTCTTGGGATCAAATTGAAAGCCCAAAAAGCCAAAGTGCGCCAGGGCAAGGCTAGCTTAGAGGAGGAATGAATGTCAGAGCCAGAATGTGATCCTAGCACAACAAGCGCTCAAAGCGCTCCCAACTGTTCGACTTAATAGACTGCACATCAAAAGCGAAGAAAGGAAGGAAAACCAGTGGCGCATTTGAGATTGGGTTAAAGCAAGACTAGATATATACTTACAATTTCGTACAATCAATTTGGATCTTACAGGGATCCCATGCCTGTAATAAGAAGATTGCGCTATCTGCTTATTACACCCCCCACTAACCCCCAATCAGCTGACATGGGTTATTCCCACGATTTTCCTGGTGCAACAAATGTTCAACTTTAAAAAAAAGGTGGAATTCTCCACAAAAAGCATTTGGGGGCGCTTGTTTCCACATCAACAAATGCCTTTATGTAAAGATATGAACATACGTGTTTGTAATAAATATCTATATATATATACATAAAGGAAAACCTGGGGTGGATTTGAGTTGAAGCTGGATTAAACACACACACACATATATATATAACTAATTAGGGTTCCCATGCCTGTAATAATAAGCAGATTGCGCTATCTGCTTACTACAGTCTATATACACTACATAATCCCCCAATTGGCTGGGAATGGGGGCATCCCCCTGATTTTTGCTTTAAAGGTTGAAACATATGTCATTTCAAGTTTAACACATGTTCAAGCTAAAAGAGACAAGCGGGCTTGTCCGAAACAAAAGCTACTCTTGTTCGTTATATATATATATACTTTTCCAATCAAATTTTCCCCATACAACACAAAACTGCCATTGATAGGGGCCGCTTTATTGCTGAATATTTACCATCCTCGCAGGACATGCCCTCACCTGCTCCTTGGCAGACTGGCGGCCGCTCTTGACGGACTACGAGAATGAGAATCTTGTTGGATACATGAAGAGGTGTCCCGGTGTTTTGTTTGATTACACCTGTTTTTTGAAGACACACATATTTATGTATAAACATGACATGTTCATTTCCTTATCTTACTCAGCCAGTGGCTACACTTTATTTTTTGGGTTATATATATATATATATATAAATATCATATCCTTCAAAAAAACACCTCATTTTTTTCTACTTTAAATTTGCCATTGCGCCTTCTGCAGGCATGACGCACTGGAAACTGATGCCAAACCTCCTCCAGTTTTTGCAGTTGGCCAGAATTTCAAATCGCACCCCACTGCAGTTGGAGCTGAACTTTGCTTGCCGTGCATGACAAAGAGTGGCACACGGCCACTTGGTTGGAGCTAAAAACTATGTGTATATATATATTCACATATGTATATATAAACGTTTTTTGCCAACATGGGTCACGGCACCTAAAGGTATGCAAACGTATATTGAAACATACATATATATATATATATACACATAGACATGAGGCTCCCGTCTGATGGTGGTGGTGTGGTGCTGATGTTGATGATTATGTTGATGATGGTGGTGGTGGTGATGAAGGTGATGATAGTGGATACATGTAAACATGCAAATATGTGTATATATATATATATACAAACAAATAAAAAAACACACACACACATATATACATATGTGCATTTAGTACAAGGAGATCTAGCCTCCAGTATCACAAATACCCTTCACCTGCTTACTCAGGCGGCTAGTACATGGAGAAAAACTTCGGTGGCTTACTTGTCGGGAGAAGTTAGCTGCTTCTGGTCTTGCGGTGAGCACCAAACAAGCTCAGGAGGCTGGAATTCAGGCCCCAGTTCAATGGGCCTTGGAAATGGGGTGGCACGAACGTGTTGGAAACGGTAACCAGCTACAAAATGTGGGGTTAGTGCTACTTGCAGCTTTGGCCAACCTACGAATCCACCCAGAGGCCCCGAAGGACATACTTTCCATCGAACCTGCTTCTCAACCTGATGGCTTGTCTTGTTTGAAAGGGACATACATGCTGAAGGTGGGTGACAAGACATTTCCTGTTGGGGTGGACAAAGATTTTGCCTACGCTGCGCACAAGAAAGTGCACGAGACTTGCACTAAACATTTGAGAACGACTCAAAGTCTGGAATTTAGCCACCCAAAAATCAAAACCCAGCAGATTCTATACATATATATATATACATGCATACATATATACAGCGTTCCCTTGGTGCTTAACTATATATATATATATATTTAAATATATATATTTAAATATATATATATTTAAATATATTTATATATATATTTATATATATGTATAAATATGAGCCATTCCCAAGTAGGAAACCCATCTCTACCCCGGTGGTTCCGATTTTAGGAATTACCTGTAATAAGCAGATTCTCCAATCTGCTTATAACAGCTACCAGGGTTCCCACAGATTAAAAGGGGGAAATACATGTCAACCAGGGGATTTCTTGGGCATATATAATATACAGGAAGGACAAGGGGAATCACCATTGAAAGGACATACCCAACAAATTGAGAACAATTGATATCTTCAGTATATAATTAAATGGTTCAAATTAGTTGAATGTGACCCCAAGTGCTTAAAAACCCAGAAACATTTTGTGATATATAACGATCTCTTTGGTGCTTCACTATTTGAGCCATTCCCAAGTAGGAAACCCATCTCTACCCCGGTGGTTCCGATTTTAGGAATTACCTGTAATAAGCAGATTCTCCAATCTGCTTATAACAGCTACCAGGGTTCCCACAGATTAAAAAGGGGAAATGCAAGTCAACAAGGGGATTTCTTGGGCATATATAATATATAGGAAGGACAAGGGGAATCACCATTAAAAGGACATACCCAACAAATTGAGAACAATTGATATCTTCAGTATATAATTAAATGGTTCAAATTAGTTGAATGTGACCCCAAGTGCTTAAAAACCCAGAAACATTTTGTGATATATAACGATCTCTTTGGTGCTTCACTATTTGAGCCATTCCCAAGTAGGAAACCCATCTCTACCCCGGTGGTTCCGATTTTAGGAATTACCTGTAATAAGCAGATTCTCCAATCTGCTTATAACAGCTACCAGGGTTCCCACAGATTAAAAGGGGGAAATGCAAGTCAACAAGGGGATTTCTTGGGCATATATAATATATAGGAAGGACAAGGGGAATCACCATTAAAAGGACATACCCAACAAATTGAGAACAATTGATATCTTCAGTATATAATTAAATGGTTCAAATTAGTTGAATGTGACCCCAAGTGCTTAAAAACCCAGAAACATTTTGTGATATATAACGATCTCTTTGGTGCTTCACTATTTGAGCCATTCCCAAGTAGGAAACCCATCTCTACCCCGGTGGTTCCGATTTTAGGAATTACCTGTAATAAGCAGATTCTCCAATCTGCTTATAACAGCTACCAGGGTTCCCACAGATTAAAAGGGGGAAATGCATGTCAACCAGGGGATTTCTTGGGCATATATAATATATAGGAAGGACAAGGGGAATCACCATTGAAAGGACATACCCAACAAATTGAGAACAATTGATATCTTCAGTATATAATTAAATGGTTCAAATTAGTTGAATGTGACCCCAAGTGCTTAAAAACCCAGAAACATTTTGTGATATATAACGATCTCTTTGGTGCTTCACTATTTGAGCCATTCCCAAGTAGGAAACCCATCTCTACCCCGGTGGTTCCGATTTTAGGAATTACCTGTAATAAGCAGATTCTCCAATCTGCTTATAAGAGCTTTAAATATACCCTAAAGCAGAGTTGAGGATCTCAGAAGATTTCATGTCACAGCCTCAAGCCGAGGAAGAAAGGCTTGCGCTGTCATCGCTGACAATTGCGCAAATGAAGGACAAACTTGGAGAGTGGGAGGGCAACGCCACCCAGTTCAAGCAGGCAAAGTCCAAGGAACTCAAGCAGGGCATCGTTTTGGAGGCTTTCTTCAGGAAATTTGTGGACCCAAAGTCAGGAGAAAAGACATCCTCAGCATCAGGTGCACCTTCGGCACCAAAGACATCCTCAGCATCCGTGCCCGCCAAAGGACAGACGGAAAACAAAAAGACTCAAATAGAGAATGCATTGAATTTTCAAGCCGATGTGTCTTCAAACATCGTTTCCGAAGTCCCGCCACTTCTAGCCAAAGTACTTGTCTTCGACCAAGAATGGCTTGACCTTATCCTACGAGGGGAAAAGACGCTTGAGCTGAGAAAATCTTTGGTTGATGAAAAAGACAGCATGTACCTGGCTGTCAAAGATTGCATTTATGCAAAATGCCTGATTTCTGACCCAATTGAGATATGCAACCTGGATGAGTTTGAGGCCCTCATGAAGGCTCACCACTGCACGGTGCCACCGTATTCTTTTCCCTTCATGGCTCACAGGGTCAGCAAGTGTCAGAAGCTTGAACCTGTGAAGTTTTTGAAGCTTCGGGGTAGTGTGGGCAGGGCGTTGTTCAGGCCTTTAGGCTGGAAACCAGGAGAAGAGCCCGGGGAAATGGGTGCAGCAGAGAAAGTAGCAAAAATGTCGGAAACCAAAGGAGCCAAGACAGGGAAGAAAAAGGATGAGGAACCAGCCAAAAAGACCTCATCAGCAAGCACGGGAGAAGAAACTGAACCTGTGGTTGACACTCCAGGTACAAAAAAGAAAGCAAAGGGAAAAGGAAAGGGAAAAGGCAGCAAAACAAAAAAGGTGACTGAAGCATTTAATCTTCCTGAGCCAGATTTGCTTCAAGGCCAATCAGTGAAGATGATCGCGCACAAGGAGCGAGTGCTGCCCTGTGCGTTTGTTCAATTTGTTTACTGTCCTGACTACCAACTCCGCCATCGGAGGTATACATAATATATATATGTATATTTATGCATATATACATATACCTATATTATATATAATTTGTTCTTACTAACATTATGTATATATACAAATGCTTGAGTTTGGGAACTCCGCATTGCAGGAGCACTTGCTACCAACGGAGCAAAGGTTGAAAGACAAGCTCGCTTGGCTGAAGAAGAACAACAAGAAGGTTCAACTCCACATTTCTGGGGGAGCATTGGCTCACATGTGCAATGTCGGGATGAGAAGACCTACAGAAATGACGCTTTTTTGGCTTGTTGGCACTGTGGAGAAAGATGAGGTTGTTCATGTCCATGGAGTTTGGTGCCCTGATTGGGAATCTCAAAAAGATATCTATGCCCTGGACTGGCAGCATGAAACCTTGGAGTCCTTCCGCGCTGCCCGCAAACATGAAGTTGTGGGCTGCAACATTGTCAAGCCTACTGGCAATGGAAACTTTGAGGAAGCAGATCTCTTTCTTGCTTGCAAGCATCAAACAGATTGCTGTCCATCCTTTTTGACCCTTGTCACCGGGAAAGATCGAAAGACGCGATTCTACAGAGTACCAGAAGATTTCGTTGACAACGATGCAGTTGAACTGTCCCAAATTGCTGATGCTTCCGAACTATTCCCTGCAGTGAGCTGGGTGGGCCCTTCTGCATTGTACTATGCGTCGCTGGCCAGCGAAGATGCTGCAAGTTTGAAATGCTTAGAAGAAGAGGCAGCAAAGGATCTCTTGCAGAAGAGAGGCAAGAACAGAAAAAAAATCCAGGCACAAGTGAGACAGGAGAAAACTTCAGGCACAACCTGCAAAGCTGCAGCAACACTGACCGAGATTGCAGGCGAGCTGGGTGAATTTGCTGGATGGCTCACCGAACATGTGGCTGATTTTGCAGAACCGGAGAAGGCAAAGTCAGCTGTTGAAACCAATTTGAAGAAGTATCCCTTGGCAGCTACAGAGTTGAAGAAAGCAAATGCAAATCGAGCCCCTGAAGATGTGGCTACTGCTGCACGGCTCTTGTCCACCGCTCTTTCTCTACAAGCTCATTTGAGGGTTCGGGTGACAAAGAGAACCCTAAATGATGCTCAGGGTCACTGCTATGATGGAATCAAAGGGAAGTGGAGAAAGGAGAGCTCTGACAACTTCAGCACCCCACCATGCAAGAAATCGCGGACGACACCTGCAAAGTCTTCATCTTCAGAGCTTGGTTCGGAATCCACACCTACCCCCGATACATCCTCAAATTCACGGGAACCTTGTACTGCAATGGTCCTTGCGGATGCGGACTGTAAGGACTGGTGTTTTTATTCCGATTTAATCGACACAAAAAAAAGGCAAGTGTAACAAGCAGATTGCCAATCTGCTTATTACAGGTAGTTAGTCTGTTTTCAGACTTTTCTATATATATTTCAGATTTTTTCGGGAGAAGCCGTTGATTTGAACAATGGCAACCAATCTAATGACAAGTGGCCCCTGTCAGTTGAAACTGACGATTGAGGGTGCTGAATGTAGCAGCAGGCATGACCTCGGCTCAATTGACACTGACCTTAAGCCCATGCAACAATAGACACCGGCAACAGCAATGCCAAGTAATGACAACTTTCGCACCTGTATATGCAAGAACATCACCCCTTTAGACACTTGCTGGCCCATTGTGAGACATTTTGAGACATTTCGAGCAATTTTGAGCAGATTTGAGCAAATTTGAACATATTTGAGCAGTTTTGAGCAATTTTGAACAATTTTGAGCAATTTTGAGCAGTTTTGAGCAATTTTGAGCAATTTTTTTGGGCCAGTTTGGGTTATTTCGAGCAATTTTGAACATCTTTGTCGGGCAAGTTTGGATCATATCGAGCAATTCTGAGCAATTTTTGGAAGCACGATATGGCATTGTTGACCTTGGACAGTGCTCAAAATGTCTCAATTGAGGCTGCTTTGAGACATCTTACTTTGGCTGAAAAAGGTAGCTAATGTAAACCCCACGGATCTAGACCCTAAAACGAGATCAGTGATATATATATATATCTCTCTCTCTACATATGTATATAATGTTTAACATATATATATATATAAATACATACTATACACATATTTTCCCTGCAGGACGATGATTTGCAGCAGACCCTGTCCCCAGAAGGACTACAAGTCGCAGTTCATCCAGAAGGTGAGGCAGGCGAGGTGGAAGAAGAGAGCGAGGAGGGTCAAGGGGATGAAGATGAGCCAAAAAAAAGGGGTTGGCAACGAGAATCCGCATTCCGATTTACCAAAAGCTCATTGCCATTCGAGAGGTTGACCGCCTGATTGAGCAAGGAGTGAAGTCAGGAATCGAGAAAAAGGTGATGGCCACTTTTCCGCACATCTTCATGGGCACCAAAGGAAAGATGAAGTCCGGCATGTTGGGGCGCTGGCTGCAACAATGTGATGAGCAGGATTGGAGGAAAGTTCCATTTGAGAAAATGTCAGTGAAAGACCAGCAAATTAAGGATCTACCAGATTGGATCCGCTTGCCAATGGGATTGCCACCAAGATCGCTTGACAAATTCAAGAGCGGGTCTCATGTTCCAATGGCGGTCACTAGACAAATCATTCAATGCATCGAGAAGGTCACCTGTGGAGGATCGGAGCGCTTGACCTCTTCGACCTTGAACACTGAGTCCATCAGAAAGCAGGCTGATACCCTGCTGGCCACCTACAACGAAGCTCAGAAAAAGGCAGCAGAAGAGAATGGCATTGCTATGCCAGATGTGAAGAGCCAAGTTTCTGTTCGCTGGGTCAACCGCTTACTCCAACATTTTGGATGGATAAGAGCAGCACCGAACACCCTCGGAGCCTACCTGGAGTATGATGACGAAAGAATGGTCAAGTCCCGGCAAGCATGGCATTTTTTGAGGACACCAGGGTGTTTTGAAGTTTTTTTCTACTTTCTTTGGGTATTCCCCACAGATCAGCCTGGGCACACACGGACCCGAACACATGCCAGATAGGATGCCAGATAGAATGCCAGAATATATATATATATATGTGTACATATATATATATGACCCAGCCACCACCTAGCCAAATTCAAACTTATATATAAATATGCTCCTTCCCTGTTCAGGCTGCAAAAGAACACCAGACTTGACATGGCGCTGAACTTTGACCAAGTGTGGAAGTGTAGCTGGAACACCCCAAAGAAAGTTTTGAACCGCGTGATAGACACCGATTGCTCCTCGATCTCTTTGAAGGGCAAGCGTGAAGCTTTGTGGCATGAGCTCGCAGCAATGCAGAAGGAGAATGTCACATGGGAAGCAAAAAGGAGACGAATCGCAGGAGGGGCTTATAATACATATTAGCAATATATCATTCTATAATATGTAACTGCACAGCCTCATAGAACTATCAGAACCTGTAAGAAGCAGATCTTCCAATCTGCTTATTACAGGGGGTCCATGTTGGGGTGGATTCATAGTAGGCATGGTTCTGCACGTGTACAAATCTCCGCCAACCCCTGCAATCCAAGGGGTGCACATGAGAGAAAGCATGGGTTCTTTTCACAAGCATGCATATCTATACATATCTTTTTTGGAACAAGATTCTCTTAATTCCTGAAGGAAAAGATGCCAGATGCGATTCAGTGGAGCATGGCAGGCACTCAATTACCATGGTGACATCACTTTGGGGGTCTGGGGAAGCTGGGCCTCTATGTTGTGTCTTGCCCGTGGGCTTCATTTCTTCGGAAAAAGAGGCTGAACTCACAAAACGCTTTGCCCCTGATGTCTACTTCTTGAGTTCTGGTCGACCTACCCACTTTATGAATGCTGAGTGCGTGGTGCAGTACTTTGAGAAAGTCTTGGCCGACGCTTTTGAAAGACGACGCACGCGTCTTGCAGAAAGATACCAAAGGAGTTTCCAAGATGAGTGGGGGATACTTTTGTGTGATTCCTTTACTGGACACCATTCAACAAGCGATGGCTTCGACACCCAGAGAAACTTGCCTCCCCAATTACAGAAACACGTTTTCCACTTTTTTGCTGTACACTATATAATATATATATATATAAAAACATGTATATAAATATACATGTAAATAGCGCTACCTTCCCATCTGCATATGTAAAAAATGGGTTCCCACGACTGTGATAAGCAGATTTGCAAATCTGCTTGTTGGGGGTTGTATCCATAACATCCGCCAGCCCAAGATCCTTTTCGCTGATCCCGGGTTTTGGGTTTGCTGGTTGGGTGGGAAATCCGAGGACAATTGTTTTCTCAAACAAGTCGAGTGGTGCTGCCAGAACGGCAGCCTGGCGGATGGAGCGCGAGGGGCCAACCTTGCGATGCCATTCACTCAGCCCTCAGGAAACAAATGAACACCTATTCAGAGACTTGCCTTGGGTACAGAACGGGCTTGCTGCAGCAAGCAACGTCTTCCCCTCTGTTGATGAGCAATGGGAACTTGTACCTCTCGCTGAGCCATGAAGATTCCATTTTGTCTTGCATCTACGGATGGCAAAAGATTTCCAAAAAAAAGGACCTTTTGAGGTGGGGAGGTCAAACGCGGTTGAAGTCCAAAACATATGCTGGCTTAAACAGTAATTTCATGATGATATGTATATATAATTATATATATATATACATGTATCATCCTTAAAGGTTTTCTATATATATATATATATAACCCAGGGACCGCATATGTTTCCAACAAAAAACAGCAGCAATTAGATTCAACAAATGCTTATTTTGCAGCCCCTCGTTGTGAAGGTGGGCATGGTTGTCAAGAGGGATGGCTTCGTACGAGGAAATGCAGGAGATGCACCCCACAGCCCCGACTCCGGCAGTCATGGAGTCCGAGATGAAAGCATGCGAGATTGAGGCCGCAGAGGGGATTTTGGAGGCTTGCATTGATGAAGTCTTTGTGCGACCCGACGTCAACAGGACAACATTCGTGTGGCAGATCGAGTCTACGGTGACTGACACAGATGCTGAAGATGAATGGGAAAAAGAAGACTCTTCATGGCGATGCCTTCCCCAGCACTGGCAAGAGATTCTCAACTCACGCTTGGCGAAGCACCATTCTGCCATCCAAGACGCAAAGGCATTCTACGAACATCGCCTTGAGGAGTTTGGAGCTGAAGATGTGAAGACCAAGAATGCCCAGAAAAAGATGACTGATCTCCAGTCAGGAAAGAATTCATGCTCAATTGTGTTGATCATGAAAGGGACCGGAAAGGAAGGAGGGCAGGATTTGTACAAGAGATGCGTTCAGAATCTGAAAGGGGAGCTCAAAGTGTCTGTTTCAAGCAAAGTGCTAGCCCACAAAGTTTGTATGGAGACGTTGAAACTGGTCACGCTTGAAGATCCCCCAGTCGAGAGATCGCTTCGGATAGTTTCTGTCACAGGCAAAAGCAAAGAAATCCAGGAGGTGCGATTGCACCTAAACCTTCTTTCCTTGCAGTCCAGCAACGTGTTGGGCGGCACGGATTTGCCTTCTTCAGGGAAGGCTGGGGGCAAGGAGGTTGAGGTGGGTGCACAGGGTGGAGACAAGGAGGGAGAGACCGGTGAGGAAGCAGGCATGGAGAACGTAGCTGTCCTTGAGGACCAGTTCGAGGCTGCTGAGGACGGTTTGATTGCGGCTATGCAATGTGAGGACGTGCATGAAGATCCTTCAAAGATGGAGGACGCTCCGGAGGCTGCAGTAAGCAGAATCAGAAATCTGATTCTTACAGGTATCGATAGGATTACAAAATTATATATACCATGTGTTAATAATCAAATGGTTCCAAATCAAGCATACCCCTGCAAGATTGGCAACGGGGATAAGGTACACAGCTCGTTCATGCATAGAGAAATCCCTATGTATATACGTTGATGTGTAAAATCATGTATAGTTACATGTATACACACATATATAATGTATACACATGCAAAGCAGTCCCCGCAAGTGAGTTTACAAATCCTGCACCTTATATACACATATGTATATATATATATACACATGTGTATATATATATAAAGGTAGTTAGGTAGTTAGTTTGTTTGTTAGATAGATAGATCGATAGATAGATACAAAACCCATCAACGGCATTCAACGGCCATTCAATTTTGAAGTTTTTTTGAAAATTGTGGGTATGTAAAGGATAGCTGTAATAAGCAGATTCTGCAATCTGCTTAGTACAGGGCTGATTCCCTACAACATCCCCGTTGTTTTTGCAGGTGGCAGCGGATGATGTGCACCATGAAGTTTCTGTTGGTGGCTGTGGAGGCGGTGATGCTTCTGATCAAGGTGAAAGCGAGAGTGAGGACGCAGTGTGGACCATCACAGATTCAGGTGCGCATTTCACTATTGAGTCTACTGAGGATCACTTGGAGGAACCCCCCAAACCATGTGGTTCCCCAAAAATTTCAATGGCAATTTCAATCGACAAATTCAGCAATGTTCCTGCATTTAAGATGCTGTCATCAGTTGGGTTGACTGAAATCCCCAATGCGGTAGGGTGTGGCATCGGAATTCATTTTACGACCAATACGTGGCAAATCCGTTACCCCGCGGATAAGAAATGTTCAGTTGCACGCACATTTGGGGACAATGTAAAGGGTAAGGGGAAGGTATCTTGTGCTGCAGCCTTGATTGAATGTCTCTTATGGGCTTGGAGGCAGCATTACAAGCAAAATCCTTTCTCTACCGAATGCATGGAGAGAATCAAAATGTTAGAAGGTGCTTTGGCTGTCGGTCTCGGAAAAGATCTGTAGTGACTGACACCCCTGCTGGCTGGTTCTCAGCTCTCTTGCTCAAAGTTTCAATTCTTTGGTTATGTGTATATATATATATGTATGTATGTATGTATGTATGTATGTATGTATGTATGTATGTACATAAATTTCCATTATCACCCAGAAACAAGAAATCTAAGGGAAAACCTGATAATATATATATAATTATAAATATATATATACATGTGTGTATGTGTCTGGGAACCGCCATGCCTGCACTTGGCGAGATGCCATCTACCAGGGTTTGGACGAAGAAACCGGAAAGCGATCGAGACGATTGGGGAAAAATGAGCAGCTGATTTTGGCAGGGGTGTAACAAGCAGATTGGCAATCTGCTTATTAGGGGTGGTACCAGTAGGGGAGACCAACCAATGAAATAAACTTGATATTTTGTGTTTGCTAATCTAACCCCATCCCCTAGTATATATTATAGCATACCTAAATCAGGGACCAATAATGAAAAAGAAACAATGCTAAACCAATGCTTCTGGGGATGTGTTTAATGCTAGGGGGTGTTAGGGGGAAGGGACTGTACAATATATATATAGGTGGTTCCAGGGCGTAGCCCAATAAATTCCAGGGCGTAGCCCAATAAATTCCAGGGCGCAGGCGTAGCCCAATAAAATCTGCACGGTAACAATTACCTCAGTAGAAAATTAAGACGATTGGGGAAAAATGAGCAGCTGATTTTGGCAGGGGTGTAACAAGCAGATTGGCAATCTGCTTATTAGGGGTGGTACCAGTAGGGGAGACCAACCAATGAAATAAACTTGATATTTTGTGTTTGCTAATCTAACCCCATCCCCTAGTATATATTATAGCATACCTAAATCAGGGACCAATAATGAAAAAGAAACAATGCTAAACCAATGCTTCTGGGGATGTGTTTAATGCTAGGGGGTGTTAGGGGGAAGGGACTGTACAATATATATATAGGTGGTTCCAGGGCGTAGCCCAATAAATTCCAGGGCGTAGCCCAATAAATTCCAGGGCGCAGGCGTAGCCCAATAAAATCTGCACGGTAACAATTACCTCAGTAGAAAATTAAACTGTAATAAGCAGATTTTGGATCTTTGGGGTATAAATGCATTTTGGACTGTAATAAGCAGATAAACCTCACGAGTGGTGAGGGTTTTGAGCAATCTGCTTGTCTGCTGGCGGTGGCATAAATCTGCTTCTTGGGCGTCCCCGTCTATACATGATATACCTCGGATTTTCTTTTGGAATTTGGGTGTGCCTGAATTTGCCCTCCCAAACGGCCCGTTGTTTCATAGGGAAGCTGAGAATACTGTAAACATCAGTAGGCCTTGGGATTTGGTGTATTTTCACAGGGTGTGCAGTTCTGAAATCGGATCTTCCACATATCAATGCATTCCCAAGCAATATCTCCAGACTTGTCAACCCATTCGCTGCAACAGCCGGGCAGTTGCAAACATGCTCCGTTGGACCAAAAGGCGGCTTGTTCAACTTCTGGCTGGACACCGCTCCATTGAAAGCCACCAAATAGCTGTAGAGCACCCTGTCAATAAAAAACATGTGACACTCAGCCGCAAACCTGGATGGAGCTCTGCAACGACAAAAAGACTAAAAAAAAAGGCCTCATGTCATCCAAAGGCAAGTTGGTGTAGACCAAATGAGCATTGTATAGGAGAGTGGCATGTCGGACGCAAGCAAATTGCTCTTGCAGCTTGTCCTGCAGGAAGCGAAGGTAAAAGCTCAGTCCGACGGGAAGCCAAACATACAACGAAGATCCACACAGCCAAGACCGCATAACACAGTTGACAACCTGCACGATACTTGAATGCAAATCACAAATCAACATAGAAACATATCTTGAAACATAAAAAACATCGGGTCATACTCTGGACAGAATCCCAAACCATTCGAACCAGTTTTTGCCATGTTCCCCATATTATCCCATATTCACATATATTCACCATGGTTATTCACCAATATTAACCATAGGTAAACCATGATTGACCATGATTCACCATGGTTAAACATGGCATTCTCCATGGCATTCTCCATGATTTTCCCAGAAAGTGCCCTGTCCAAAAAGCAGTGAATCGAAACGCAGGTGTTTCGTTCCACAGGACCTGGGCGATTTTGGGTGTGGGCAGATCAAAGGAACTCCTTTTTAAGGAGCAGCCAAAATGCACTGATATGGGATTTTTATCTGGGATTGATTGATATGGGATTGATTGATCTGGGATTTTTATCTGGGATTGATTGATATGGGATTTTTATCTGGGATTGATTGATATGGGATTGATTGATCTGGGATTTTTATCTGGGATTGATTGATCTGGGATTTTTATCTGGGATTGATTGATCTGGGATTGATTGATATGGGATTTTTATCTGGGATTGATTAATCTGGGATTTTTATCTGGGATTGATTGATATGGGATTTTTATGTGGGATTGATTGATATGGGATTTTTATCTGGGATTGATTGATATGGGATTGATTGATATGGGATTGATTGATATGGGATTTTTATCTGGGATTGATTGATATGGGATTTTTATCTGGGATTTTAATCTGGGATTGATTGATATGGGATTTTTATCTGGGATTGATTGATATGGGATTTTTATCTGGGATTGATTGATATGGGATTTTTATCTGGGATTGATTGATATGGGATTTTTATCTGGGATTGATTGATATGGGATTTTAATCTGGGATTGCTTGATATGGGATTTTTATCTGGGATTGATTGATATGGGATTTATCTGGGATTGATTGATATGGTATTTTTATCTGGGATTGATTGATATGGGACTTTTATCTGGGATTTTTATCTGGGATTGATTGATATGGGATTGATTGATATGGGATTTTTATCTGGGATTGATTGATATGGGATTTTTATCTGGGATTGATTGATATGGGATTTTTATCTGGGATTGATTGATATGGGATTGATTGATATGGGATTGATTGATATGGGATTGATTGATATAGGATTGATTGATATGGGATTTTTATCTGGGATTGATTGATATGAGATTTTTATCTGGGATTGATTGATATGGGATTTTTATCTGGGATTGATTGATATGGGATTTTTATCTGGGATTGATTGATATGGGATTTTAATCTGGGATTGATTGATATGGGATTTTTATCTGGGATTTTAATCTGGGATTGATTGATATGGGATTTTTATCTGGGATTTTTATCTGGGATTGATTGATATGGGATTTTTATCTGGGATTGATTGATATGGGATTTTAATCTGGGATTGATTGATATGGATTGATTGATCTGGGATTTTTATCTGGGATTGATTGATATGGGATTTTTATCTGGGATTTTTATCTGGGATTGATTGATATGGGATTTTTTTATCTGGGATTGATTGATATGGGATTTTTATCTGGGATTGATTGATATGGATTTTTATCTGGGATTGATTGATATGATTTTTATCTGGGATTGATTGATTGGGATTTTTATCTGGGATTGATTGATATGATTTTATCTGGGATTGATTGATATGGGATTTTTATCTGGGATTGATTGATATGGGATTTTTATCTGGGATTTTTATCTGGGATTGATTGATATGGGATTTTTATCTGGGATTGATTGATATGGGATTTTAATCTGGGATTGATTGATATGGGATTGATTGATTGGGATTTTTATCTGGGATTGATTGATATGGGATTTATCTGGGATTTTTATCTGGGATTGATTGATATGGGGTTGATTGATCTGGGATTTTAATCTGGGATTGATTGATCTGGGATTTTTATCTGGGATTGATTGATATGGGATTTTAATCTGGGATTGATTGATATGGGATTTTTATCTGGGATTTTAATCTGGGATTGATTGATATGGGATTTTTATCTAGGATTTTTATCTGGGATTGATTGATATGGGATTTTTATCTGGGATTTTTATCTGGGATTGATTGATATGGGATGTTTATCTGGGATTGGTTGATATGGGATTTTTATCTGGGATTTTAATCTGGGATTGATTGATATGGGATTTTTATCTGGGATTGATTGATATGGGATTTTTATCTGGGATTGATTGATATGGGATTGATTGATATGGGATTGATTGATATGGGATTTTTATCTGGGATTGATTGATATGGGATTTTTATCTGGGATTGATTGATATGGGATTTTTATCTGGGATTGATTGATATGGGATTTTTATCTGGGATTGATTGATATGGGATTTTAATCTGGGATTGATTGATATGGGATTGATTGATATGGGATTGATTGATATGGGATTTTTATCTGGGATTGATTGATATGGGATTTTTATCTGGGATTTTTATCTGGGATTGATTGATATGGGATTTTTATCTGGGATTGATTGATATGGGATTGATTGATATGGGATTGATTGATATGGGATTGATTGATATGGGATTTTTATCTGGGATTGATTGATATGGGATTGATTGATATGGGATTTTTATCTGGGATTGCTTGATATGGGATTGATTGATATGGGATTTTTATCTGGGATTGATTGATCTGGGATTTTTATCTGGGATTGATTGATATGGGATTTTAATCTGGGATTGATTGATCTGGGATTTTTATCTGGGATTTTAATCTGGGATTGATTGATATGGGATTTTTATCTTGGATTGATTGATATGGGGTTGATTGATATGGGATTTTAATCTGGGATTGATTGATATGGGATCTTTATCTGGGATTTTAATCTGGGATTGATTGATATGGGATTTTTATCTGGGATTGATTGATATGGGATTTTTATCTGGGATTGATTGATATGGGATTTTTATCTGGGATTGATTGATATGGGATTTTTATCTGGGATTGATTGATATGGGATTTTTATCTGGGATTGATTGATATGGGATTTTTATCTGGGATTGATTGATATGGGATTTTAATCTGGGATTGATTGATATGGGATTTTTATCTGGGATTGATTGATATGGGATTTTTATCTGGGATTTTAATCTGGGATTGATTGATATGGGATTTTTATCTGGGATTTTAATCTGGGATTGATTGATATGGAATTTTAATCTGGGATTGATTGATATGGGATTTTTATCTGGATTGGGAAAAATTTTTTTTTTTTGCTAGGGGGATTTTTCTGGGATTGATTGATATGGGATTTTTATCTGGGATTGATTGATATGGGATTTTTATCTGGGATTGTTTGATATGGGATTTTTATCTGGGATTGATTGATATGGGATTTATCTGGGATTGATTGATATGGGATTTTTATCTGGGATTTTAATCTGGGATTGATTGATATGGGATTTTTATCTGGGATTGATTGATCTGGGATTTTAATCTGGGATTGATTGATATGGGATTGATTGATATGGGATTTTAATCTGGGATTGATTGATATGGGATTTTTAGCTGGGATTGATTGATATGGGATTTTTGTCTGGGATTTTAATCTGGGATTGATTGATATGGGATTTTTATCTGGGGTTTTTAATCTGGGATTGATTGATATGGAATTTTAATCTGGGATTGATTGATATGGGATTTTTATCTGGCATTTTAATCTGGGATTGATTGATATGGGATTTTTATCTGGGATTGATATGGGATTGATTGATATGGGATTTTTATCTGGGATTGATTGATATGGGATTTTTATCTGGGATTTTTATCTGGGATTGATTGATATGGGATTTTAATCTGGGATTGATTGATATGGGATTTTTATCTGGGATTTTAATCTGGGATTGATTGATATGGGATTTTAATCTGGGATTGATTGATATGGGATTTTAATCTGGGATTGATTGATATGGGATTTTAATCTGGGATTGATTGATATGGGATTGATTGATCTGGGATTGATTGATCTGGGATTTTTATCTGGGATTGATTGATATGGGATTTTTATCTGGGATTGATTGATATGGGATTTTTATCTGGGATTGATTGATATGGGATTTTTATCTGGGATTGATTGATATGGGATTGATTGATCTGGGATTTTTATCTGGGATTGATTGATATGGGATTTTTATCTGGGATTTTAATCTGGGGTTGATTGATATGGGATTTTTATCTGGGATTTTAATCTGGGATTGATTGATATGGGATTTTAATCTGGGATTGATTGATCTGGGATTTTTATCTGGGATTTTAATCTGGGATTGATTGATATGGGATTTTAATCTGGGATTGATTGATATGGGATCTTTATCTGGGATTTTAATCTGGGATTGATTGATATGGGATTTTTATCTGGGATTGATTGATATGGGATGTTTATCTGGGATTTTAATCTGGGATTAATTGATATGGGATTGATTGATATGGGATTTTTATCTGGGATTGATTGATATGGGATTTTTATCTGGGATTTTAATCTGGGATTGATTGATATGGATTTAATCTGGGATTGATTGGATCTGGGATATTTTAATTCTGGGATTGGATTTGATATGGATTTTTATCGGGATTTAATTGGGTATTGAGTATGGGATTTTAATCTGGATTGATGATATGGGATTTTTATCTGCGAAGTTATTTGCGGATTGATTGCTATGGGATTGAATCTGGGATTGTTGATATGGGATTTTTATATGGATTGATTGATATGGGATTGCTTGATATATGGGATTTTTATCGGGATTGATGATATGGGATTTTATCTGGGATTGATTGATATGGGATTTTAATCTGGGATTGATTGACTGGATGATTGATCTGGGAATTTTTATCTGGGATTGATTGATATGGATTTTTATCTGGTATTTTTATCTGGGATTGAGTGATATATGGGATTTTTATATGGGAATTTTTATCTGGGATTGTTGATATGGATTTTTATTGGGAGTGATTGATATGGGATTTATCTGGTGATTTAATCTGGATTGATTGATATGGGATTTTTATCTGGGATTTTAATCTGGGATTGATTGATATGGGATTTTAATCTGGGATTGATTGATATGGGATTTTTATCTGGGAATTTTATTTGGGATTGATTGATATGGGATTTTAATCTGGGATTGATTGATATGGGATTTTTATCTTGGATTGATTGATATGGGATTGATTGATATGGGATTTTTATCTGGGATTGATTGATATGGGATTTTTATCTGGGATTGATTGATATGGGATTTTAGTGGGATGATTTGATATGGGCTTTTTTTTATCTGGGATTTTTACTGGGATTGATTGATATGGGATTTTATCTGATTTTTAATCTGGGATTGTTGATATGGGATTTTTATCTGGGATTGATTGATATGGGATTTTTATCTGGGATTTTAATCTGGGATTGATTGATATGGGATTTTTATCTGGGATTTTTATCTGGGATTGATTGATATGGGATTTTTATCTGGGATTGATTGATATGGGATTTCTATGGGATTGATGTTACTTTACATTAGCTCCCAACTTCTTTTTTGCTGAGGCAGACTTGGAAGCCAGAATTGAGGTCCTGGCTATAGTGAAATCCCTCCAGTTCTTGGAAAATGCCCAAATCGCTAGCTACCTGGGAGATGGGACCATCAGCTGATGGGCAAATCACGAACACGCCCAACCCTTACATTTCATACGGATTCATATTGGTTCTCAACCTCTACATTTGAAACATATTAATCTTTATCAGCTTTTAATTCTATCCTTTATAACACTTTCAATTTCACCTTTTTGCTACAACAATTTAAGCTATAATTAGTTGAAAAAAGTTGAAAAACACCTAATCACATCATAATTCTAACCACAACACGGTCGTATTTCTGAACCTCAGACATGACTGATCTTGAAGCACTCTGGTCTGGGCTGAGTCTGAGAGTCTGGCCACAGTTTCCAGAAAGGCAGGCACAAAGTCCTGAGAAATGTCTTAGCATGTCTTAGCGTTGTGCCATCTTCTTGCGTCAAAAGTGGATACGAATCGTGCATTGCCACATCATCTACATCGCACTCTGCAGGCATTGACGTGCAAAACGCAGTGCCCGAGAGAAACGCTTGGAAAACGCGAACCGTCCTCAAGCAAGTCGAATAGCTTGTGCATGGACTGCGCCTCCAAAGTCAACCGAAAATATACTGCAAGCCATGCCACAAACAAGCAAAGTACCATTGGCAAGGACGTAAACTTAAAGGCTCTTAGAGACTTTGCGAGGAACAGAAACACTTTGGCTGGTGGTTGCACTCAATCCTAAAAAGATTAGTGATGAGGGAATCATTTCAGCGATGGAAAATGAACAGAAAGGATTCTAAAAGTACCAACCAGTCATATGGCCAGTGTTGCTGGTTACATTCATGGTCATACCATGTCCCTGCAATGGCTTTCCACCCTTCGTAGAACTACTCGGCGCCTTGATGAAGGCCTCAATTTCACCGTGCCTCAGGGTCAAGCTATTGGGGTGCCACTGGATACAAACGCGCACGCACACGCGCAAGAAAATGATGGTTTCTAGATCTTTATAGTATCAAACCGGGTCAAACCGCTCACATGGCGGGAATTGAATGGAATTGATAAGTTTGACCCAAGGTCCATACTGTCCATACTCAACAAAACTCACCAAAAACCGTAGCAGGGCCTTTAACTGGGGGAAGTCGTGCGCGCGATCTTCATCTATGTGCCCGACAACAAGCGGAAGACATTGTAGCAGTTCCGCAGCACTGCCTGGAAGGGAATCGTTTTCAGTGGCGGTGAAAAATTTTTAGGGATGCTAGAGAGTCCAAAAGCCTCCAACACACTAACATAGATATTGAAATTCCACCATTTTTAGATCATTTCCTAGTGAAACACATGGAGTTCCATAGCTTTACTGGAAGGTATACCAGCCACTATTTTGAACTGCCGGCTGGTTTTAGTTGATCCAACACTCGGAAAGTGCTTGCACCTCGATATGCTAAGGTAGTGAAATATCTGATTTGAACATCACCAATCACTGGTGGGGGTCATCTCGAATAGCCATGTGAAGATTGTGAAGGGGGGATGTTCAAATCTCAGAATGGGATAAACAATGATAATTGGGGTGCATTTACCAACCCTACTGCACACGCCCGACTGAGTCGATTCTTTTCAACCTGAACTGAGTCGAATGGCCGCGGCGGCAGCTCAGGAAGCCAGGGTGCAAAGGAGCCGGACAAAGGGTCGAGAATGCGTGGCATGCGATCAAGATCGAGCCTCAAAAATTCATTCGTGTGCGGCTCTCTGGAACTTGCCTAGACTTACTGGAAGCATACAAATTCATACAAACTCCATCACTTCAAACTTGATACAAACATCTCATCTGTCCACCATTCTGCAGAACCTCTTGCTCGGATCGATTTTCAAGGCCTTTACAGGCCTTGTGTCGCCTCTAGAGCTAGGCTCTGAGAGAAGTCCATGCCATCTGCTGCCCAGTAGATTGGATCCTTTCAACCAAAACAAATGCACATCATGTCGGGGGATGTTTTCATATGTTTTCCGTTACGGGAACCGTTGGGAAGCCGAATGCATGGTAGGCCACTTTTGCAGGCGCCTCTCTGTGGGCTATTCTGTTGGCGATGGAGACCAGGCGACTTGCGCTGAACATCATGACTTTCTGTCTCTCCCCACCTTGCTTCGGCATCGATTTGAAGGCATGAAGCATCCTGACAATAAATCAAACAATACAAGCAACTTCAAGACCAAAGCCGGCACTCCAAAACTTCTAGTCTCCAACCCTGCCCCAGAAGCCTCTCTAGTAAACTGTCCGTTTGTACTGACCTCTGGGCATCGCACTCCCTCCATGTGCTCTTGCGCTCCCCAAATCTCACATGATCTGACCAAAAATCTGAGGGCTCCACTTCACACAAAATGTTACAAGATGTTGGAAGAAGCAACTTCGAGGGAATGCAAGTGCAGTATCACCCAGCGTCATCCAGGATGAATTGGCACCCTAATCATTGTTCGCCAGTGAGCATTTGGTCTGCCTGGCAAAACATCTGTTGTGCAGACTTCGAGATATCGACTGCCATGATCGAGCCATCATAGCACACGCTGCGTGCAGCGCGCAGCAAAGGGGAACATCCAGAGATGTTCCCAGACAAAAGGTCTCAAAATCCAGATCCCTCTTGATCATTCTGTATCCCATAGAACACATACTCTTAGAGTAGCAAATCATTGCATCCCTCGGCATGACCATCATTTCGATTCAATGGCGCAGGGTTCGAAATTTTGAGACATGAACCTCCACGTGCATCACCAGCCCAATCTAGGCGGGGATTTACCTTGAAGATTCAGCTACCATCAGCTACCCAGCTACCCAGTATTTGCACTGGTACGCCTGTGGTCATTGTCAGTTTTCAGGCGAAACCGGCCTTAGGCGCACAGCTGGGGATCCAGTTGCGATCAGGATTTGGTGACAACTGTAGTGAGAAAACCCATATTAGAACAAGTACAAACAGCCACGCTATGAGAAGATATTATGAAACTGAATCCGTTCAATCTTTTCATCGACTGCGACTTGAAACTTGAAAAAGTGTTTTGTCTTCGACTCTCGAAACATGTCCCACCATGTCCCACCTGCGTTGAGCCGGTTTCAGCTTGCAGCCAAGGGACCAGCTCGGAGCCAAGATTAAATGCAATGTTGTTGTCTTGTGGAATATTTCGCACGCTTCAGCTTGTCCGAGTCCTCGCACGACGGTCACAGTACAAAGTCGCAACAAAAAGAGGAATCGAAGGTCAACCATATGAGCAAATATAATATAACACAACTTAATGATACGTAATGCAATTGTTCAAGGGTCCGGATTTGTTTGGGGATGTTTTCTTCCGTTTTGGGTTTGTTTTTGGGATTTCGTGCTCTGTCTGTCCGTTTTCCTTGCTACTTGCAGCGTTTTGGTGTTCGAACTGTTCATGTTGCATGGTATTTTGCAACAACGGTTCATTTAATTAGGTTGATTTAGGGTTGGTTTAGGGCCTGGGTTGGTTTTAAGGTTGGTTTAGGGTTTTTGAGGGTTGGTTTTAGGATTGGGCTTAAGGTTTTTTAAGGGTTGGTTTAAGTTATTTAGGGTTGGCTTAGGGATGTTTAGGGTTTGTTTGAGTTGGTTTCCCAAAAGAAACTTGGAAAAGCAAAATTACTTTACTTCGTGTGATCCCCACCATGACATTTATACATGTTCTTACTGGCACATCTTCTGGCATTCTATCTGACATATCTTCTGACATTCTATTTGGCATTCTATCTGGCATATCTTCTGGCATTCTATCTGGCAAATCTTCTGGCATTCTATCTGGCATGTCTTCTGGCATTCTATCTGACATATCTTCTGGCATTCTATCTGGCATTCTATCTGGCATATATTCTGACATATCTTCTGGCATTCTATCTGGCATTCTATCTGGCATATCTTCTGGCATATGTTCTGGCATATATTCTGACATATCTCTGGCATTCTATCTGGCATTCTATCTGGCAAATCTTCTGGCATTCTATCTGGCATATCTTCTGGCATTCTATCTGACATATCTTCTGGCATTCTATCTGGCATTCTATCTGGCATATCTTCTGGCATATATTCTGACATATCTTCTGGCATTCTATCTGACATATCTTCTGGCATATATTCTGACATATCTTCTGGCATATCTTCTGGCATATCTTCTGGCATATCTTCTGACATATCTTTCTGGCATATCTTCTGGCATATTTTCTGGCATTCTATCTGGCAAATCTTCTGGCATTCTATCTGGCATTCTATCTGGCATATCTTCTGGCATACTATCTGGCATTCTATCTGGCATATCTTCTGGCATATCTTCTGGCATATCTTCTGACATTCTTTCTGACATTCTTTCTAACTTTCTTCTGCACATTCTTTGTCCCATATCTTCCTACATGAGGTCCGGCAGGGAACACTTGGCGTGGATACTTGCGGTTGAGGTCCGGCAGGGAACACTGGGCATGGATACTCGCAGATGAGGTCCGGCAGGGAACACTGGGCGTGGCTGGTCGTGGTTGAGGTCCGGCAGGGAACACTGGGCGTGGCTGGTCGTGGTTGAGGTCCGGCAGGGAACACTAGTCGTGGATGGTCGTGGTTGAGGTCCGGCAGCGAACACTGTGGATCGCGGGTCGCAGTTGGACGAGGACGACGAGGACGACGAGGACGACGAGGACGACAAGGACGACAAGGAGGACGAGGAGGAGGAGGAGGAGAGGAGGACGAGGCAGGAGGAGGCGGAGGAGGAGGAGGAGCAGGAGGAGGAGGAGGCAACTGACATAAAATCTAACAACCCTCACCTGGCAGGTGGGGAAAAACAAAGAAGAGGAGAAACAAAGAAACCGGTAAAAGCAGAGAAACAGAGAAGAACACAAGCAAAGAAGCCGGGAAAAACAGAAAAGCAAAGAACAAGAGAAGCAAAGGAACCGGGAAAAGCAGAGAAAAACAGAAACCGGGAAAGTAGAAAAGCAAAGAAGAAGAGAAGCAAAGAAGCTGGGAAGAGCGGAAAAGCGGAGAAGAAGACAAGAAGACAAGTAAAGAAGCCGGGAAAAGCGGAAAAGCACAGAAGAAGAGAAGAAGACAAGCAAAGAGCTGGGAAAAGCAGAAAAGCAGAGAAGAAGACAAGCAAAGAAACCGGGAAAAGCAGAGAAGAAGAGAAGCAAAGAATCTGGGAAAAGCAGAAAAGCAGAAAAGAAGACAAGTAAAGAAGCCGGGAAAAGCGGAAAAATACAGAAGAAAAGAAGCAAAGATGCCGGGAAAAGCAGATACGCAGAAAAGCAAAGAAGAAGAGAAGCAAAGAAGCCGGGAAAAGCAGAAAAGCAAAGAAGCAGCAATCAAAAGAAACATCCCGAAACGGGAAAGAGAAACTCCCTCAACAAATAGTAAATAGCCTTCCTTTTGTTTTGGACCAAGCCGTGTCTTTGGAATCGACCTGTGGCAATAAACTGTTCCTCGCGCCTCGAGAACCAACTTCCCGTCCTCCTGCAATCCTGAGACTTCGTTGCCGTCTCCAGCATCAATGGGGGGTACCCCAAATCATCCAGTCATTAGACAATTTTTTGTATTGAAGCCCATGGTGACTTGGGGATCCACCATTTT